TTGATTAACAGCCCCTACATTGAAATTATAGTATGTCTATGGTAATTTAATCAAATACAAAGAGTAAAGTTTGGAGTAAAGACTGATGGAAAAACACATTGTTTATGATCATTGTTGATGATAACAGCAAAATCTGAAGTAATTCTGTACACCTATGGCTTCACCATGTCTACTGCCTACTATGTCTAGACAGTGAACAATGTTTTATAACACATATATATCATGTATATACCACAATACATGAACTAGTTCTAGTTCAACTATGATTTTCATTTTCATGATTTTCATCGTCGCATGACCATGTTTCAGTGGCAATTAGACACACAAGAAGTTTTTTAAGCAATCTTTCTCCTCCCAACCGAAACTTGACTGTTTGATTGAGGACTGCTACTCTTGCACAGTTGGTATCAACATGATTAACATTTCATATTTCTCATTCCTGTTTTTGGACCTACAGCTCGGCCTACAGCTCTGACTCACAAATGTTGCCTTTGGGCAAATGACCATCAAGCTAGGATTTCTAAATTGTAATACAAACAATACAGTTTTCTCATTGTGACATCTCCATCAATTACAGGAATTATGAGTCATCACTGTACAATGAATCACATCAGGTAAAGCACTTATCTTGTCAAATTACCCCTACTGCCAGCTGACTGCCTTTTACAGCGGTAGTAAACATAATTGCCATATTCAGACAACAACTCACACCCGGACCCTGCAGCAAATGTCATATCTACATGATGCAGGTTTCCTAACACTTAACAATGTCATGACCATTGATAATACTAAATCATGTAGTCAAGTGTTTAAAATTCAGGATCCATATGAATAAGGATTAGGGACCCTTATCAGGCAAATACATGTAGCAAATATCTCCAGGTGGTCTTATGGGTTGACCACTCAGCATATGCTGAGGATGTTATTTACTTGTACAATAAGCTTGATACTCTTTGCATCTAAGTGATACACACTGTTCCATAAGTTCTAACAAAACATTATTTTTAGAGGAAAATAATAACATTCACATGGACATAGATAATAACAACATAATCCACAAGAAGCATAACTTCAAAGTTAAGCGAAATGTTTAGAAATTGTTATGAAAGTTATCAGATGTGTTCATATGAATGTAAACTAAACTTTGTTCATTTCAATAATTGTATTGTTGAGAAATACTGGCACAGATGGTGACAAAATGTGTTAAAATGCCTGATACTTTAGGTTTTCATGACACATTTATTTATAATACTTGAACATGAGCAAGTCATTGACACAAGCTGATTTTCATAGATGTACATGATACCATGATAAAAGATTCATACTGGGTCACAGGCTTGCTCATACCTATGAAGTTATTGTTATTAGAAGTTCTGAATATCGGCCCCTTAACTCATTGTAGCAATATTTATTATGTATTGGGCCAAAACTTATAACAGCAGGAAGGGAGGCATTGGTAAGTTGTCAACGGAAACTGTTTTAGTTTGTTTGTTTGTTGTTTAACGCCACACTCAGCAATATTCCAGCTATATGACGGCGGTCTGTAAGTCAGCGAGCCTGACCACCCGATCCCGTTAGTCGCCTTTTACGACAAGCATAGTCGCCTTTTACGGCAAGTATGGGTTGCTGAAGACCTATTATACCCCGGAATCTTCACGAGTCCTGTTCTAGTATGATCAGTACATGTTATAATGCCTAAATAAAACTTTTCTGTTCTGACAGAGCTATGGTTTTTCATAAATATAACAAACATGAACAGTGCCATGTGTAATTTGGGGGACAATCAAAGAAGTTATCAAATGGTTTGGGAACAAGGGCCATAACAATTCTATTCTGTCATTGCATTCTGACAGACCTGTAAATGCCAGTGCAAAATCAGCATGAGACTTCAGCGTGTTCAGCGGAATGTTACGAAGGTGTGAATTATAGCTATGTATAAGCTAAGTTTTATAGTAAACCAGGAGAAATAAATAACTACAGTATCTGCTTTGTATAGCTCTGGGTGCCATTGTACAAAGGGATCACAGCACTAAGGTGATCGTAACTCCCATACTTTAACATAGTCTTACGTCAGTCGTAGGGCTAAGGTTGTTTTGTACAAAGGCACCCTGTTCCTCTCAGATGAAATGTGATATTCTCCAATGTGCACCTTGATTGCAATTGTGAAAATTGCTTAAAATCAACATCAATCTCTAAGGGGATTTTATGATCGGATGGCTTCTGATAGTTCTGTTACTCTGAGTTGAAAATCAGCATCAAACCCCATATGAATCTTGAGGTAGGAGGGATTCTGTTACTGTATGAGTTGGCTAATTCAGTAAACATCATGCAGAGCCTAGCTATTCATCATTTCAGCATCATGTTTACCTGCCAGGGTTAGAAACTAACAGTTTTTGCCAACTAGTCCTTATAATGATAACATATAGCAAAACCCTTAAAATGGGCTAATTTCTACTCGTCCTTAGGATACCTTTACTATTGGGCAGTTTGGTAAGGACTACAGGACTAGTGTCAATTTCTAACGCTGCCTGCCCCTCCCACTTTTACATTACTGGGTGCATTTAGATAACAATTCATAAATCACTCAAACTCACCTCCACGCTCGTACCACGAAATATATGATGACAATGCCTGTCACTCCGACTAAAACATACATAGTTCTGAGAAGCATGTCTTTGTTTTTGGTAATTTGATCGAACACTCTGTTGAAGTAACCGTTGCCGGACCCTTTCGTGCAGTCTGTTGAATTCAGACATGTTTCATTTGAACTCGTCGTTGGTTGAGTTGTTGTTTTGTGTGCTACCTCAGGTAGAGCAGCAGGAGTGGAGGTTTGGTGCACAGTCACGCTGTTTGCTTGGTCTGGAACTGATTTCCTGACGCTTTTCAAGTTCGAATCTCCGGACAATGAAGCACAAGACACTTCGAGTAGGATTACAAGAACACTGATGATCAAAATCGTAGATTTCTCCATTTTATAGATTTAACACACTGTCACAAAGTATATAAATGTGGCTATCAGCTGTCCATACGGCGGAATAACAGCATGATGCATGGACAATCACACGACTACACGTCAGGCGGAAGTGGCAGCAATGATTATGGAATCGTCGGTTAGTACTAAAATGAGCAAGTGCGCTGTAGGGCTAATACGGAAAGGGATTACTTTTCTGGAGGAGTCTTACGGCTTAGCTTGAATATAACTGCCTGTCCGTTATTATGACTAGAAGTCTTTCAGTTCTTCTATCCCGTTTATCTATTTACATAGAATTATCGGCCAAACAGATATTAACATAGTTCTAGTCATTTATTAATCTTCATATCTTTTTGTTAGTAGTATTATTAGTATTTGTAACAGACATACAATCCTCAAATCTGCAGGGACTGTATACAGGTGTAAAAATGTCAGAACACATTAGAAACGCCATCCCGACATTGTTGTATTTTTAATAAGTATATTTCTCCAGAGGCCATATCGGTATATGGTCTCTGATTTCTCTAATCAATTATTTCAGGGTATCATATGATAACGGACATTATTTTAATGAAGAAAACGGAACAAGAGATTTCTGTCGAAAACGGTAAATGTATAATTTCAGGCAAAACACGACAAGGCAAACTTTTCACATATAATTCTTTGATACACAACTTCTTTATAACAATGAATGCGACGTTTCGGTGTACATACTAACACAGTAGTATGAGTTGTAGTAAAACGTACCAGTAAGGAGTAAATAAACATCCATACAACACACATTCATTTCCCGACCCAAAGACGTATATAGATCTATAGTCTTTGCACGACCAGACCAACTGGCACCTTAGTTGTTGTTGCATTAAGTGTTTAGAGGTCGCCTTCTGCCTTGGCAATTTCGGCTGATCTGTCCCTCTTTGGGACTCATGCGTGTGAGTAGGGCACACATATCCATTGCGAGTTTGGTATTCACAGAATTTCTGTTTTGGTATTGATATAATTTCTATTTTTATATATTGATATAATTTCATTTTTATCTTTGGCTGCTCTGTTTATATACGAGTAGCTGTCCATCTCTCAGAAATAGAGTTAGTTTGGCATTCACTATTGCATCTCTTGGCTTTAGAAGATCTAGTATGCTCCAAGCATCCCAAATCTCACTTACTTTGTCTTCTAATTACTCTAACTATAAAATGACAATAGTATCCACTGCACACAAGGCACTGTGATCTAGATCTACACAGGAATGAACAACAGATAGCGGACAATGGTTCCCTTTTAAACTCGTGCCAAAGTTTAGAAGATTTTCTCGTGTATTGCAGATGAGGTCAAATACACAAATACTTCTCTACTCCACTGTCTGATGACTAGGGTGTCTGACAAATGGGCATGTACCTAACATGAATAGTGTGGAAATTGAAGTATATGACCGATTATAATTAATTAGGCGTTACGTAATGCAATGAGCGGTCTACCGTTAAGAAACAAAAAACTTCGTATGATGTAAATCTTTTGATCGTTACCTAGATAAGCAAGTAATCAATAGCAACCAACAAGTTATGTACATAGATTAATCATTACTCCAAACTCTTTGACCTCTTGGGGGGAAGGCATTTCAAAATAAATATTGGATGGAGATATCAAAAGAAGGAATGGTATCGTTTGCGTCTAGTCATGGTTCCTGGTATGAGACCTTTTAATATGGGAATCGTTTTGATTCCGTGTCGTTTAATGTATTATCATTTGTTCAACTGTTATTTTTAATACGAAAAACAACATACAAATCTTTTTTTTCCGAGGATACTGACACTGAGTTTAATGAAAATAGATCTATATAGAAAATATTATTGTTTATTTTTTTAATTATTTTATTTTTCTCTCTATTCGTTAAATCAACGCAGGTGAGTAGTATATATGATGGTAAAAAGACGATAGTTGCCAAGTATTATTGTCGTGGAATTATATGCATTAAAATATTATATATCCGTTTCCGAACGTTTGGGAAGGGGAATCCCCGAAAGTTCGCCAACTGAAGTATCACAGAGTTACCTCCCCTTGTCAACAGTGGATTTCCGGAATAACTATGGGGGAGTCGAGTGGCAGATTCTGCTATGTTTACAGTTGTGATGTAGATGTGAATGTTGAAATCAAAATGTAAGTCATAACTTATATTCTATCAAGACATGTAGCATGTTCCGTAGGGGCATTTATGTGTAATCAATCTTTCGGTGTTACCCAGTGATGACTAGTCACAGGCTCAGTTTGACGTTCACTTTTCTCTAGATCTACATGCTTACAGACAAATTATCAGATATACTTTCTTTATACTGTCTGCATTAAACATGTCAGTCAGCTTTTTGTGATTTAATAACAAAATACTACAAAAAGTTATTCTTAACTCATATTTTATTCCAACCTTTTTGAAGATTTATTCTTCAATCTCTTGCAAATGGTGTTTGTTTTAATAGTAACTTAGTAATTAGTATCTCGTATTCACATTTATTACCTTGCTGACACTGTGTTGATGCAATGGTACTCATAATTTTTGTAAGATATTCCTATTATTACAAAGCAAACATGGTAAATTAATGCTTCCTTCAGATGAAAGTTACAAAGCACTCACGGGCGCAAGGCTTGTTGGGAATTATATGAATAGTTCAACACCTGCTTTTGTCAACCAGGACAGTCTATCACTGGTTTCATTGCTGAACTTAGGCGTCTAGCCGATTGTTGTGAGTATGGCAGGGAGTTGGAAAACATGATCAGGGATCGTTTGGTTTGTGGGGCATTGGATGATGCTGCTACAGGTGTGGGTACAACAAATATACACCAGATAAATGTAGTAGGCTCATTGATGCTGAGTGCAGTTACTGTCACATAAGGGGACATATCAACAGGGCATGCCTCAAAAAGAAGAAAGAAGAACCTTTTTTGAGAGATGTAGGGTATATCCGCTACAGCTTCCCCCCGAAAACAGAGATCACCCTATCTGCATACAAATACTCATTCATGTACACCATGAGCCGTCTACCTTTGTAAGCATCCTTGACAGCAGTACCCACACTACCAGACAATATTCTTCATGGAATTCCTTGAGTCAATGCCTATAAAGGCAAGGGACATTGAGAAGTGGACAAACTCTGATTCAGTGCTATCACGTGTGTGCAGACTTGTAGAAGACGGATGGTCGTCAAATACTCCTGATGTCACCCTTAACCATTCTGGGGCGGTCGGATAGCCTAGTGGTTAAAGCGTTCGCTCGTCACGCTGAAGACCCGGGTTCGATTCCCGACATGGGTACAATGTGTGAAGCCCATTTCTGGTTTCCCCTGCCGTGATGTTGCTGGAATATTGCTAAAAGCGGCGTAAAACCATACTCACTCATTCACACTTAAACCATTCTACACTCAACCTGATGAGAATGTTCACGGCTCCATATCACCCAGGGTCAAACGGTCTATCTAAATGTACAGCCCAAACCTTGAAGGAAGGTCTGAAAAAGATGGAGGGTGGAACTGTGTGTTCCAAAGTATCACACTTTCTCTTCAGGTACCGAACATTACCAGATACTACTAACGACAAAAACGCCAGCAGAACTTATGTTTGGAAGGAGTGATGAGAACCATGTGACTCCATCCATCAAGATGAATCGGAGAAAGTCATGAAAGACCAAGCCAAGCAAGATACTGTCTGAAGGTGACCCTGTATGTGGCACCAACTTTGGTAGTGGTCAGCAAGGATACCAGGGACTATTGTCAAGATCTCAAGTTGCGTGTGTGAAGTTGAACTCCCTGACAGCCGTGTCATTCGGAAACACTGTGATACGTTACACCAGGTGACATCTGCTAATGTTCAGAAGTCACCGCGCCTGTAATCACTCCCCACCATGTGTCAATAGGTGGTAGTGATAATCAAGCCCGGTCTCAACGAACAAGGAATGGGCAGAACCCTCACTGCTACCCAGCGTTAGATATTGGCAGAAGTCCTATAGTCCTTGCCAAACTGCCCAATAGTCAAGGTATCCATATGACTAGTAGAAATCTTCAAGGGTTTTGCTATATGTTATCATAATAAGGACAAGTGGATTAAAACTGTTAAGTTTCTATCACTGCTACCCCAGTGAAAGCAGAGAATACCAGAGTCTTCAGAGACACTGAGAGTATCGACCAGAACAGCAAAAGCTCCAATTAGTCTGGATCTGTACACTTGGCAGTTCGTGTGAACAAATCATTAAACAAATACTAGTGGATACACGATCAGTTGAACATGAATGTTGAACTCTAGTCATCGACACTTATGTTTCAGATCTCAAAGGACTATATGATGTATGTCATCTAGATTTTTCACTTGTTTTGTTTTGTTTCATTGTCCGAAAATAAGCCCATGATAGAAACTAATATCAATCCATGTAGGGGGAATGTTACATGGTAAACATTGTAAACAAAAACTCATAATAGGTTTTACTTTAAAAGTAAAACCTCTTAATAGGTTTTACTTTGAAAGTAAAACCTCTTGATAGGTTTTACTTTGAAAGTAAAACCTCACAATAGGTTTTAATGCCTATAGAAAGAACTCTCTTACTTAATAGAGATCCCAATGAATAGGTTTATAAGTTAGATATAACACTTCCCCTCAGGTTTTTATGATATTTAAAACCCAAAATTTTGGGATTAGACCTCGGGGCTGACGCGTCTCGTTTATTTCCCATGGGTGCAGGTTTTAGGTATCATAAAAACCCTCAGATGTGCTTTATCCTACACATGAACTATTTATGTGACTAGATAGAATTTCAAGTAACAATGACATGCTGCATGGTTTCAGTGGCACACTCGAGGGTCTGCGAGACAGACCGAGCTACAAGGAGTTGCTGGAGGATCCTATGCTGAAGTTTTCTGGGGCGTATCAGGAAGGATGCTCCGACATCTATGTGACCTGCCAGGTGTGTGCCGATGGCCGACCCCTCGCCCTGCCCGTCTCCACCTCCTACAAGGCCTTCAGTACACGCTGGAAGTAAGTAACTATACCCTGCCCGTCTCCACCTCCTACAAGGCCTTCAGTACACGCTGGAAGTAAGTAACTATACCCTGTCTGTCTCCACCTCCTCCAAGGCCTTCAATACATGCTGGAAGTAAGTAACTATACCCTGCCTGTCTCCACCTCCTACAAGGCCTTCAGTACACGCTGGAAGTAAGTAACTATACCCTGTCCGTCTCCACCTCCTACAAGGCCTTCAGAACACGCTGGAAGTAAGTAACTATACCCTGCCCGTCTCCACCTCCTGCAAGGCCTTCAGTACACGCTGGAAGTAAGTAACTATACCCTGCCCGTCTCACCCTCCTACAAGGCCTTCAGTACACGCTGGAAGTAAGTAACTATACCCTGCCCGTCTCCACCTCCTACAAGGCCTTCAGTACACGCTGGAAGTAAGTAACTATACCCTGTCCGTCTCCACCTCCTACAAGGCCTTCAGTACACGCTGGAAGTAAGTAACTATACCCTGTCCGTCTCCACCTCCTACAAGGCCTTCAGAACACGCTGGAAGTAAGTAACTATACCCTGCCCGTCTCCACCTCCTACAAGGTCTTCAGTACACGCTGGAAGTAAGAAACTATACCCTGCCCGTCTCCACCTCCTACAAGGCCTTCAGTACACGCTGGAAGTAAGTAACTATACCCTGTCCGTCTCCACCTCCTACAAGGCCTTCAGTACACGCTGGAAGTAAGTAACTATACCCTGTCCGTCTCCACCTCCTACAAGGCCTTCAGTACACGCTGGAAGTAAGTAACTAGACCCTGCCCATCTCCACCTCCTACAAGGCCTTCAGTACACGCTGGAAGTAAGTAACTATACCCTGCCTGTCTCCACCTCCTATAAGGCCTTCAGTACACGCTGGAAGTAAGTAACTAGACCCTGCCTGTCTCCACCTCCTACAAGGCCTTCAGTACACGCTGGAAGTAAGTAACTATACCCTGCCTGTCTCCACCTCCTACAAGGCCTTCAGCACACGCTGGAAGTAAGTAACTATACCCTGCCTGTCTCCACCTCCTGCAAGGCCTTCAGTACACGCTGGAAGTAAGTAACTATACCCTGTCTGTCTCCACCTCCTACAAGGCCTTCAGTACACGCTGGAAGTAAGTAACTATACCCTGTCTGTCTCCATCTCCTACAAGGCCTTCAGTACATGCTGGAAGTATGTAACTATACCCTGTCCGTCTCCACCTCCTACAAGGCCTTCAGTACACGCTGGAAGTATGTAACTATACCCTGTCCGTCTCCACCTCCTACAAGGCCTTCAGTACACGCTGGAAGTAAGTAACTATACCCTGCCCATCTCCACTTCCTACAAGGCCTTCAGTACACGCTGGAAGTAAGTAACTATACCCTGTCCGTCTCCACCTCCTGCAAGGCCTTCAGTACACGCTGGAAGTAAGTAACTAGACCCTGTCTGTCTCCACCTCCTACAAGGACTTCAGTACACACTGGAAGTAGGTAACTATACCCTGTCTGTCTCCACCTCCTACAAGGCCTTCAGTACACGCTGGAAGTAAGTAACTATACCCTGCCCGTCTCCACCTCCTGCAAGGCCTTCAGTACACGCTGGAAGTATGTAACTATACCCTGCCCGTCTCCACCTCCTGCAAGGCCTTCAGTACACGCTGGAAGTAAGTAACTATACCCTGCCCGTCTCCACCTCCTGCAAGGCCTTCAGTACACGCTGGAAGTAAGTAACTAGACCATGTCTGTCTCCAACTCCTACAAGGCCTTCAGTACATGCTGGAAGTAAGTAACTATACCCTGTCCGTCTCCACCTCCTACAAGGCCTTTAGTACACGCTGGAAGTAAGTAACTATACCCTGCCCTTCTCCACCTCCTACAAGGCCTTCAGTACATGCTGGAAGTAAGTAACTATACCCTGTCTGTCTCCACCTCCTGCAAGGCCTTCAGTACACACTGGAAGTAAGTAACTAGACCCTGTCCGTCTCCACCTCCTGCAAGGCCTTCAGTACATGCTGGAAGTAAGTAACTATACCCTGCCCATCTCCACCTCCTGCAAGGCCTTCAGTACACGCTGGAAGTAAGTAACTAGACCCTGCCCGTCTCACCCTCCTACAAGGCCTTCAGTACACGCTGGAAGTAAGTAACTATACCCTGCCCGTCTCCACCTCCTGCAAGGCCTTCAGTACACGCTGGAAGTAAGTAACTAGACCCTGTCTGTCTCCACCTCCTGCAAGGCCTTCAGTACACGCTGGAAGTAAGTAACTATACCCTGTCTGTCTCCACCTCCTGCAAGGCCTTCAGTACACACTGGAAGTAAGTAACTATACCCTGTCTGTCTCCACCTCCTACAAGGCCTTCAGTACATGCTGGAAGTAAGAAAATATACCCTGCCTGTCTCCACCTCCTACAAGGCCTTCAGTACACGCTGGAAGTAAGAAACTATACCCTGCCCGTCTCCACCTCCTACAAGGCCTTCAGTACATGCTGGAAGTAAGTAACTAGACCCTGTCTGTCTCCACCTCCTGCAAGGCCTTCAGTACACACTGGAAGTAAGTAACTAGACCCTGCCCGTCTCACCCTCCTACAAGGCCTTCAGTACACGCTGGAAGTAAGTAACTATACCCTGCCCGTCTCCACCTCCTGCAAGGCCTTCAGTACACGCTGGAAGTAAGTAACTAGACCCTGTCCGTCTCCACCTCCTGCAAGGCCTTCAGTACACACTGGAAGTAAGTAACTAGACCCTGTCTGTCTCCACCTCCTGCAAGGCCTTCAGTACACGCTGGAAGTAAGTAACTATACCCTGTCTGTCTCCACCTCCTGCAAGGCCTTCAGTACACACTGGAAGTAAGTAACTATACCCTGTCTGTCTCCACCTCCTACAAGGCCTTCAGTACACGCTGGAAGTAAGAAACTATACCCTGCCCGTCTCCACCTCCTACAAGGCCTTCAGTACATGCTGGAAGTAAGTAACTAGACCCTGTCTGTCTCCACCTCCTGCAAGGCCTTCAGTACACACTGGAAGTAAGTAACTAGACCCTGCCCGTCTCACCCTCCTACAAGGCCTTCAGTACACGATGGAAGTAAGTAACTATACCCTGCCCGTCTCCACCTCCTGCAAGGCCTTCAGTACACGCTGGAAGTAAGTAACTAGACCCTGTCCGTCTCCACCTCCTGCAAGGCCATCAGTACACACTGGAAGTAAGTAACTATACCCTGTCTGTCTCCACCTCCTACAAGGCCTTCAGTACTGCTGGAAGTAAGTAACTATACCCTGCCAGTCTCCACCTCCTACAAGGCCTTCAGTACACGCTGGAAGTAAGTAACTATGCCCTGCCCGTCTCCACCTCCTGCAAGGCCTTCAGTACACGCTGGAAGTAAGTAACTAGACCCTGTCTGTCTCCACCTCCTGCAAGGCCTTCAGTACACACTGGAAGTAAGTAACTATACCCTGTCTGTCTCCACCTCCTACAAGGCCTTCAGTACATGCTGGAAGTAAGTAACTATACCCTGCCCTTCTCCACCTCCTACAAGGCCTTCAGTACACGCTGGAAGTAAGTAACTATACCCTGTCTGTCTCAACCTCCTACAAGGCCTTCAGTACACGCTGGAAGTAAGTAACTATACCCTGCCCGTCTCCACCTCCTGCAAGGCCTTCAGTACACGCTGGAAGTTAGTAACTAGACCCTGCCCGTCTCCACCTCCTGCAAGGCCATCAGTACACGCTGGAAGTAAGTAACTATACCCTGCCTGTCTCCACCTCCTGCAAGGCCTTCAGTACATGCTGGAAGTAAGTAACTATACCCTGCCCGTCTCCACCTCCTGCAAGGCCTTCAGTACACGCTGGAAGTAAGTAACTATACCCTGCCCGTCTCCACCTCCTGCAAGGCCTTCAGTACACGCTGGAAGTAAGTAACTAGACCCTGTCTGTCTCCACCTCCTACAAGGCCTTCAGTACACGCTGGAAGTAAGTAACTATACCCTGTCTGTCTCCACCTCCTACAAGGCCTTCAGTACATGCTGGAAGTAAGTAACTATACCCTGCCTGTCTCCACCTCCTACAAGGCCTTCAGTACACGCTGGAAGTAAGTAACTATACCCTGCCCGTCTCCACCTCCTGCAAGGCCTTCAGTACACGCTGGAAGTAAGTAACTAGACCCTGTCTGTCTCCACCTCCTGCAAGGCCTTCAGTACACACTGGAAGTAAGTAACTATACCCTGTCTGTCTCCACCTCCTACAAGGCCTTCAGTACATGCTGGAAGTAAGTAACTATACCCTGCCCTTCTCCACCTCCTACAAGGCCTTCAGTACACGCTGGAAGTAAGTAACTATACCCTGTCTGTCTCAACCTCCTACAAGGCCTTCAGTACACGCTGGAAGTAAGTAACTATACCCTGCCCGTCTCCACCTCCTGCAAGGCCTTCAGTACATGCTGGAAGTTAGTAACTAGACCCTGCCCGTCTCCACCTCCTGCAAGGCCTTCAGTACACGCTGGAAGTAAGTAACTATACCCTGCCTGTCTCCACCTCCTGCAAGGCCTTCAGTACATGCTGGAAGTAAGTAACTATACCCTGTCTGTCTCCACCTCCTGCAAGGCCTTCAGTACACACTGGAAGTAAGTAACTAGACCCTGTCCGTCTCCACCTCCTGCAAGGCCTTCAGTACATGCTGGAAGTAAGTAACTATACCCTGCCCATCTCCACCTCCTGCAAGGCCTTCAGTACATGCTGGAAGTAAGTAACTATACCCTGCCCGTCTCCACCTCCTGCAAGGCCTTCAGTACACGCTGGAAGTAAGTAACTATACCCTGCCCGTCTCCACCTCCTGCAAGGCCTTCAGTACACGCTGGAAGTAAGTAACTAGACCCTCCCTGTCTCCACCTCCTGCAAGGCCTTCAGTACACGCTGGAAGTAAGTAACTATATCCTGCCCGTCTCCACCTCCTGCAAGGCCTTCAGTACACGCTGGAAGTAAGTAACTAGACCCTGCCCGTCTCCACCTCCTGCAAGGCCTTCAGTACACGCTGAAAGTAAGTAACTATACCCTGTCTGTCTCCACCTCCTACAAGGCCTTCAGTACATGCTGGAAGTAAGTAACTATACCCTGCCTGTCTCCACATCCTACAAGGCCTTCAGTACACGCTGGAAGTAAGTAACTATACCCTGTCCGTCTCCACCTCCTACAAGGCCTTCAGTACACGCTGGAAGTAAGTAACTATACCCTGTCTGTCTCCACCTCCTACAAGGCCTTCAGTACACGCTGGAAGTAAGTAACTATTCTGCACAAGCAGCACTGTAACCATGCTTCTGTTTGGAGAACTGAAGACATGAAAGAGGCTTGCATGTTTATGGTAAATAAGAATACAAATATTTTATATTAAAGGGATTTTTAGAAAGTATTGTACATTGTCGGTTAGTTCAAATAAATAAAATGAATGATATAAAGTGTCTTTTTCAGTGACAAACAGACAATGTCAAAGGTTTTGCTTTGCATTCCTTTTTGCCAGATTCAGCCGGAAACTAAAATAAATATATTTTGTGATACAATGTATAACTTTGTGAAACTTTTGGTAATGATGATTGTATTTGAACCTGAGCAAGTGAGTAGTGATGGGACCATGTGTCTGGTCGGGTAGCCTAGTGGTTAAAGCGTTCACTCGTCATGCCTAAGACCCGGTTTCGATTCCCGACATGGGTACAATGTGTGAAGCCTATTTCTGGTGTCCCCCGTTGTGATATTGCTGGAATATTGCTAAAAGCGGCGTAAAACCATACTCACTCACTCACTCATACAGGAAGGAATGTAATCATACAATTAAATAGTCGCTGACGTGTGACAATATATATTCCATTAGGTAACTCCAGTAACAACATGATGAAATCTCTTCATTTGTGCAGTGGTATTGATTCTTAGTGTGACTGAATAATTACTAGTTATCAGATTTCCTAACCATGCATATTGTTTACTTTCAGTTGGAATGAGTGGATTCAGCTGCCAGTGAAATTCAGTGATCTTCCAAGAAATGCCTTCCTAGCACTGACCGTCTGGGACATTTATGGCACAAACAAGGCTCACCCTGTGGGTGGGACGACCATCTCCCTGTTCGGGAAGAGAGGGTAAGATAAACATGTCTCAATCTCATTGAAATCAGATCTTAGTTCTCGCTACTGCTAAACAAAGATCTGAGGACATGACATTATAGGTCACGTCAGAACGACCTTTCATCCGACCAATCAGAGTGTCGCTTGCCAGATCAGGAAAGTGACAGTCGGAATTTGTTTTCTTACCATGCAACCTCGAAGGGGTAATGGAAGGACAGTTACATGCTTTACGACTGAATCCATACAATTTAGGACCTCTTTCAGTCATTCCAAAATGTTCTTTTGTTCAGTTTTCAAATATTTAATCTAGAATTTGTTGAAATATGTTTCGAAGCATAGTCGCCAGTTTGAAACTAGTGCCGTAAAGCAGGAGAAAGCTACCTTCTGATTGGCTGATGTTGACTTCTTGTCAGTCAATCCATTAGTCAGACAAAGTTCCCGAAAGGTCAGTCTGACGTGACCCATAATGGGGTGTCTTCAGATCTTTGTTTAGCGGTAGCGAGAACTGAGATCTGATGTTAATGAGATTGAACATATCATCACCATCAGGCAGCTTTTAGGCTAGATGTTAGGCCTGGGATGACATCACTATAGGGGAGGTGTCTGGCCTGGGGCAGTTCAAACTGGATACTACTACCTAACCTTCACTCACGTGGGTATTCATTTAATATCGATATGCCTCATTACAAATGACAGTAAATATGCTGACTCATCATGCTTTTAATGTACCCTTAATGTTAAGCGCCAGGCAGGGTAACAAAGGTACTGTCTTTTAACATCTTTTGGTATGAGATAAAACCACTGAACTTCCACTGAGGCGGTATGTACGTGATTAAATAGATGACCCGCCAGATCCATACCTTTGATATCGAGTGGGTGGGTTAGAACATTGCCCTGAGAAATAACATTAAAATTTGCTGTGCAGAGTTGCACCCCTTGGGCATGTCAGAACTCTATAATCATTGGATCAAATCCCGGTTCGCCCCGATTATGTTTCTAGGCTTGTTGGCACCATACCCATGCTCATGGGTTTTACCAAAGTGGTAAACATTTCAGACCTGTCTCACTTTGGGCTTTCCTCCCACACTAAACTGACACGCCGTGATATAACTGGAACACTATTCAAAGTGGCGTTTAACCCAACTCACTCACTTAATAACCTTGATGGTGTGATTGTTTGTAGGACATTCCGCCAGGGCATGCATGACTTGAAGGTGTGGCCGAAGGTTGTTGCCGACATATCCTCCAAGATGACCACACTAGGGAAGACCAAAGACGCCAATGATCAGATGAGTCGACTGGCTAAAGTAAGCATTTCTTTGTCTTCTTTATTTAGGAACATGTTTGTTATATGGGGTACTCGATAGTTGTCTTGTGCATTTAGAACAAAAGTAATTGGTTACATTAAGTTATCAAGCATTGAAAGAATCATGAATGCATTGAAGATTGAAGAGAGGCTGAAACAGTGCCATGGTTCTGATGAGTTGGCTTTGAAAATAGGCATCATTCTTAAATCCATGTGGACAAACATATACATGTACTTATCTGAAGGTCGAAGACTTTGTAAAATTGCATCAAACAATTACCCTGTAGCATATTTCAAGAAATTGAACGTGGTGAAACATACCTTATTCGACGTAATAAGCGCCCCGCTCTAATAAGCGCCCACGGTGATATTTACTAAATATTGGCTAGTGAACAATCCCAATAAGCACCCCTTCCGATTGATCAATGTACACAAGACTTATTTATTCGTGTATAATACGCACTCGTGTGTTATATGCACCCAAAATTATATTCTAATAAGAGCCCCCTATTTCTAAGTTTGAGAGCGTCCTGGGCGCTTATTACGTCTAATACGGTATATGCCTTATGATAATGTGGATCCTGTTAATTCTAAGCAATAGAGGACAAGTGACGACCTTATCTGGATCTGAAGGTGTAGTTGTTGGGCTTGGCTTCACCTTGCACTATTGTTCTCGGAACTGTTTCTTATTTCTCTGATAAAGTACTGTCACAACTCCTCTGTCTGTGCAAGAGCACAGCCAAATACCCATGAAAAGCTTTACCATATCATAAACCGTTCACTGTCCACTCACGCCTATGGCCCAGGCTCTGAGTAAATCATGGGCAGATGCAGCTCGGGCTCACTTTTGACTACAGTGTATTGGTTGGGTCATATATATACTACCAGCAATAAATAAGGGAACTGATGACTTTCATTTAGCTTCATTGACAATACCAAGTACGATGAGACCCAGCTCCAACCAACATGGCCCAGTTTTGGATAGCTCATCAGGCGGAATGGTGGGCAATACCAAGGGCAACCATACGCAAGTTACTGTATTCGACGTAATAAGTGCCCAGGGCGCTCTCAAAATTAGAAATAGGGGGCTCTTATTAGAATATTTTTTTAGTGGGAAAAAAAACAGAGTTAAAAGATAAACTTCGTTGTTTATGCTGACAGCCTGAAATGTTTACGTACGACATATATTTTTCCGGAATTTAATTGCCCATAATTAAGTGTGTATATAACACATGAGTGCGTATTATACATGAATAAATAAGTCTTGTGTACATTGATCAATCGGAAGGGGTGCTGATTAGGATTGTTCACTGGCAAATATATTAGCAAATATCGCCGTGGGCGCTTATTAGAGCGGGTCGCTTATTACGTAGAATACGGTAATCAACATTATGCCATCATGGTGCCGTGCATGTTTCGGCCAACATGGTGGACACACCAGATATTGATCTACACAGCCGGAATTAATATTACAGACATTTATTGTGATTACACCTCCACTTTCATGTCATCAGTTTCCTTATTTTTGTCGGTACTTTATTTGTACTGCACATGCCCCAAATGATGAATCACTGGATCAGAGTCTGTAGCTGTGATGTGATTAAGTCCTGGATTTGAATAAGCCCTGTCAGTATTGTGAGATATGTACTGGATGAATTGTCAGCTGAGCAAGAGACATCGAGATGGGCACATGGTGAAGGTGGACTGGCTGGATCGGCTGACGTTCCGGGAGATCGAGATGATCAACGAGAGGCAGAAGAGGGACTCCAACTTCATGTATCTCATGATTGAGTTCCCTTTTGTCCACTACGAAAATACACAGTTCTCGGTCGTCTACTTCGAAAAGGTACGATCTTCGCATTACGTATCTGTTTTGGATGACAAAGTAACATACAAATGTGCATCATTGCAATCCCTTGTGTACTCATACCCTTTCATGACTGTTCTTATTTAATTCAGAGCAAGTTCATGACACTTGATATTACATATGTCAAATTAGATGTTGATTGTCTGCATTAAAATATGATCATATTGAGTCTAACAAGTTGTAAACACTCTTAATAATATGGATATATTACAACATTTATATGTTGGTTGTCTGAAGTAAAGAATGTTCATACCATAGTAAATTCTTCCCTCCAGATTTCCAATTTCCAAGTTTTAGTGATGATGAATTTCTTAAAACACCAATCACATCTATTAGTTTACCCTCATAAATAAGGTCCATGATATGGATGAAGTCCTGCCTATGTGACTTAAAACTCGAACTCACTCAGGTGTAGTAATGTTGTAATGGTTTTAACTTGTAAACTCAGCTAGGTACTCTATGTTCGAATGATTCTTAATATAGCAGTAGCAGTGTGTTTTCTCTGCTCCTTAAGTGTCACCCATGAACAATGACTGTCGACTGTCGACTGTTAAAGAGACATATTTCCCGATTGTTCCAAGCCACACAACAGCATGCAGATGAGGACTTATCCAACTCTGTCTTGCAAGAAACCTCACTTATACAATTCATAGAGAGTATCTGGCATTTCTTGGCATTTGAGGTGGTTTTCTCATGAACTGATCAAGTGACCTGCAAAAATATAATCTCCTTGACTGGTGAAAATGTTCAGTTACTGAGAGTGAAATATTCATTTTATATTTGCAGATAAGTATTATACTTCATCATTAGATTCCTACTAAGTGTATATTGCATGAAACTAGAGATATGTTATTTGGTGATGTGAAAAGATACAACTATTACATAACAAGTCATGTCCCTACTGTAGTGGTTGTTGAATTAAATCAGGTTAATGTGAACATCTTTTAAACAAGACTAGTCCTTTCCTAAAATTAAGAATAAAAACCTCATGCAACTAATTAATTAGTATGTTAGTCATATCTTATAAACCCATATTGATTAGACCAAATAAGAACCTTTTGAAGCCTACAGGTCAAGTTGACACTGATCTGAAAGGGACCCGTGGCTTGTACAGAGGTTATGTAAGAGCTTGGGGATGAGGGTGTGTTTAACCTAGCTGTCACCCCACACCAGTGGCAGTGAATGACTCCATAAGCTGAAGACTTCTCCACTCTTCATACCGACATGGGTCAGTCCACTGGTAACTGAAGGGCTGGAACACTTCGCCCTGTTAAACATGATACTCTGTGTCATTGTTTTACAGTTTACAGTCATATGCTCGTGTCCTATATTCTTACAAACAATGAACAATGCAGGTTGTGTGAACAATTTGACATGATGGAGTTTTATCGTGTGCACGATCCTATTTTCATCTGGAGAAAAGTGCTGGTAAATTTATGTAATAGGTACTCAACATTAATTTTGTGTTGACAGCCTTACATACTCTATTCATCACTATTAGGTTATGAAGGAGAAAATAGTATTTAGTAGAACTTGGCAAACAAGGTTTCCTGTTATATATTTTAATGGGTTTGTTGAAGTTGGTATTGAATAAAAAACAAGTTCTTGGACTATGACTTATTTTGATCGATGGGGACATTTCTGTATAAATTCTTACGCCAATGTTATTCTAGCTTGAGATTTTGTAAGAATCTACACCAAAACTCTGCCATACCTTTATCATAATTAATCACTGAAATAGTGAACTGTTTCACTTTCCTTTGAGGTATGTATTCTCTAACTCAGTATTCAGGAGGTACTTCAGAAGTGGAGATTAATGAGTAGTGCTCAGTACGAGTGCTGCCAGTCTGTTGTGTACCAGTCCAGCCAGGTTACTGCATGTCTGTCATCTAATTGCAGGATGCGGACAGACCGTTCGAGTTTCGAACACAAGCAGAGATTGTCACAGTACCAGATCCAGAGATTCTTATGGTAAATATGATACACAGTGAAACCCTCCCTAACATCTACCTGACATCAAGTCCATAATACTTGGGGTATGCTTGCCATACTACTACTGGGTGGTTAGCGCTTCGACGCATCACACTGAAGAGTTCGATTCCCCACATGGGTACAATGTGTGCAGCCCATTTCTGGTGTCCCAAGCCATGATATTGCTGGAATATTGCTAAAAGTGGCCAGAGCTCCAGATAAGCTTTTGGTGTTGTGGGTATTTTACCCATGCATTTTAAAATCATTGGGTATCAGTAATTCTATCTGGGTATTCAAATTTCTGTTACCCACTAGTTTTTACACATGTGGGTATTTAAGTTAAATATTTAAAAACACTATTCATCAAGACTCTGCAAACTGGTGTCGTGTGGTTTTGAGAGCTTTATAGGACTAAAAAATACCACGATACTTCCACAAGAAAGTGTGATGGCAAATGATCATGATGTAACTGTCATCGTGGAGTTTGGCAAGATTGACGGAATGCCCGGTTATAATTTCAAAATAGTTGCTGATTTGCTAATCGAATACGCAGGGTTCCTTCACAATATTTTGATGATACGCACAAGTTTTACTTTTGTAGCGTATCCCTTATGTTCGTTGCGCATCTGATACGCTTGGATTTAATTTTACTGCATATTTCTGCATTTCTGATGCGTATTTTACGCAGATATGCAGCTTATCTGGAGCTCTGAGTGGCACTCGCTCATTCACTAAATAGTTAGTCTTGTCAGACAATGCAAGTAGACTGTATATTGTACAATGCTCATTGTGTATGATTCATGCAAGGTTTGTGACATACAGATTTTGAATAGTAACTCATGATAGATACACTCACACTTATGTTTGTGACCATTCAGGAAATTATTTATCAGGAAAAGCTGACCTGGCATGTTTCATATGTTGCAACCCACCAAATACAACACAATTAATGTCTTCTACTGAAAACTGGTAGTATGTGTGCCCCAGTTGTCTGAGGTGCCACAATTTGCTGTTCAGAGTTGCCTCCCTTAGGGGTGCCAGAACCCTATGATTGTGGGATTGTATCCCAGATTTGCAATAATTGTGTCCTAGGTTTGTCAGCACTATCTTGACATGTCCATGTTCATGGGCTTCACAAAACTTGTAAGTGTCTAAGGCTTGCTCTCGCATCAAGCAGACATACCACTGAAATACTAAACCCAGCTCACTCACTCACTCAACTACAACTGTTGCAGGAGAACCTGGTAGAGAGCAAGCACCACAAGCTGGCCAGGAGTCTGAGGAGCGGCCCCACTGACCGCGACATGAAGCCGGACGCCAAGACAAGAGACCATCTCAATGTAAGTGTTTAGAGTGTAGTCGTCACAGGTTGTTTCACATACAGAAGGGAGAGCATTGAGTGAACGTGTTGCTAAGACAAGGGACCATCTCAATGTAAGTTTTTAGAGTTTAGTTGTCACAGGTTGTTTCACATACAGAAGGGAGAGCATTGAGTGAACGTGTTGCTAAGACAAGGGACCATCTCAATGTAAGTGTTTAGAGTTTAGTTGTCACAGGTTGTTTCACATACACAAGGGAGAGCATTGAGTGAACGTGTTGCTAAGACAAAGGACCATCTCAATGTAAGTGTTTAGAGTGTAGTCTAGGTTGTTTCACATACACAAGGGAGAGCATTGAGTGAACATGTTGCTAAGACAAGGGACCATCTCAATGTACGTCTTTACAGCGTTGTCACGTCACAGTTTGTTTCACATACACGAGGGAGAGCATTGAGTGAACGTGTTGCTAAGACAAGGGACCATCTCAGTATTAGTCATAACAGCTCTGTCTCATCAAAATTGTTGTCATCTCAGTGTACTTCACTATATCACTGACCTGTTGGGATTCCTGCGTAGAATTGAACCGGTGCTTGTCATCGGGGGCGACACAATGGATAAGGTGGTCAGGCTCAGTGATTTGGTTGATTGTTTGTCATCACAGCCTGACAGTGTTGGACTTTGCACATGATGTAAAAAAATGGTTTGTGTGGTCCAGACTCAATTATTTCCTGGCCGTGTCATATAGCTGGAATACTGCTGAGTGCTGAGTGTGGCCTTAGGAATTCAGTGAATGCATTGCTACACTTGTCAGTATAAGGACATAATGTCATCATAAATTCAGCACAAATCTCATTTAGCCAGATATGCTGGAACTTTAATATAGACTTGGAACAGTCATTGTGCTGGCATTGTGTAAGTAGGTCCAAGACATTTAACAGCATGATACATTAGTGATTTAGTTACATGTGCTTAATGCTAGTATGAAGTTAGAGAATGTCCTACTTGTGCTAGGGAATCCTTCAGTGGATTTCTGTGTATTTGTACATGCTGTCATATCTTGTATTCAAGTATGGTGAGTGTGCCCATGTGAATTGTTTTCTTGTGCCTGTAAATAATAATCATGTCAACACCTTTCTCAGACCATTGTGAGCTACCCACCGACGAAGCAACTGACATCTGAGGAACAAGACTTGCTGTGGAAGTTCCGCTTCTATCTCTCCAGCCAGAAACAGGTGAGACAGCCTGCCCCATAGCCTGAGATATATGGAACACGGACTTGGTTTAATAGTGATCAGATAACACTGAAACTGATGGGAGGCTGATGATTATTGTGAAGGCAACCCCAGCTGAAAACCCCTACAATATGTATCTCTGACACAAATTAATCTTTTTTAAGCTGCAGGAAAGGCATATGCAAGACCTGGTTATAAACATGAAAAAGTTTGCTGGTATGATGCCATTTGGAAAGAATGTCAGTGACAAAAATCTAGAGATTTTACACAAACCACCTGTCAAAAATGAGCTGTGGATTAGTTGGATTAACCCTGTTAGAATCTGAAATATTGTTGCAAGAATTCTCAATTATACTGATACTGCTTTTCAGGCGCTGACTAAGTTCCTGAAATGTGTGAACTGGTCCACGGCACAGGAGGCGAGGCAGGCGCTGGATTTGTTGTCCAAGTGGCAACCGATGGATGCCGAAGATGCCCTGGAGCTTCTCACACCGGCCTTCTCACACCCCACGGTCAGGAAGTACGCTGTCACCAGGCTGCGGCAAGCTGATGACGAGGTAAGTGTCGGGGAACACCAGCCTTCTCACACCCCATGGTCAGGAAGTACGCTGTCACCAGGCTGCGGCAAGCTGATGACGAGGTAAGTGTCGGGGGAACACCAGCCTTCTCACACCCCACGGTCAGGAAGTACGCTGTCACCAGACTGCGGCAAGCTGATGACGAGGTAAGTGTCGGGGAACACCGGCCTTCTCACACCCCATGGTCAGGAAGTACGCTGTCACCAGGCTGCGGCAAGCTGATGACGAGGTAAGTGTCGGGGGAACACCAGCCTTCTCACACCCCACGGTCAGGAAGTACGCTGTCACCAGACTGCGGCAAGCTGATGACGAGGTAAGTGTCGGGGGAACACCAGCCTTCTCACACCCCACGGTCAGGAAGTACGCTGTCACCAGGCTGCGGCAAGCTGATGACGAGGTAAGTGTCGGGGAACACCAGCCTTCTCACACCCCACGGTCAGGAAGTACGCTGTCACCAGGTTGCGGCAAGCTGATGACGAGGTAAGTGTCGGGGGAACACCAGCCTTCTCACACCCCATGGTCAGGAAGTACGCTGTCACCAGGCTGCGGCAAGCTGATGACGAGGTAAGTGTCGGGGGAACACCAGCCTTCTCACACCCCACAGTCAGGAAGTACGCTGTCACCAGGCTGCGGCAAGCTGATGACGAGGTAAGTGTCGGGGGAACACCAGCCTTCTCACACCCCACGGTCAGGAAGTACGCTGTCACCAGACTGCGGCAAGCTGATGACGAGGTAAGTGTCGGGGAACACCGGCCTTCTCACACCCCACGGTCAGGAAGTACGCTGTCACCGGGCTGCGGCAAGCTGATGACGAGGTAAGTGTCGGGGAACACCGGCCTTCTCACACCCCATGGTCAGGAAGTACGCTGTCACCAGGCTGCGGCAAGCTGATGACGAGGTAAGTGTTGGGGGAACACCAGCCTTCTCACACCCCACGGTCAGGAAGTACGCTGTCACCAGGCTGCGGCAAGCTGATGACGAGGTAAGTGTTGGGGAACACCAGCCTTCTCACACCCCACAGTCAGGAATGACCTCAGACTGACCCTGTGGATGTTTGTCTCACACAGACTGACTCTGTGTATGTTTGTCTGTGTATGTTTGTCTCACACAGACTGACTCTGTGTATGTTTGTCTGTGTATGTTTGTCTCACACAGACTGACTCTGTGTATGTTTGTCTGTGTATGGGACCGCCTCCATGGTCTAGTGGTAGAGCTTCCGCCCAGAGAGCGGAACGTCTGGGGTTCGATCCCAGGCTGCGTTATACCAAAAGACGTTAAAAGACAGTACTTGTTGTTACCCTGTCTGGCGCTCGGCATTAAGGGGCTAAAACAAGGACTGGTCAGCTCAGAGTCCGTATACTGTGTCTGAATGAGGTATTCATGTTAAACTACGGCCTGGTATATCAGTGTGCTAGCACTATAAATGTTTGTCTGTGTATGCTTGTCTCTAAGAGACTGACACAGACTGACCTTTGTATGTTTGTCTCAACACATACTGACCCTGTGTATGATTGTCGCACACAGACTGACCTGTGTATGTTTGTCTTAACACAGACTGACCTGTGTATGTTTGTCTGTGTATGTTTGTCGCACACAGACTGACCTTGTGTATGTTTGTCGCACACAGACTGACCCTGTGTATGATTGTCGCGCACAGACTGACCCTGTGTATGATTGTCGCGCACAGACTGACCCTGTGTATGATTGTCGCACACAGACTGACCTTGTGTATGATTGTCGCGCACATACTGACCCTGTGTATGATTGTCGCGCACATACTGACCCTGTGTATGATTGTCGCGCACAGACTGACCCTGTGTATGTTTGTATCTAGGATCTGCTGCTGTACCTACTCCAGCTGGTCCAAGCACTCAAGTACGAGAACTTCGATGAGATAAAGGAGGGCATGGATACTCCCCCGCCACAGAGAGAGTCGGCCCCCTCTCCAGAAACACCTTCGAGCTCCTCAGAAAAAGAAAGGTCAGTTACTAGAGGAAGTGCATGGCCTGGTGATGCATTAGTTAGATGTGACACAAAGCTCTCTATGAAGGTGAGATGACACAGTGTATTGACTCTGAGACGACCAGTCCTTGTTTTATCCCCTTAATGTGGAGCACCAGGCAAATGCAACACAGAGTGTTTTAAGTACTGTATCAGGATATAAGTATGGATATATAACTCCAGCCAATCAAATGACTATCTCTCACTGGACAAGATACTCCAGCGTTTAAAGACCGCCTCCGTGGTCTTGTGGTAGAGCGTCCGCCCGGAGAGCGGAAGGTCCAGGGTTCGATCCCGGCCGCGGCATACAAAAAGACGTTAAAAGATTGTACTTGTTGTTACCCTGTCTGGCGCTCGGCATTAAGGGGCTAAAACAAGAACTGGTCGGCTCGGAGTCCGTATACTGTGTCTGAGTGGGGTATTCATGTTAAACTGCGGCATGGTATCTCAGTGAGCTAGCACTATAAATCGGCATCAGTCCGGACTAGTACAAGCAGCCACACACACACATACACGTGCATGCCCGTCGCTATATAAGTGCAATAATCTTGGACGCGACGTTAAACCCCATTTCACCTCACCTCCAGCGTTAAATATTAATTAATGAACTACTAGTTTCAGCATTTCTTGTCGTTGATGAATGAGTTGTAATGTTTTTGTTTAGTCGATCTATGAGCACATTATCGAGGGCGTCTTCCCATGATTCCATCCTCGACGCCCTGGGAACATCCCCGCCTGGGAAGGAAGAAACTCCCGAGAACAAGCTTGCTAAAGAGGTGAGTTGTCTCCCTTATGACTCAGATGGAACTGGTTTTGTTTGATGTTTAGCGCTGCCCTCAGCAATCCTCCAGCTATATGATGGCTGTCGGTAAATAATGAAGTCAATCCAGTGATTGACATCATGAGCATCGATCTATGCAATTGGGATACGATGACATATATCAGAGAGCTTGACCAGCTGATCCCGGTTGTTGTCTCTTACAACATGTATGGATTGCTGAGGACTGATTCTGTCCGGGTTAAGCAACAGACAAACAAACTACATCATACATCTATACATCAATCTTCTTTATTGCAGATGGATCTTGCCACCTTTCTCATATGGAAAGCATGTAACAATTCAACTATTGCCAACTATTTCTACTGGTGAGTAATGTCTTGACCTCATTTACAGGACTGATACCTACACATATGAATCGCTCTGTATTCACTCACAATGTTATGTCTCATTATTAGGGCAGTTTGATAGCCAAGTTTGAATCAAGAAAGATGACCTACAATTTGAATATCTGGTCATGAATAAACATCAATTAACAGCAGCAGATGTATCCAGGATTCCAAACTAAGTGCCCTTAGAAAGCAATTTACTCAAATAGATCAGTGAAAGTCACTTCTACACAGCCATAACATTTGTTATAATTCTTGTGAATTTGAATATCTGGTCATGAATAAAGATCAATTAACAGCAGCAGATGTATCCAGGATTCCAAACTAAGTGCCCTTAGAAAGCAATTTATTTAAATAGATCAGTGAAAGTCACTTCTACACAGCCATAACATTTGTTATAATTCTTGTGAATACCCTACCTCTATTACATCATAGCCATAACATTTGTTATTACTGTATACACTTATGATTCTAATTCTGGATGTTTTGTTGACATTTGCTGTAGATTTAGTGAATATTGTTTACTGCAGTATTCCAGCTATGTCACAGCAGCCTGTAAACAATTAAACAAATTAGTGATTGGTACTATCCCATGATATGTCCCATGCTCTCTGGGTATGTCACCGGTCCAACAACTAGCATAAGTTACTGGGGACCAATTCTACCATGAACTCACCATGGCGACAACTTTTGACTGTTGGTGTGCAGGTACTTGTTGGTGGAGTGTGACACTATTGACTGTGTGTCTGTGCAGGTACTTGTTGGAGTGTGCTACTATTGGCTGTGTGTCTGTGCAGGTACTTGTTGGTGGAGTGTGACACTATTGACTGTGTCTGTGCAGGTACTTGTTGGTGGAGTGTACTACTATTGACTGTGTGTCTGTGCAGGTACTTGTTGGAGTGTGCTACTATTGACTGTGTGTCTGTGCAAGTACTTGGTGGAGTGTGTCAACTATTGACTGTGTGTCTGTGCAGGTACTTGTTGGTGGAGTGTGACACTATTGACTGTGTCTGTGCAGGTACTTGTTGGTGGAGTGTGACACTATTGACTGTGTGTCTGTGCAGGTACTTGTTAGTGGAGTGTGACACTATTGACTGTGTCTGTGCAGGTACTTGTTAGTGGAGTGTGACACTATTGACTGTGTCTGTCAGGTACTTCTTGGTGGAGAGTGACAGTATTGACTGTGTGTCTGTGCAGGTACTTGTTGGTGGAGTGTGACACTATTAACTGTGTCTGTGCAGGTACTTGTTAGTGGAGTGTGACACTATTGACTGTGTGTCTGTGCAGGTACTTGTTGGTGGAGAGTGACACTATTGACTGTGTCTGTGCAGGTACTTGTTGGTGGAGTGTGACACTATTGACTGTGTGTCTGTGCAGGTACTTGTTGGTGGAGAGTGACACTACTGACTGTGTCTGTGCAGGTACTTGTTGGTGGAGTGTGACACTATTGACTGTGTGTCTGTGCACGTACTTGTTGTCGGAGTGTGACACTATTAACTGTGTCTGTGCAGGTACTTGTTGGTGGAGTGTGACACTATTGACTGTGTGTGTGCAGGTACTTGTTAGTGGAGTGTGAGGACCAGGAAGTGTCCACCAAGGACAGTGCACTGCGGGAGATGTACATCACAGTCATGAAGAGGTTCAGTAAAGCCCTCAGCAAGGTATGTCACAGATTCCTGATTCCTGAGTTAGTCGAGTGAGTGTTTGTGTTTCACTGTGTGGCAGTTAATGTGGGTGGATCCAGGTTTACCATTTTTTGGAAAGCCGTGATTGTGTGTCTAGTGCTGTCAAAGGAAAAATTCAGGGTGAAATTCAAGCCCATGATCATCAGATACTGGCGGGCCTAACTCAGCAGATAAAGTGTGGCGCCATGGACAACTGACCCACACATGCCCCTTTTGATCGTATGCTTTGAACCATATTTGAGTGATATGTGACCCACCATGGGATGAGGGACTTTATGGGTGAAAAGTCACATTTGTACTTCTCATTACCAGACCTGTCAACCCCTCATCATGACAATGTGGGAGATTTGACTTAAAAATGGCGGAGATTTGACTCCAAAGGGGGAGATTTTTAAGATAGTGAAGATAAGATAATTTCCAATGATTACCGTATTCGACGTAATAAGCGCCCAGGGCGCTCTCGAAATTAGAAATAGGTGGCTCTTATTAGAATATTATTTTGGTGAAAATAACAGTTGAAAGATACATTTCGTGGTTTATGCTGACAGCCTGAAGTGTTTATGTACGATAGATATATTTTTCCAGAATTTAATTGCCCATTATTAAGGGTGCATATACGCACGAGTGCGTATTATACGCGAATAAATAAATCTTGTGTACATTGATCAATCGGAAGGGGTGCTAATTGGGCTTGTTCACTAGCCAATATATTAGCAAATGTCGCCGTGGGCGCTTATAAGAGCGGGGCGCTTATTACGTCGAATACGGTATATATCAAGACTACTGTATCTTAGGAACACAAAAATGCCACTCACATGCTTCAATTCATATATATTACAGAGATACATGGCATCAAACATTTTAGATTTATAGCTGTTGATGTAATAATTGCAGATTTTAGATATGTCTGATTAACTGAAAGAAGACATGTATTCTGAATGGTTTTTAAACAATGTTTTTGTTACATTACGACTAACAAGATAAAAATAAGATATTTTTGTAAGTCTGCAAAGGATTTTTACTGAAATAAGTTGACTTCAAATGTCCTTATGATGTCACAGCACAATTGTATCCTAGCACCCATAAAGTCCTCTTTTCTCCTGGTGGGTCACATTGTATGAAAGGACAAAGTGCAGTCCGTGCATGTGTCACACTGAGGGGCATGGGTATGGTGGTAAGGAGCATAAATAGATGACATCGGGGATTCAAACCCAGACTAGTGAATTCTGGTCCAGCAAATCTGTGCCTCCATATCATAACAATTATCATCATGGTTTTGTTTTTTCTCGTTCAACTTCACCTAATAAATTCAGCATAACACACTTGCCCAATTCTTTGTGGATGACTTAGATGCAACAAAATGACTTTTGTGCAGGGGGGCCAGGAGTGTCGGCTGAGACGGTCAAGTCTGGCCGAGCAGCAGGTGTTCATCAGTAAGCTGGTGGACCTGGTCAAGCTGGTGGCGCGGGAGAGCGGAAACAGGAAGAAGAAGGTGGGCATAGGAAGTAGCAGCCATCTTACATTGTTCATGTGATAATCGACTGCCTCCATGGTCTAGTGGTAGAGTGTCTGCCCTGAGAGCAGAAGGTCCAGGGTTCAATCCCGGCCTCGTCATCCCAAAAGACGTTAAACTTGTTGTTACCCTGCCTGACGCTTGGCATTAAGGAGCTAAAACAAGGACTGGTTGGCTTGGAGTCAGTATACTGCGGGGTATTCATGTTAAACTGCGGCATGGTATCTCAGTGTGCTAGCACTATAAATTGGCATCAGTCCGGACTAGTGCAAGCAGCCACACACACACACACACTTGCATGCATGTCGCCATGCAGTGCAATAATTTGGGACGCGACGTTAAACCCCATTTCACTTCGCCTTATGTGATGATCTGGTGTCCTCGATTCACACTTGCCTTGTATGCAACGGTGACATTGCCTCCATGTTTGTGTGTTCTTTAACACCACAGCTTAATGTGGGCGGCAGTATCCCAGCTTTTCGATGACGGCATGGACATAATCAAGCAAACAAATAAACCAGTAATTGACTATATACAACATCCTATACTCTCGGGTATGATGATGAGCAATCAATCAAGTCACAGGGCCTAACCACCTGATCCATGTCGCCTTGTGCAGCGAACATAGATTCATAAGGACCAATTCTTGCATGTAATCCATGCGATGGTAATCTTATTGTGCAATATAGGATTAGATGCAAATGAGTTGGCAGGGTACATATATCTTAGCTTGCCCTTATTGATATTCATGTTGTTATTGAATGCAATTTTCAGATTGAAAGACTTCAGGCATTGTTGCAAGATCCAGAGGTTTGCAAGAGGAACTTTGCTGAGTTTGATGTTCTTCCTTTGCCCCTTGACCCTGAGGTCAAGGTCAGGGGCATCATTCCAGACAAGGCCACATTGTTCAAGGTGAGCATGGGAACCCTCCATGTTATCTGAAAACTGACATTTGCATTGAAACATTCATATTAAGGGACAGAAGGGACATTTACTCATGTCCCTGCTTGTTAACAAAGGAATAACTAAACAGTTCTCATACAGATGGGTTGTATCGGTTGTGTGGGTTGTATTGGTGTTGTGGGTTGTATTGGTGTTGTGGGTTGTATTGGTTGTGTTGTTTTATTGGTGTTGTGGGTTGTATTGGTGTTGTGGGTTGTATTGGTTGTGTGGGTTGTGTGGGTTGTATTGGTATTGTGGGTTGTATTGGTTGTGTTGTTTTATTGGTGTTGTGGGTTGTATTGGTGTTGTGGGTTGTATTGGTTGTGTGGGTTGTATTGGTTGTGTGGGTTGTATTGGTTGTGTGGGTTGTATTGGTGTTGTGGGTTGTATTGGTTGTGTTGTTGTATTGGTGTTGTGGGTTGTATTGGTGTTGTGGGTTGTATTGGTGTTGTGGGTTGTATTGGTGTTGTTGGTTGTATTGGTTGTATATATTGTATTGGTTGTATATATTGTTGCACACAGAGTGCTATGATGCCATCCCGTCTGACATTCCGCACTGAGCAAGGGACCGATTATGTGACGATCTTCAAACATGGAGATGATCTTCGTCAGGATCAACTCATCCTGCAGATCATAACGCTCATGGACCAGGTAAGTAGAGCTTCTGACACCCCTACATTAGCTGCTAGTGTGTTCGAATACAAAAACCTGAATATCTTTTAGAATCCCACATAATGCTGGCATGTTATAGCTGAAGCTGAATTAAATCAACTACACCCAACTCACTCACTGTGTCTGTTTCAGCTGTTGCGAAGAGAGAATCTTGATCTCAAGCTGACTCCCTACAAGGTTCTGGCAACCAGCAGTAAACATGGTGACTATGTGCTGTTGTTGACATATAAAAAATAAGCCCTTGCGTACCTGGGTATTGGCACTAACATCAAGTGGCCTTGGGTATTTGTTAAAACTCAACTTTTCTCAATATTCTAATTTATGTATTTCTGACATATTGATCTTGTTGGAATTTAGATGGCAAGATTTAGGAAATCTTATTTTCTATCGCAAAGAATTCTCTCCTAGAGACAGCATTAACGGATAAGGTAATTCGCTTATGTAACAGGACGTGGAGTCATACACAGATGATATCCTGACCATATCAGCTTGCTGACGGGTTTAACCTCTTTTGGTCATGTGGAACAGGCATTCATCTGGGGCCAGAGTCTGTGGTTTGAATCCCATCACAGGACTACTTGGATAGACCAGATCAATTCCAACTTCTCAATTTGCAGACTTTCATGGTCAATGTGCAAAGACTCATGATGCTAAATAAACATATCCAAAACAATCGCATCAGGGTTGGAAAGACTTCAGCTGGATACCTCTTTTCTTGTTTTGAACATTGTTTTTAATTTTACAAATATTAGGGTAAGTTTGTCATTAGAATAAAGACAAGACATTGGTCTGTCCTAAGTAGTGTAATAATCAAGTATCCACGCTGTTTCGCCCAGGTTTTGTGCAGTTCATAGAGTCGACATCAGTGGCCGAGGTGCTGGGTACAGAGGGCACGATACAGAACTACTTCAAGAAACATGCCCCATCAGAGAATGGGCCGTACGGCATCCAGCCAGAGATCATGGACAACTATGTCAAGAGCTGTGGTGAGGAGCAATTCATGCAGTTGTTTGTAATCTACATTTTGCAGTTAACTACAGATAACTCACATATATCCCCTGGACTTAAAGTTGACAGGTTTTCACTGGAACAATATTTTTAGTTGTGAAATATTCAGTCAACCGTCATATACCAAATACAGTCATTTATCCGACAGTTAATCCGACAATCCGACACTAATGATGGGAACCGATTAAATCAGTGCTATTTAGACTTGTTAATCAGACCGTCTCACGCTCTGACTCCGACACTCCTCATTTGCAACAAATTACCGAAATCACTCATTAATCAGTCTTGTGATCAGCATACTCAGCCCGTGTTTTGATGTAAGATGAGTCGGCTGGTAGCAGCATATTACAACTTGCTTACAAATAAACAATTAATGCTTTGAATAAAGAAAACAGGATTAATCACATGTTTACATTGCCACAATCTCATTAAAATCAGATACAAGTTCTCGCTATCGCTGATGACATCTTTTTACAGGTCACATCAGAACAACCTTTTGCGAACTCTGACCGACTAATAAAATGAATAACAGGAAGTCAATATTAGCCACTAAGAAAGCAGCTTTCTTAAGCTTTGCTGTACCAGTTTCAAACTGGCGACTTCCATTCCAGACTATCCTTTTCAAAGTATTTTGAATAAGTCATTAACATTTTTTTTGTGCTAAGCTTTAGAGGTTAACATATTCTGCTAAGAATGTAATATAACAATATGAATATTTCATTTTTTATGACGTGCTTGATTTTCGATCACAAATGTTGATACTACTTAATTTTGTTTATCCGACAAACTCGTTAATCTGACAAAATCATATACAATCAATGATGTCGGATTAGTGGGACTTGACTGTATCTGAGACACCACTTGGTTGCAGTGATAGACATTACTCATGCTACCCATGTTAATAGACAGATGTGAGAAATCCATCAGCAGGATTACCTCCCTTTCATAGGGATTGTACGTCACTTGCGAATAGACAAAGGTAGAACAATTTGGTATCAGGTTAGTCTCAGTATTTACTAGTCTTCTGAATGATGAATCGTCATTAAGATTGTTTGTGTATGAATGCCCTGTGTGTTGTGGCATCGTTTGTATCACTGCGTCAATTGCTTTCCCCTACAGCGGGCTACTGTGTTGTTACCTACCTCCTGGGAGTCGGAGACAGACATCTCGACAACCTCCTCCTCACTAAAACAGGTACATGATGTGAAGCAGTATTGAGCCACACTGATTATTATCCTGTTCATCATGTAACCATATCTTATAGATGAAGATGGAGGAGAATTATTTCAGCTTCTTTATTGTAACAGTGCAGTGTGACAGTACAGGTGCTAGTACCTGCAATCATTGCACCAGTACCAAAGTTTTGTAGCTATATTTAATACTTAACTACATACTGATAAGTCTTCCCACATATGGAAAAAAGCATTGTTTTCATAAAGATATATATAGATTTCATTGTTTTTTGGGGGGTAGCTAAAATCAACATTGAATTAACATATTATGTCCTGAAGCACTCCCATACACAACAGTGACCCCCAAGAGATACTAGTAGACAATGTTCACATGTTTCTTCTACCTATCAGGGAAACTGTTCCACATTGACTTCGGCTACATCCTGGGCCGAGACCCGAAGCCCATGCCGCCCCCCATGAGGCTGAGCAAGGAGATGGTGGAGGCAATGGGAGGGACCAACTCGGAACACTTCTACGACTTCAAGAAGCACTGCTACACTGCCTTCCTGGCTCTCAGACGGTACACAGCTTCCTCTTGCCTTGTCCCTTGTCCACATGGCCGACCTTGACATCATTCATATGGCTGCAATATATTTAAACACAAAATATTTATAACTATTCTCATTTACGTAATTTTGGATTTTTTTAACAAAATATTTCTTGGACTGCCATGTTGAAACTACGTATGCTGTTGCTTTGTGTAAGAAATGTCAGTCTGTTTGAGTCTATTTGATCTGATGTTGTCAGGTCTGCCAACCTCTTCCTCAACCTCTTCTCCCTGCTGGTGGACGCCAACATCCCGGACATAGCGCTGGAGCCGGACAAGACGGTCAAGAAGGTGGGTAGCCTCATCTCAGCAGCTTTGCATTCACTCCACACAGAAACTCTTTTTTATTGTGCCATCTGTATTTCATGGAAGACTCTGTGATTAAACTTTATGAACAAAATATATTGCAGAATGATTGTTTTTCAATACTTTTTCGTTCAATGTGATTGTAATTTTCATGATGTACCGGGATGTATCTCCTGGTAATGTTGGCATATGATACAATTGTGATACCAGAAGGGCTTGAATGAGTCCAAATTTACTACCCGGGTACCCATCCCCCTATTACCCGACTCTACCCGGGTACCCACCCCCCTATTACCTGACCCTACCCGGGTACCTGCTGTACAAACTCTCAGATTGGGAATAGTTTGACTGTAGCCCTGGCAAAATGTAATTAGATACATGTATAAAACAATCTGAAGTTGACAGAAGTTTTATATACATATAAAAGTCAGAAGGAATGGGCGCATAGTAAAAAAGAACTGCAAACATTAGTGACTTGTAGTTTAAACATAGAGTGCTTGATAATTTTTGCCATTAAACAATGTATCATGTGACTAACCACGGGTCTGGGTAGTTCTGTGGGTACCCGGGTCCTACTCAGTACCCACCCGACCCGAGTTACCCGTCCCAGCCCTAGATACTGGGATGTATCTCCTGGTAATATTGCCATGTGATATAATTGTGATATTGAGATGTATCTCCTGGTAATATTGCCATGTGATATAATTGTGATATTGAGATGTATCTCCTGGTAATATTGCCATGTGATACAATTGTGATATTGAGATGTATCTCCTGTTTTTTTTGTTTTTTTGTTGTTTAATGCCGCACTCAGCAATATTCCAGCTATATGACAGAGGTCTGTAAATAATCAAGTCTTGACCAGACAATCTAGTAATTAATGTCATGAGCATCAATCCATGCAATTGGGATTGATGACATCAGTCAACCAAGTCAGTGAGCCTGACCACCCGATCCTGTTAGTTGCCTTTTAAGACAAGCATAGTAGCCTTTACGGCAAGCTTGGGTTGCTGAACACATATTCTACCCCGGATCTTCACGGGATGTATCTCCTGGTGATATTGCCATGTAATATAATTGTGATACTGGGATGTATCTCCTGGTGATATTGCCATGTGATATAATTGTGATACTGGGATGTATCTCCTGGTGATATTGCCATGTAATATAATTGTGATACTGGGATGTATCTCCTGGTAATATTGCCATGTGATATAATTGTGATACAAGGTTGTGTTGTCTTATTTAATTGTCTTACAATCAGCTGTATAGCTGACAACTTCTACATTTACACTGTTACCACCTTGTCTATTGCAGGTGCAGGAGAAGTTTGTTCTGCACTACACTGATGAGGAGGCTGTGCACTACATGCAGAACGTCATCGACCTGAGTGTATCTGCTGTCATGGCCGCCCTGGTAGAACAGCTACACAAGATGGCTCAGGTGGGCGGAACATATTCATTCCTGTAGACTTGTTCTCTCCGATATCATGTGAATTTTCCCTTGTTGAAGCCAGAGCTGTGGAAGTTGAACAATATGTGTAAAACATGATTATTATGCTTATTTATTTAAATCATATTTGTATTGTTTCTTGACCTAAAGGTTTTGATGTCAACATAGATGGGCTTATGTAACAGGGAGTGGTATTTACATGAGCCACTGAGGCCTGCTTACAATTCCTTTCAAGATAAGTCGAATAAAATATGTTTAACTTATCTATTTATTTATTGACTTCTTTCTTTCAGTACTGGAGAAAATAGAAGAAGCTGATCATGAAGTGTGCAATATGCGAGTGCAATACTGAGACTGGGGATGCAGTTAACACTGTGTGAAACTGATGATGAACAAGACACCTGCTAAAGACTCTGCTGATGTAAAGATTCGGATCTGTGGACATCCTTATGTTCAGCATCTTTCCGAGGCAAGAGAGTTAACTGACTTGAAAAAGTCCAGTTTCCACCTTTGCCGAACTAAGCTGGAATTACTGGGCTCGATCGTAGCGCCATCAGTGGTTATTACCAGTTATGTCCCTTCTAAGCCTCTCCTTTCGACCAATCAGATTCCACCTCTCGTATCACTTGCGTTTGCTTCACACAAAATGGTGGCGCCTGGTCAGGACGATCTGATCTATAATCAAGATGTATATTGTGATAAAACGGGTCTTACCTCGCGAAGTGCATCAAATCACGTGAGCACCTTTATTAACAACATGGAAAATGTTGCAAAATTTCTGTTGACACCGAGTTGGTGGTGCACATGCTTTGTAAATACTGCAATCGACCAATATCTGCATGACAGTTTACAAACAAGCTCTACCACGCGATGGTCTGGTAACTAAGTGCTCAGTGTCTGTGGTCGACATTGACATGAAACTTAACACAATTTATTATTTACACGTTACAGGTTCCCCTGGCCTCAACTCAGTGCCAATGTTGAATGGATAGATGTGAAACTTGTCATAGGAATTATGTCCAGATGCATTGTAAAATATACGGTTGTATAATGATTAACAAATTTGGTTTTTAATCAACACAAGTATTGCCTTGTTACAAGGATATTTCATATGGTAGGAAGTTAGTTATGAAGTACTATTTTCTGATGCCATGCCTCAGGGTTGTCAATTGTTTATTTAAGTAACTAATGTTTTCTGGAAATATTGTTTGGGTAACTCTTTGTTTATGTGTCCAATGTGCTGTTCACATGGATTGTTTTGTACCATAAATCTTGGTTGAGATTCAAATCATATCGCAACGAAGTAGGGATACGTTGTAGGAAAATAACTGCTATTTAATTGATAAATATGCTACTGTAAATCTCGAAAGCTTTGCGAGTAGGAAAGTACTGTGACAACTGTGAGCGACACACACTCGCAATAGTTACATGATACAGTTACTTTTGCAGATCAACAAAAAAAAGACGTAAGGAAGCATATTTCTTGAATACACTTCCACACATCAAACCAGCCAGTACATGATAAAACAAATATTATACCATGACATTGATTAATGCTTGATTCTGCTTGGTTTAAAAGAGGTTTCCTTTTTGCTACGGAAACCCCTTTCAAATATTTCAAGCCTTTTCGCCAAAAATGTTTTGTTGCCGCCATGGTAGAATGGAGAAAAACCTACTGCTAAAGTGCTCCATTCCAAATTAAAATAAGAGGTATCTACTCTGCAGTGGGACTACATCAAATTTCTAAACACAGTAGGTTTATCTCCTCAATCCCTCATATCCTGTGGTTCCCTAATTACACGTTGTGATTTTCCGCATCTCGTCAAGTTGTTGACAATACTCCGAGTAGTCCAGACATACACCAGCCAATCTGTACTGTTTAGATAAACATGCTTCTCCACCTACCTTGTCAACTACTACAACACACACATCTACAGTTTGATAATCACGGAATGACACAGAGCTACCCTTTCATCACGCTGCTTACTACTTAGCAACTGTAACACCTGCACAAGTAGCTTTGATCTTTGGTAAACTTATCAACAGAGCAGGGTGTCACAATAACTCCAGATGCAGTTCAGGCTATTGTTAGACACTTGCAGTAATTTCATGGCACAAAACTTTCCAGATTTACAGTATTTAATACTTAATTAAGAAATGAATGTTTAAATTATAAATATTTTTAATTGCTGTAAATATCTATTTTATCATATATGTGAGTTTGTTACATTCCACAGGTGTGTATTATAGTGTATTATAGTGTACAGTCATATACACAGGTCTTAGACATGGTTTGGTGCTTACACACACACACACACGCACACACACACACACGCACACACACACACACACACACACACACACACACACACACACACACAGAGACACACACACACACACACACACAGAGACACACACACACACACAGAGACACACACAGACACACACACACACACACACACACACACACACACACACACACACACACACACACACACTTCCCATCAACATCTGTGTGATGGCGTTGTCAGCCCTGGCAATAACAACGGATTGCCAAATCTGGTTGTCACCATGTTAATGTCAATTATATGAATTCTGTTCAATGCTGTATGATGTCTGAGAATGTATATATTACATGTACATATATATTTGTACAAAATTGAGGAATAAAATTGTTGTAAATTCAGTTTTGTCTCCAGTAGTATTGTTAATCAACAGGAAAAACATTCTACCTGAGAACTACTCAAAACACTCAGCTTAGTGCATCAATTATCATCAGCACTTTGCCAGCAAAACAGGGATCAGCCTTCTACCATGAACACTTTGATCCGGTTGATCAATACTAGTATTTGGTTTCAAATCACAATAACATGCCTTTGAAACTTGAAACCATTATTATCAAGCACATATTTCTCAATCCTGACTGATGCAGTGTCAGATATATTTAACTTTGTTACAAATACCTAAGTGTAGTTTCTCTGGGATTGTTCAGTTCTAAATTAATGTTTGAGGTCTCAAATAATACATAGTGAGAAATACTGACGAACCTGAAATGCAAATTACTGTATGTTTATTTCCTGTTTGAGTGAGTGAGTGAGTGAGTTGGGTTTAACGCCGCTTTTAACATTATTCCAGTTATATCATGGTGTGTCAGCTTAATGTGGGAGGAAAGCCCGAAATGATGCAGGTCTCAGACGTTTACGACTTCAGTGAAACCACGAGCACGGGTATGGTGCTGACAAACCTAGAAACATAATCGGGTTGAACCGGGATTTCGAACCCACAATCATAGGTTTCTGGCGTGTCCAGGGGATGCAACTCTGCACAGCGAATCGCTGCGCCTTAGACGACTGGGCCGCCCGTGCCCCCATTTCCTGTTTGAAACTTTGAATTTTACTTTGCCCTGAAGTGTCGGGTACTGAACAAGTCAATACATCGGAAAGCAATCCATGATTCATTCCCCTATGTATTTCTAGGGACCAATACACACTTGATCCAAAGGCCACAAATCAGGTGAAGTTAAGCAACATTGGTTGTGGGGAGTCCTTGGATGGGTGACTGGCAGCTTGACCCCTGAGAGCTTCCAGGGCTTCGGTACTGCCCCACACTGACGCATTAACCTAGGGTCACCATAGGCCGGAGACTTTGTTCACATTATGCCTCTGTTCACTCATCAGTGACTGGGTACCCGGTAGGATGAGATGGTAATGTGACTGCTAACCTTCTGCTGCCTCATAGGCAGCATGGATTGTATTCTGCCCAGGGAGCTGAGAATGAATGTTGAGTGCACTCTGATCCATATACCAGGATAATACTTTTTTACAGCACCACCGAGCAGCAGTGGTTGTACATAGGGCGCTTTAATAATTAATTATGATTTGGAAGCTTAAGATATTGATATGTATTTATTATCCCCAACGAAGTTGGTGGGGGATATAGAAACGGGCTCCGTCCGCCGTCCGTCCGTCACGTTTCGTTTCCGGAGCATAACTCATAAACCGTTCAATATTGTTTCCTCAAACTTTGCAGGTCTGTCAGGTACATGCTGAACTGGTGCCTTTTGATATTTAGAAATTTTAGAAATATTTATTTTTTACGTTTCCATGGCAACAAGATGGACTTAGGTTCCAAACTCATCTTTTTTTTACAATTTCCATGACAAGTTCCACCTCGGTTAAAAAAGGTTAGGGTTTGTTTAGATTTAATTATGTCATAAATTCTGCAACAGGGGCGGGGGATATAGCCACGTTAGTGGCAAACTCTTGTTAATGGTTGCATTTGCACAGAACCACACACAGTTATAAATGCTTGAGGTGTTTATTGTGTCCCTATGAAGGTTCAATCTCATACACTGACACTGTGCCTGATCCATTGCTGATGACTACCGCTAGAGTCTTGTTGGCCGGGGTTTGCCTGGACGAGATCAGCCTGAAACAGAACAAGAGGAATAATTGTGTATAAAATGTTTCTTCAAGCAAGACAAAACATTTTTTTTCAAATTTCATAGCCTCTCCCTGAAAAAAGCATGATATTTGACCCAAAGGACCAGACATATCAACAACAAAATTGACGAAGCTTGTTGTATAAAGCCGCGCTCAGCAATAGTCCAGCTATAATCGAGTCTGAACAAGACAATCCAGTGATTAATATCACGAGCATCAACTCTTTGAAAGGCATCTAGAAGTGATACACATAAGGAAGAGAATTTATGGATGTAAACTTCTGTATTATAAGAAACACAACATTTTGGAGTATATGCTTACTACTTCATCAGGTGAATCAGGAACACAACGTTTCGGAGTATATGCTTACTCCATCAGGTGATCACGCCATTCACCTGATGAAGGAGTGAGCATATATAATAATAATAAAATACATAATAAAGAAGTTGACATCCCTAAATTCTCTTCCTTATCAAGAGCATCGATCTACGGAATTGTCCTACGATGACATGCATCAACCAAGTCAGCGAGGCTGACCACCCGATACCCTTATCCGACATATGAAGTCCTCAACTATACCTTTTGTCAAGCACCCAACAAACCACACTGCATAAGATAACATTATATATATTCCCCCATCTGATGTCCGAGATACGAACGTCCCCAGATACAGACTGCATGAGATAACACAATATATCCCCCACCTGATGTCCGAGATACCGACGTCGCCAGATACAGACAACATGAGATAACACGATATATCCCCCACCTTGTATCCAAAACACGAACGTCTCCAGATACAGACTGCATGAGATAACACAATATATCCCCCACCTGATGTCCGAGATACCGACGTCGCCAGATACAGACAACATGAGATAACACGATATATCCCCCACCTGATGTCCGAGATACGAACGTCCCCAGATACAGACAACATGAGATAACACGATATATCCCCCACCTGATGTCCGAGATACGAACGTCCCCAGATACAGACTGCATGAGATAACACGATATATCCCCCACCTGATGTCCGAGATACCGACGTCGCCAGCAGTGCCCTGCCTGTACATATCCTGCATGGTCTGCCTGGTGCCGCCCTGCCTGTAGACGTGGTTGAGATCCGTGGTCAGCGAGCCCATGTCCACGGTGTACAAGTACAGGCTCCCCATGGTGTGACTCCCCAACACCAGGTAGGTCTTCCCATTGTCCTCCACTACATCCAGAGCACTCAGTTTGGGACCCTGAAATTACGCCTGACTAAGCTCATGACCAGTACGTAGGGCAGATCATGCTTCCTTCCGCGAACACCTGGTGTCATCACTGATTTTCAGTGATCCATTCATATCATTCCACCGCTATGTTGCCTTTTACACCCAATGGAATCTGTGAAACTGGTGATCCACTGGCGTTAGCGTTTTATATTTAACAAAACATATCCCCCAAGAACACCTTTAATATAATTGGCGTTATAATCCGCGTTACTTTCGTTTGGAATCCTGAGGTTGAACAATTTGGATATTTTTTTAAAGTATCGATCAGGTATTTGTGTCTCATCAAAATATTTTCGGTTATATTTGCTTTTATTGGAACTAAGAATGTTTGTTAATCATTCGAAGAATTTAATGAATCATTTACAGGAAACTCACAAAATCTTTCGAACTGGCATCTCTCATGTTCTCTGGGGATGAAGTTACAGATGAAGTGACGTCAGTGTTGAAGACATTGTCAAGCAGCAGTTGATTGACCTCCTCTACCTCACCCCCACTGTTATACACAGGCCCGTGGGTCAGGTGGGAAGTGTCCCAGATGGAAAAGCCACGCCCACCAAACGCCTTTATGTTGTGAATCCCCGGGGAGATGACATCACATTTACTGATTAATAGGCGACCTGTATTCAGAACAAACAAGACCAGCGAATGATAGGGGCACAAGAATATGACTAATATATACATTTTTTGTTTGTTTGTTGTTTAACGCTGTTGTCAGCAATATTCCAGGCGGTCTGTAAATAAACGGGTTTGGACCAGACAATCCTGAGATTGACATCATGAACATTGATCTACCAAATTGGGATACAGCGACATGCATCACCCAAATCAGCGAGACCAAAATATATTCTAATTAAAGGAACTGGCCTCTTTATAATCGGGGAGTGGGGTGAGGAGAGGCTGGATGTCCTGAAATCGAGTTGTGTGCCTTGCAGCAGTTAAGAAAGATATTCTGTCCCCAACAAAGGTCCCACCAAATACCTTGGTCGCACGACTCGCACCACACTCACACATGTCCGAGGTGTGAGTGTAAGATATATGAGTATCTTCCAGGGCTGAAGGGGTGAGTGCTTACCGAGTTTGTCAGGCCGCCTCAACATATCCGCCAGTGTGTTGTTCTGTATTCCCGCTGGCAGAGATCCTACAGAAGCAGCTGCAGCCTCGGACCAGGAGAAGCCATGCCTCCCCACGCTGTACTCCCTGATCCTCCCCTCGTCCGCCGTCACCAGGTACGCCCTGCTCCCCCTCTGCAGCAGCTTCATCGCCCGGGGCTGGTACATGCCGTAGATAGGGTACATCGCGAGGTTGGGGCCTACACAGTGACACCAGGGTCATCAGGATCAACACGAACAGAGAGGAGGTTTTTAGAGGAAGATGGGATAGGTCACACGGTGGTTACCTTTAGGATGGGGAATACACAGTTATACCAAAGTCAGCAGTGAACAAGATCAGAGAGGCGGTTGTCAAAGGGAGATTGGGTCCGTCACAGAGTGGGTACCTTCAGGTCGAGGAATACTCTACGTCTTACAGACAGACAGACAGACATACCAACTGTAGGCGAGACCAGGGCACATTGGGACACGGGTTACATTGGAACAGCGTGCATATTTATTATTTCCAAGCCTAACTTCACCAAAGGAAGTGACATCACGCATCCTGACATTTCGGCGATGGAAGCTACCTGCAGCAAGTTGAATTAAGGATTCGGTGGGTAAAATATGTTATATTCTTCCAAAAGTAACATCAGGACTATTTCACCAAGAGTTATGATCAGGACCCGTGTAAACTTTATTAAGAAATTATTTTTGTGCCAAATGTATTGTTTAATTGGCTAGACATTGATACCAAGTTCCAGGACATCTGGTCAACAAGTATTGAGACAGAAGCTCCACAATGTTCATACCTACCTCCATCTTGGTCGCTTGGATCCAACCGACTCTGGTTCCAGTTCTTGGCGCCGAGACTGTAGATGCCCGTCACCTCGCCCTCTCTCACAGATACCCTCGCAATGGCGTTATTGTCCTGTGTATATATTAAACTAGGCCCTGTAATAGGTTATACAAAGTGATGGACACAATTAGGAGGGGTAAGTGAATGTTGTTCAACGCCGTAGTGAGCAGTATTCCAGCTAAATCACGGTGGCCTTAAATAACTGACTGTGAGAGCCTCACGAGAAACAGACGAGCGCACGTTACAGATTATAAAAAAAACAACGCTTGTTGTTTAATGCTGCAGTCAGCAGTATTCCAGCTAAATCACGGCGACCTGACTATGGACCAAATTAACCAGTGGCTGAAAACATGTGGGAGATACACGATTTGGGGGTACGATGACATACAGGCAGCCAAGTCACAGCGCTTGACCACGAGATCATATTTATTTCGTCGCCTACACAAACAACAGAATTCTATAACACGGGGTCGGAACTTATGAGGTCGCCATAAGAAATGACCAGGAATGGAAAACACGTTTTTTCTAAAAAAAAAGCGTTCCTTATCTGACATGCATATAGCTTACACACACCTGTTCTGGGAGCAGAGTTCAGTAAACAACGGGACAAGCCTTTATTGGTTTGTTGTTTTACGCCGCACTCAGCAAATTTCCAGCTATATGACGGCGGTCTGTAAATAATCGAGTCTGGACCAGACAATCCAGTAATTTACATCATGAACATCGATCCACGCAATTGGAATCGATGACATGCATTAACCAAGTCAGCGAGCCTGACCACCCGATCCCGTTAGTCGCCTTTTACGACAAGCATAGTCGCCTATTACGACAAGCATGGGTTGCTGAAGACCTATTCTACCCCGGATCTTCATGGGACTCGATGAAATGAACTATTTAGGCAGGCTATTATTCCTCATGCTGCTGAAAGCACATACTAAGACTGCTGCACTAAAGTTCAAATAAAAAAAAGTCAAATAAAAACGCTGCATGTTTCTCAGTCTGTCACCAGCAGATTGTGGGCCCGAGACCAACAAACACATAACGTCGATGATCCACGCCGCTCTGGACGCCAAAGAGCAACAACTTCAGCCCAGGACAGATTAGTCAGAACGATGGCATCAAGAAATCGGTTGAAAACTGCCAGTCAGATAAGGGACCCCTTTCAACAGGCAAATTAATACAGAGTTCGATTTAAGCGGTGACTGTTTTATGGAAATATATACGGAAGCTTAATTCTTTTCAAAGTGAATGGGGTTTCGATGGGGTGTGGGGGTGGGGGTGTGTGAGGGTGTGTGTGTGTGTGTGTGGGGGGGGGGGGGGGGGGGGGTGGTTCTCTATCTCGGCCATTTCTTTAAGAACAGACCTACCGGTGCCAGTTTCTGACTGTACCTGCAGGGACACGAACACGGTGTGGCCATCGGGCGAGATGGAAGAGTAGGACGGTTGTAGATCCTGCGACAGACTGGAGTTGGCTGCAGAGGTTGTTGTATTGACACACGCAGAGGGGTGGCGAATATCAGATCTGGGAACATGAACAAAACAAGGAGGATGTTTCATTGTGTATTGCAAAACAGCTTCGTGAATGTATTAGGGCATGTTGAATGTAAAACATCAAAGTACGTCGCAAAATTGTTTCTTGTTTATGAGGTAAACAGTTTAGCGAATATAGTGCGTGGTGACCATTAATGGCAGCTTCTCTATTGGCTTGGCAGCTGTGTATATTGGTATCACAGTGTCACTGTAATATTTTCACGGACTAAATAGACCAATGTCTATTCAATCTTTTCTTTTTGAATATCTTTTTGGGTTGAAAGTTTCTTATTTCGGGAAAGTTAAAAATGTTAAAGATTTTGACAACTTTGCTCAGACGAATAAGAGAATATGAATAGGATGCCTCACAAAAAAACAGGTTAATGGTTCACTTTATAGATTATAAATAGCAACAGGAAAAAAACCAAAAAAGTACATAATAAAAAAATTGAATTGATCGAGGAATAACCCCCTACTATATCACAGTAGATTCGCCTGTCGGTCGAGTCAACAAACTTGTCAAAATTTATTTAATTAAATGAATAAAATTAGTTATAACTGTTGCACTTATTATCGAAACTCGTAAATTTGCCATAATTTATTTAATTATAATCGATAAACATTATTTATAATCGTTGACGTGGGCTCGAAATTACATCATGGAGGGCTATTTTTAGCGTGAACGGATCAATTTCGGTGACCGGTTTTGAGGCTAGCAAATATACTCTACTGCCGAAACACTGCAAACTTAAGGTAGGACCCGTATCAAATAACCATTTCTTCTTTGTTTCATTGTTAGCCATCTAAAAACATTGGTTTATATTTTCTTTGGCCCAGCAGTTCAGTTGGCCCTGCTTGACTACTGATTTTGCCATCACAAGGGATAACTATTTCAAATCATCATCTCTTAAGGATCTATTTAATGTTAGTTATCATTTAAATATTGGCTTTTTAAAAGAAATTGAACAAATTACTAAATTTTGATGTACATAGCTGTTTCTTAAATTGGTAGTATTTAATTGAGAACTGAGATTGTTTTTGGCTGTGCACTTGACGGTGTTAAAGTATTGTAAAAGTATTGTCACCTTGAGAGGGTATAGTAAGTCCATACCATTCAAAGTACGTTATTCTTATCATAGTTTTAATCGTAGAATGTGTGTTCTTTTATATTTCGGCTAAATTTCCCAATAATCGCCAACACCTGAAGGGATGACGTAAATCCTGCTGGGGTCCATGCAGGGAGCAAAGGTACTGTAAGTCCCCATGGTCCGGGGTGTGGTGGTCGAACTTTAGTTGTTGGTGATCTCTAGCCTGTTTTTATAATGTGTCGTCTGTCATAAACTGATCATTTTATTGTTCTAAAACTTGTTTTACAATTATAATCTGTGATATATTGCTAGTTGCTGTACTGTCCTTCGACGACATGTGTTTATATATAATATAAATGCATAACTTGTTCAAGTCACGATATAGCTGAAATAGTGCCGATGTGACTTTAAATATTAACTCACTCACTCAGTTTGACAAAATGTTATGAAGAATGAAGCGTGATTTATTTCACGATAAAACATTGTTCTATCATGACGCCATTTCTGGAGATTCGAGCACTCGCAACTTGATAACGTTGTAAATTGGACGATGTTACATTTGAGTGGGAAGAGTCTAGTGAGCTGTTCCCCGTAGATGTAGCTGGCCCACGCAGATAAACGTTATGGTCGGACGATAGCATCCAAAAGTGGGAGAGTTATGACAATCGGTATTGGGAGAAGAGGAAACAGATTTTCGACGTGAATATTGTGAGAATATGCGTGGAAGACCAAATTAGCACCCTGCACATAAAATGGACTTGATCGACATTGCCGAGGTCTGATTCTATTCAGGAAGTCATCATTATTTGAATACGAAATATTATTAAAGCTTGTACATTTTATTAACATCCTTAAATAGGCTGTACATAATATTGATATCTCATATAAGAAATAAACGAATCGTGGTGGTTGTTTAGCGTACAATAAAACACTGCAGAGAGATAAACCAATCTGGGCTGCGCCCCTCAATGTTTATTCTCCCTGCAGTGTTTTATTGTACGTTAAACAACGCCCACTCGTAGTATGTTTCATAAATAATGCTGCGTTCCGCGACATTCATATTAATAATTATTTGGATTACGTTTTGAAAGTGACAGCAGACATTTTTGGTTGTGATTGTCTCATTTGTCTCTTAGCCAATGAGATAAACCCCCAAAACTCAATAATGTCTTTCTAGACTGATAACCAACTCAATACAATGACATGATTACTGTAATAGGGCAAAGACTTCTCAAACAACATCTTGTACTGTGTGAGGCTACATGAAAAAAAGGTTCTCGGCCATATTTTTCTCGAAAGTGAGGAGGGCGGCTGGACTACATGTTTTATTGAAAACGAAAGTGATGCAGGAGGAATACTTTAAATTTATTTGTCACCAAGAATATCTCGGCCCTTTAATCAAAGGCATTTGTCAAGCATTTTATTTTGTGGATAACAGAGAAATGCTTCATGTGACACGGGGAACCATATTTCTTTTTTATTCATCTGGAAATATAAATAACTGACGTCCGAGAAACATGACCTCTGTTTTAGGCCGAACAATGTCAACGAGTTTCAAAGGTTGTTTTCAGAATTTAGTCTTACCTGTGATACCTACAGAGTGCCATTCATGATGCTTCGTATAGATTTGCAACTACTCATGGTTATAATCGTCCACGCCACTTTTTAGTTGGTATGATTTCCGATTAGACGTTTGAGCATGTACCTTTACTCATATGTCCTTGTAAAATATTAGGACCCGGTACATACAGAGGATGATGGCTTGAACAAACGCTGTTGAAGAAGTCGTAATCGCACAATGATGTCAGATGACAAGAACCAAGACTGCACCATTACCAGCTGTCACTGAGATCTGATTGGTCCACGTGATCTTGATAAATACTATGTATCCCGTCTTGGACGGGAATAAATTTCTCAGCGGGGTTATAAATATCTTATACCCCACCACGAGCAAGTCAGGCAGCACGTGGATTTCTGAGAGGGAGAATAAATACCTTATACCCCACTTCAAAGCAAAAACGCTTTTTACCGAGTCAATGAAAGTCACGTGACATATCGCGAGCTAACAGCTTAATCGAATAGCTGTTGCCTATAAATTTAAAATGTTGATTCTTTTACAGTGTCATATTAAAACATGTCGGTAAGATAAATTCGTTGTAGCAGGATCACTCGGGGCACAGCGGGTTTTATATGTTACACCACTCGCCTCCGCCTCCGCTCCTGGTATAAAACCTAACACGGGTCGCATAAAACCCCATGTACCCCGAGTGATCCTGCTATAACTTATATTACAGGGCTATACCTTGTCCGGAAATGGCGGACATTAATATGAATCGTTTTCAGAATGATAACACGATGACGATTGCCAACGTATAGTTGCATTTGAATGCCGGTCTTATAAAGAGACATTTTCGAATTAAGTATTAATAATATCATTCACAATTACGTCATTTTAATAATTAAGGAAGGTGTTGTTATCCTATTATTATATTCATAAATGTACGGCCAGCCTTACCAACCTCCCGTTGAACTTCTTGAAGTCACTAGTTTGTTCTGACCATGTGTCCGTTCTGTCCTTTCTCAGGATGGTCACTGATCCCTCGGGATCCACAAACTTGTTGGACGCATCCTTTCCAGGGACTCCTTCATTTGTGACAACCAATGTCTTGCAGTCTCTCGAATACAGCACATGGGATGGAGAGGACCCGACTGGAGGACAAAGGCGTTTGATCATCTAAGATTTGTGAAATGCAACTGTCTGCGTCTTGGATGACTGGTACTGGTAACGCTAAAATCTACACCACAATCAAATAACCATTTCTTGTTTGTTTATTTTGTAGCCACTATCAAACATGGGTGTATACTTTCTTTTGCCCTGCAAAAGTAACTATAATTACCTTATGCAGATTTCTCCGCTATCTATCTATCTATCTATCTACCTACCTATCTATCTATCTATCTATCTTATCTATAATTGCTCTAATCGCAGGTGCATTGACTTTGAATGTCTCCATGGTGAATTTAAAAATCGATTTCCTCTCTAAAATATAATTTGTGACGTAATGGTCTATGCAGAATATATTTCTATTCGTTATATTCGTTATAGCCTCTTATCTCCTGAAGAACGTGATATAACTCTGATGGTCCCGGAGACTTGAAGTGATACTGAACATGTGTTATGTTGGATAAATGAAGATTGACTGCGGTGTAAGGAAGCATCCTCGCACCGAATAAAGATTGTTGCTCTAGGCCACTATTTGTTGTTTTAGCAGGAGAGAATCTCTACTCACCAGGCACTGTCCTGAGGTACCACAACTTCTTCACATCCTGACTGTAGGTCTTATAGAACATCACATGACCCTCATAAACATCGGATGATGACGCCATGACAATAGCCAATTCCCCACCACACACATCCACCCCACGTGGTTGACCTTGTGTCGGCGTGAACAGGTGGTCGACAAGCAGGTGTGGGGATCCGGGGTCAGACAGGTCAAGGACGTGGACAACAGGTGACACGTCCCCTACGTTCAGAATACGCGTTTAGTGCAAGGAATCAAGATGGGGTGAGTGAGTGAGCGAGCGAGTATGGCTTTACGCCGCTTTTGGCAATATTCCAGCAATTTCACAGCGGGGTCACCACAAATGGGCTTCACACAATGTACCCATGTTGGGAATCAACACCGGGCCTTCGGCGTGACGAGCGAACACTTTAGCCACTTTGCTACCCCACCACCCCCGATATGAAGATGGAAAGCGGAGATACAAAGTCTCTTATTCTTCCTGAATATAACGGATGCAAATAAACGCACATTATTTAGAACCTTTTCACGAAAGATATGCTGTTCTCACCACGATATGGCAGAAGTATCGTGTCCCAATTGTGTGGATCGATGCTCATGGTGTCAATCACTGGATTGTCTGGTCCAGACTCGATTATTTACAGACCGCTGTCATACAGCTGGAATATTCCTGAGTGAGGCGTTAAACAACAAACAAACAATAATCTGGGATTCTATTGGGCATTATGTGAATCTTCGATCTGCTGACTGCGTCAATACCACGTCTATGCAACGTCAATACAACGATAATACAACGGCTATACAAAGTCTATACAACGTCTATACCACACACACACACACACACACACACACACACATGACGTTGACTCCCGCATTCTGAAGGACATTCCTTGTCACAATTGCTAGGTGTGGTCTGGTATTGTCGTGTTGGAAGATCAAACCGGGTCCATTTGCTGCCATAAAAGGCAGAAGTTCTGGTGCCAGTACCTGGTCGCGGTAAGCAGCAGCAGCCATGACACTTCCGCCTCGAAATCTGTCAACTTCCTGTACACAACACTGGGCGTAACGTTCATGATGGCGCCTCCACACCCTCGCCCTACCATCAGCAAATCGAAGATTAAATCGGGATTCATCACAGAAGACGACTTGATTCCAATTCCTCTGAGTCCATCGTAAGTGTCGCTGTGCCCACAATTGACGTTGACGTGTAATTGAGTCAGAATCGGCCCGCAGTATGGCCGTCGTGCTTGAAGGTGAGCAGTTCTCAGACAGTTTCGAACAATTTGCGCACTCAGTCTACCCCTAAACAGTTCATTTCTGGTTGATGTAGCCGTCAAAAATCGGTTACGGAGGTGACGTAAGACAATCTGACGATCTTCTGCATGTGACGTCACACGTGGTCGACCTGGCCGAGGGCGATCAGCGGTGGTACCCGTTTGCTGTAGACGCGTCTGTAAATCATAAACAGTCCGTCGACTACAACCCATCGTCCTTGCGACTTCAGCTACGGACGTTCCCGTCTGCAACATGCCGATGGCACGTTCACGTTGCACTTTTGAAAGGCGTGGCATGACAAATGGCGTAAAGACTTTTGTTAGGCTGAAAACACGTGCGGTATTATGGCCACGTGACCAGTTGCACGTGAAAAACCACTTTTGCCACTATAGTACCCTGCACATGATTTTGATCGATTCACCTGCACAAAAACGGGTGTTCCGAAGACAATATGTGGCCATTACTGTTTAAATACACAATAAGGGCCCACAATGATAACTGGTCAAAATGTTACAATTTTAGGATTGTGAAGTTTTTAATTTGGTTCAGTATATATTACAACACCAGAACTAAGAATACACAACGTCTCATGGGCAGAAGAAAACTTGAGATTGTGATAGTGTGATAACTATTAAAATGTTGTTATACACGAGTAAATAAACTGTACCTATAACATAAAGTACATGGCCATCCGCATCGTAGGCACCTGCTGCAGCCGCTCCCCCATGCAGCCTGTACACTGGAGCCAGGTGGGCGGGGTCAGGATAGGACGCGAGCTTGGTGTAACTCAGAAGTCTCAACTGGTCACGTGATAGGCATTGTCCAATAAACACCAAGGTCACGAGGACACTTGAATAAAGACGTTTGGCGGGCATTTTCAATCTTGCGACTGAAGAAAGTGTGTTACAATGAATTCGCTGTAAAAAAGGCTTAATTATTCATACGTGTATATATATGTGCCTGAAGAATGTAGAGTTCATGAATATAGGCGTGGGTCGTCTCAAAACAAGTGAATAATATTTAAACAAGTCAGGGAATACTATAAATTGATTACTCGGGTCCTGGTTTTTGGCTACGATAATGACAAAAGAATTTCCACGGGTATTGCATTGAAGATACACAGGCATCAAGTGTATTTACAGTCTCGGCGAATGAAAATGTGTCAGGGCTTAAAGGACTTACGTAGTTCCATTCTGTTCTCAACCTGAAGATTACTGAGGTTATCAGTCGTGACTAGGGGTCGTCTCAAAGATCACCACACTTAACAATATTGGACGCTGGAAGCTTCAACTGGTGTCTACTTCCCGTGTCGTATGTTACGACAAGTATGGATCCAACTTTGAAACGGCCCTGGTTGTACTCAGATAAGGAAATGATAAGGAAATTCATTTGTTTATCGCAGCGGTACAATCTTAGCACCATATGGTGACTGTTAACGTCTGAGACTTATATATGGGGCGGTCGGGTAGCCTATTGGCTAAAGCGTTCGCTCGTCACGCCAAAGACCCGGGTTTTATTCCCGACATGGGTACAATGTGTGAAGCCCATTTCCGGTGTCCCCCGCCGTGATATTGCTGTAATATTGCTAAAAGCGGCGTTAAACCATATTCACTCTGAGACTTATGGCGGCCCTGGCACTAAGATCACCGTATTGAAACCACACCTCGCTGTAGTATACGTATCTTAGTTGACTGGATCGACGGCCTTGGGATGAATCAGAGATTCGAGCCGATAATGAAGCTCGGTTTGCCAGCAGGACTTTCGAATGGGTTTCACTGTAGTGGCAAATGTCTACATCCTGTACCACGTCAAACTGTGTAGAGATAGGCTGTTTTCCATTCAGGATGCAGTACTTGTCGTATGGTTATCACATCCTTAACGGTCTTGTTTACAGTCGTTATATCTGGTTGTTTAATGGTTCTTCGTGGTTATACATATACATACACATGATTGGGATGCTATCTCAGTTGTCATGACAACAATAACCAAACAGCAACCAGTGTATCTATTATTGTCGCAGAATATACACATGTCGTAAGAGGCGACCAACGGGATCGGGTGGTCAGGCTCGCTGACTTGGTTGATGCATGTCATCGTATTCCAATTGCGTGGATCAATGCTCATGATGTCAGTCACTTGATTGTCTCGTCCAGACTCGATTATATACAGACCGCCATCATATGGCTGGAATATTGCTGAGTGCGGCGTTAAACAACAAACAAATAAAACAAAAACATGTGTGCTTTATTTACTACGTCATTCTTCACGTCAGAATCTCACCTAAGCAAGAGGAGACGAGTGGCCTTAACATCTCAGAATACGCAATTTGCTGAGCAGAGTTGCCTCCCTTAGAAACCTGCTATCAGTGATTCGAATACCAGGTTCCACCTGATTATTTGTCGTCATCATATCCGTAGGTTTCCCGAAGTGGTAACATCTAAACTTTCATCACTTCGGGCTTTCCTCCCACATCAAGCTGACACGCCGTGGTATAACTGGAATACTGTTAAAAGCGGCGTTAACCAAACCCACTCACTCAGCTGACAGGCTTGACTCGCTCAATCCTTGCTTTACCTCTGGCCATGTGTACAGACAGCCTCAGTTGTGAGAGTTGTGAGTGAGTCACGGAAGTGCAATCATCACACACAAACCCACTCGAGGGAAATGACTGACACTTTTATTAAAAAAAAGTAATATAACAACTGAAACCTTATTATCACTTCAATAATTCATGACCAGCAAACACGTGGGCCGAGTCACGGATAGCTAAACAGCGGAAGTTGCACTTTAGAAATCTGTCTAATGTCATATGGAAACCAACATTGTTTAATTTCCTAATGGATTTTACTAGTTTGTCCCAGATATAGAAGTACACATGACATATACTGTACAATGTGTCCCCTCCGTGATATTGCTGGAATATGGATACAAACACATATACTGTACCATGGGTCCCCGCCCTGATATTGCTGGAATATTGATACAAACTCAGTAAGTCACTTACTCCCATGGGATGTCTTCTACATATGTGTATGATCTTAACTGTGAGATTACCATTTGGGGGAACCACGAGCACTGGTATGGCGCTGACAATTCAATAATCTTAATCAGGCCAAATATGGGATTCGAAACCACCATCGTATCGACTTGCGGGGCCTCAGACCACAAGGCCACCCTGTACTTTAACAAAGATACCAGACAGGGAGCGGGGGAATACATATAGAGTGGTCAGAATACATTTTGACCTGCATTCGCTTCATTATAAAGTTTATTTACTTATGCAAGCATGTTCAAGTTGGTTTAGGCGTAAGGTAGCCTCGTGGTTAAAGCGTTCGCTCGTCACGCGTCACGCGGTTTGATTCCAGACATGGCTACAATGTGTGAAGCCCATTTCTGGTGTTACCCGCCGTGATATTGCTGGAATATTGCTAACAGCGGCGTAAAATCAAACTCACTCACTCACTCATGTTGGTTTAATGTTACGTCTATGTTGTAGAGTATATTACAAGAAATTTTACTGATGAAATACGTTGTTATTTGCTCTTGAAAGTCTTTTATGGTGATTAAATAGCCCAGAAAGGGTCCGACTCATCTTGTTCTGTATATCAGAGAAGGGTTTGGGGACAAGGCACAGAACAGCCAGTAACACCAGTCTCATGAAGCAGTGGCCCCTGTGTGTGACCTCAAGAGTGGGTAGTGTATATGTGACCCTTGCAACACGACATGACATTACATCATACATGGCTAGACAAGTGTTCATAACATGGTGAGCTGAGGTGAACTGGGGATTAACGTCATCCAAGATTATTGCTCTTATATAGCGATCTGCATGCACATGTGCTGATTTTTATAATGCTGCAGTTTAACATGAATACCCACTCAGACACTGTATAATGACACCCAGCCGGCCAGTCCTGGTTTTAGCCCCTTAATGGTGACTGTCAAGCAGGGTAACAAGTACCATCTTTTAAAGTTTTTTGGCATGATGAAATCCCCTGACACAATGAATTAACACCACATGGACCCACACATGGTGTGTGGCTGCTTGTACTTGTCAGACTGATGCCGGTTTTATAGTGCTAGAACACCGAGATGCAATGCTGCAGTTCAACTCTGACACAATATACTGAATCCGAGCTGACCAGTCCTTGTTTTATTGTTGAACACCAGGAAGTGTAACATATATCATTTTTAACATCTTTTCGTTATGAGGGGCGTGAAATGGGGTTCCACGTCACCTCCATGATTATTGCACTTCATTAGCGACATGCATGCATGTGTGTGTGGCTGCTTATACTTGTCGGACAAATGCTGATTTTATAGTACCAGCCCATTGAGAAACCATGCCGCAGTTTCACATTAATACCCCACTCAGACACAGAATACGGACTCCGAACCAACCAGTCCTTCTTTTAGCCCCTTAATGTCGAGTGACAGACAGGGTAACAAGTGCCATATTTGAATGTCTTTTGTTATGTCACCGGGATCGAACCCCAACCTTCTGCTTTTGGGCAGTCGCTCTATCCACTAGGCCATGGGGGCGGTCTCCATGAGATGAGACCATGTGGCCCCATGAGTATCCCCAGAACATCCACAGCTCCTCCAGAACATGGAACATGGCCTCTATTGGGATGACACATGAACCTGGTCCAGGATTGTCACTTCCAATCCATGTGGATCTCCGAAATAGGTGACATAAATACAAACTCAGACCTTTCCATTTTATCATTTTTATTTATGCAAGTGGTAGCGCAACACATTAATAAATATTCATTTCAAATATACATGTAAATTCTGTAGACAAAATCTGTAAAAGCATTTTTTCATTCCATTTAAAAAACTGACAGAAAAAATAGTAATTGTGTCCCATTATCTCTATAATGTAACTACAAGTCAATATTTTGGCGTCAACTTGAAGATGGAAGCTAGAGATAGGAAAGAAAAAATTCAACTTCAATTTTCCTAAAGGTAAATAAACAGGGTGTGACAATCCCTCATCACAAGGGAATCTATGTCTTCATCCCTCTTTCCCTATGATCAAACGGCTTGTGAGTTTTCTTGAGATTTTGAAGCAATGACAATTTTTTATCAAATTTAACATTTTGAAAAATTCTTATTTGTCCTTGTACAAAACCTGTTACTGTTGCAGGTGGAAAAGCCTATGAGCTGATGAGACAGCCGATCCTAGGTATAGTCTTACCTACGAGTGACATGCAGCACAATGTCAAAGATGGAACGGCGCCAGCGCCATTACAACATGAGAACTTGAACCAGGGATCCTGTTTTCATTGTTTCTTACAGGATAACATGCAATGCAAGGATGACAATCAACAAACCACTGCCATCAGGAGGAAAACAATGTTATAATAACCTAAAAAATACTGCACCTACAGCAATACAAAACTCAAAATACTAAATCTCAATATATAAAGTTATATCTATTGTTCAAAATGTATGTGTCATCCGTACAACTTGCACTAGCAGGAGAAAACACATACATGTACATAAAACAATTTGAGTCAATGTTCAGAGTGAACAAAACCTTTTTCAACTGAAATAACGTGTGACTATTTGAACTGTGTGGACTTCAACTCTTGCTTTGTGTTTCAATGAACTATGGACAAGGCTCGACATACATAACCCTTTGCAGTATCACAGTGCAGTCATAGTAGCATTAATAATAGAGGCCAGACTTTGTACTCGGAACAGCAAGGGGTCGTCCAATCACTGGATGAAACACATCATATAACATGTACTAAACAAAGCACCAGCAACCATCAAGGAACATGCACTGAACAACCAACAGTTTGTATTAGTTAGGTCTTTAATACATAGTGAAACCCTTTTCATCCTTGGAAATTACTTTTGTAATTTTTTAAATATGCACATAGATATATAACGGTAATGTTATCGGGATGATATAAGAGGAAACCGAAAACTTTCTGTATTTACCGTGTTTCACTGTTACAAACATGTCTTTTTTTATATTGATTTTAGGGATCCTTTCCTCCTTGCTATTATTATAGATTCACCCTGACAGGTTATTTGTAAAAGGCAGCTATGCCGGACAATGACTGCAACAAACTCAGGAACATTCACCACACTAATACTGTTACAGCAAGATTTGATCGTTCAGTTTTCCTGTTGCCATAGCTACCACATTGAACAGGAAGCAGTAAATGCGTATTCCAGCAAGGGCTCTACTGCAGAGGTTTCACCTTTGGCAGACCTTGCTATCATTGATAGCTGTAAAGATGACAAACACTGTGAAGGTTGACTAGAATTAGAAGTGAGAATATAAAGGGCAGTGATAAACGAGATGCTATCTATACATCAGCTTCAGTTTCTGACAGTTCAAGTTGTCTGCCAGTTTGCATGCATATCTATCATAGACAATCCAAGATCCGCACCGCTTGAAACAAGTATAAAGTTGGACAGATAGAGCACATACTATTCACAGGAATGAGACTTTCAGAAAAGTGTTCTAACCTTGGTATCAGTGTAAGAGGAAATACATTCATTTGCCTATGAAACATTGAGTATAACTGGTAAGCCTACAACTTCATAACATTGACGAGTATTTGTACATAAGTGATTGTAAAACTACTTAATCACTGAAGATATGAGGCATTTGTACATTCTCAAGATTAGGGAGCAGAGAGAAATTCTACTGAGTGATGACCGAGTCAGACATAAGAATGTTGGTAAACATGCACAGCAACAAGCAATTGATCCACTGAGGACCTGGTCGTGTAATCATCACAGTGCATGGTACATATTTTGGCTTCCATCAGGAGACAGTGAAACATCGGGGCTGTAACCATCCACGTCTATGGCGACACGATATGCATCTTCATTATGGAGTCACGACATGTACTCTTGCAGGTCTGTTTTCCATAATCAATGAAAATGTTTCAAAACTTAACTAAAACATATTTTGTAAACTTGGGTCAACTAAACTAACAATGGCTTGGGCATGTTGGGAGTGCTATTCACAAACCCACCCGAAAATTGTATTTTACAAATCATTTGCATACCACATAATAAATGCTGTGTATATCAGGTATCGGTTTGTGTTGTACTTCTATTGAGGCACAATAGTTCGTGGCACTGCGAGTTGTGAATGGTTGCAGCCCTAGAATACATGTATATGTGTTCTACGTGTAGAAGATAATCTCGGGGATCTGCCCATCTTCAACAGAGGTGCCGTTGTTGTTGCCGGCCGCGTATGTGAACTGGAAGGTTACTTTCCCACTGGAGACAGATTCATGGGTCACTTTGCGTAATCCTTTGGACCCATAGTACGAGTCTGGACCCTAGAAAGCAAGAAAATAAAATAAAATGAAAAACATGAATAAAATACATAATCTCCTTACAGTTGCTTTCCCAGCTACTTGTCAACAGTTCAATGACCACTGGCACAAAGAAGGGAAATAAGGAGTGATGCTTGTTGTTGCAATCCTTGGTTTCCTGGTGGTCCAGCTCATCTTATGAAGCAAGATGTCGAACGGAAATGGACCGAGGACAGACTGATGATTGACAACAAGCCATATTCATTTGGCCCTGGTCAGCTAAAAGTGAGCGTTTTTGTTTAACGCCACACTCAGCATATTCCATTGTACTGTAAATAGTTGGGTCTGGACCAGACAATCTATTGAATGACATCATTATCTACACAACTGGGATACGCAACATGCATCAACCAAGTCAGCAAGCATGACCAACAGATCCTGTTAATTGCCTCTTACAACAGTTCCCAGGGGCCCTAGGGCAGTTCCTACCTTGAGTGTAGCACAGGCGATGTAGCTGGAGTTGGGCAGGATCTCCACTGGCTCCTTGAACATCACCCTGAATGTGGATGTTGAGCCATCACACTGGAAGCTGGTGTCATTGGACCCCATCACCTTGCTTGTGTCGGTGTGGATAATCTGCCACAACAACAGTAGGGTCAGCAAAAACACCAGTCAGTCAGTCAGTCAGTCAGTCAGTCAGTCAGTCAGTCAGTCAGTCAGTCAGTCAGTCAGTCAGTCAGTCAGTCAGTCAGTCAGTCAGTTAGAAAGGTACCTATTTCAATATAATAAAGAAGTTGTTATTCAAAAACCTGTGTCTACTGTCAGTTTTGCTCTTGTTACAAGGCAGTAAATGAATGTTTACCTGCTCCCTGCGTTACTAGAACTAGCAGACAAATAAGGGAAGTTACCTGAATGTTGACGTTGTATTCTGTTGGTCCATGAATACTGCCATACAACCCAAACCCAACGACAAATATACGTCTGTTCACCATGAATCTGAAATATACCAAGTACATGGCTAAGTAGATCTATTTACTGCAGTGAATGATGGGAGTGATGACCTTTCCCACAGACCCAGCAAATATTCACCAATGGCCAATAATCACAAGGCAGGCAAAACTATCTTAATATATGGAAGAAACAACTCAATTAATATATCACTCAAAATGACATGACATGAGAGATTAACTATAGCAATATGAACAAATGTTCTATAACCATGATAACTTCTTTTTTATTATTTTACTACTGTAAACATCAAAACTATTATGTTTACAATATGGAGAACACTTATAATAGGTATTGATACACACACGGTTGACATATTCTCTGACAAGCACATAACCAAATCATCATGCTGACCAAACATATTGAACAAATACACTGAACGAAAAAGGCTCATCATTAGTGTTCATGATTTCATCTACCTCACATACTCAAAGAGTGTGTGTATGGTTTTACGCCGCTTTTAGCAATATTCCAGCAATATCACGGCGGGGGACACCAGAAATGGGCTTTACACATTGTACCCATGTCGGGAATCGAACCCGGGTCTTCGGCGTGACGAGAGAACGCTTTAACCACTAGGCTACCCGACCGCCCCTCACATACTCAAAGAAGGTTTTAACTAGAATAATATAGAATCATCTATTACCGTATCCTCAAAGAAGGTCTTAACTAGAATAATATAGAATCATGTATTACCGTATCCGGTCACTTGTTCCACTGTATCCCCATCGTGACTCAATCTGACAGAAGCGAGACACGACTTGTTCCTTGCCAGTCAGGCAGCAGCGGGGCACGTCCAGGAAGCTGATGGAAGGCTTGGGGTTGACTGTGAAGTACAGGAACAGCTCCACCACTTCCCGATCTTCAAGAATCCCGCTCTGTGCAGCTCCCATTGCAAACTCCTCTACAGTCATCAGAGGGAAGCGGATCAGCCTCAAGGACCTGCTGAGGACTCTTCTCTGGTTCTGTGGACTCGGAGGCTGATTCAGTCTGGCACATTCGGCTTCTGCCCAGCGGCATACTGATGAAAACAGTTTGCATTCCCTTATCCCTAACGTGTCTCTCTCCAGCACCACACACAGTGTGTCATGATCAATATCGGTAAACCCATCAGCGGACAGAGCTTCCGTCGTGTTCTTGTCAATGGTTTCGAGACACAGAGCTGCAAGTTGTGGCTCGTCGAAAAGTCGTGCCTGGGTGAGCAACATAAAGGCATTGTCACTACTCAAGTTTCTTTTAAGAAAGTCCACACAAGCCCTTTCCAAAGCAGGCACGGCATACTTTTTAGCCGTATACAAAGTTGTCATGACTGTTTCTGGGTCAATCTGAACCTCATCAGAGTACAAGAATTTCAGCAAAGCCAGGAAAGCAGCGGGTTCAACATCTGGGATTTCAATTACGCTGTCTGATGTTGCCATTCCACCATTGAAGAGGGCATCAAACACAGCACTTCCAACCGACAAGACAAACTTATGAGCTGGAATTGTCTGAACATTTGGCGGCTTTCCTACCAGGAATCGAATATCAGACATTACGTCCTTGTTGAATAAGAAAGCCAGCCTTTCTTTTACTGACGGTTTTGTGGCCTGCCAGTTATAGGGGACTGAAGCTTGATTCTGAGGCTGAGGAGAAGCAATTGTTGAAGAGACAGGAAGTGGCAGAGGTGGAGGCGAAGAGTCCTGTAAAACAGACTTCAATGCATTGGCACTACGCACATTGGAAGTGTCACCTACGGTGCTGCTGGCGGACAGGCTGACACCACTATCTCGATTTGCAATAGATGCAGCGTGGGGAGGTATCACTGCTGGGGAGGTGTTGGAAGCAGCAGCAGCAGCTGATGTCCCCAAGGCCGCCGGAGATGCTGGAGGTCCTCCAGGTGTGCTTCCCTGAGGCTGATGGGCTGGAGATGCGCGTGGGGCTGCAGGTGTCTGGTTGGCTGTTGCCTGGCTGCTGGAGGAGGATGCTCCCTGGTTCAGAGAGGGCTGGTTCTTCGCAGCCGCCTTCACCCTCTCAGCATCCATACTGTTTGAACCCCTGAAACCAGTCAACAGATCCTTCCACTCAAATTCAATCAGAAATTTATCCAGGATTCAAAACTGTGCCCTCAGCAGGCAAATTTGGAAAAAAACCTGTTCAACATGATAATTACTGCCAAGCAGCGTTAGAAATTGGCACTAGTCCTATAGTCCTGGCCAAACTGCCCAATAGTTAAGGTATCATAAGGACTAGTAAATATTTGCCATTTTTAAGGGTTTTGCAATATGTTATCATTGTAAGGACTAGTGGACTAAAAATGTTAGTTTCTACCGCTGCCAAGTATTAATGGTTTGTGTTGATTTGATTTGAACTATCAGTAGTGTCATGATTTAAATCATTTATATACAAGTTTAGAAAAGGTTTTGATCCATGAATAAACTAATATGTATAAACATAAAGATGTAAAAAGCCAACAACATGAGTACCGAGGTCATTTCCTGTTCACCATGTTAAGTTTCCACTTCCTGTATGTCAGCTATGGAACATGTTGAAGCTGCTGACATGGGAATATTACCCTGAACAAGTTTTTTTTATCATTAGCTTGATTATGGAAATGAACTTGTTAGGATTGGAAAAAACCTTCCTCCTATCTACATGATCTTAGCTGTGTAAATGGGACGTAAGCAGTCTTCGACTCAAGCCACTGGTCCAAAGCCCAAGAAAGGTTGTGTTTAACAAGTAATGAACCTGACATATTATCAGTTACATTTAAACATATCTGTACTTATATTATCTTTATGAAATATGTATAAACTGACTTATAATAATTTTTGTGTACTGAGAAAAACAAAATTCTGTCAGGTCTTGTAAGCATAACCAGTAATATTCACATAATAACACTGAAATCTACAGACAATGATGCTTACTGCTAGAGGTGAACGGTATGATCGGTATACAGCTACACCACGGCATGAAATACTTATGAAAAGAAGTTGTCTCTACCCTCACTTGAGAGGGAATAAAGTATAGCCTTGCCCTGAACTATTACTAGAGCTGCAACGGATACACTATGAGGCGAATACGATTCATAACATAGGGTAAAGAATATGAATATTTAGTCACGAATACAATAACAAGTCAGCAGCTGATGTATTATTTATTATATTCAGTGACACAATAACAACATAAATTATTTCACATGGTTTGTTAACTATCAATGTATCATACATTTACATACCGCAATTATCCAGGTACTAGTATCTGCTCAAATGCGACAATGACCAGTGACCACATTACTGTCAAATTAATTGTTATGAGAGTGTTGTCTTTGAAGAAATCCATGCATATAATATGTTGTTCTTATCTATATTTTTAGGTACAGGGAATGTAAATGCACATGATTGCATATTCATAAATATTCAATTCAAGTGGCCACAAATAACGAATTCAATTCATGAATGGATACGGTTCGATTCACCGAATAAGCGAGTGAATCGTAACAGCCCTATCTATTATAATATTAGAGTTAAATTGTCAGTAATAATGAGTAGTAACAACAATATAACCAGTGATTTTGTTCAATACTTAATATAATCCTAAATTCATTTTTCAATCACAATTCAAGGACAGTAGGTATTAAGTTAATGCACTTAGGATTTTAAGTTTCTGGAGGTGAAACCAGTATCTTTAATACCTAATTGTCCTACCCTACACCAGGTAAACTGCAACTCAATGAACACAAAACTACCAAGAGAAGACGAGCACTGAACAACTGACAGCAAGTAGCGTTTGTTTAGATATTTACAACATTATCGGCATTTAAATAGTCATGACTGAAGAGATGATTTAAGTTAACATCTCTTTCAAAGTAGCACAGCTGTGGAGTCATGGATCATCTTGAATGAGTACAGGGAGTTGTATTTTACACCACTTTTCGCAATATTCAAGCATTATGGTGGGGGGAACCAGAAATGGGCTTCACGCATTGTACCCATGTGGAAAATCAAACCTGGGTCTTCAACGTGATGAGTGAACGCTTTAACCACCAGGCTGCCCCACTGCCCCGGATAATCTTGAAGTGGTCTGAGTATTGTAACATTCCCATGTGTATATAGTTTGTAACCATGGTTATTAAAAAAAGTAATTTAACCGACATCCTGTCCCATCACTCAATGATGTGATACAGTAGGCGCTGCGACTTCCATGATGTAAGATCTAAGTGTGTGTTATTCATGAAGTGAGGTGAGGTGAGGTGAGGTGAGGTGAAATGGGGTTTAACGTCGCGTCCAAGATTATTGCACCTATATAGTGTGTGTGTGTGTGTGTGTGTGTGTGTGTGTGTGCGTGCGTGCGTGCGTGCGTGCGCGCACTCTTGTACTAGTCCGGACTGATGCCGATTTATAGTGCCAGCCCACTGAGATACCATGCCGCAGTTTAACATGAATACCCCACTCATACACAGTATACTGACTCCAAGCCGACCAGTCCTTGGTTTAGCCCCTTAATGCTGAGCGCCAGACAGGGTAACAACAAGTACCATCTTTTAATGTCTTTTGGTATGACGCGGCCGGGGATCGAACCCCGGACCTTCCGCTCTCCGGGCGGACGCTCAACCACTAGACCACGGAGGCGGTCTATTCATCATGTTCATGAAGTGACAGATGATAAGGGAACATAACAACTATGGCACTAGTACATTGCATACTTCATTAACCATGAAAACTGTCACTGAAATCATTAAAATCAAAGGTTAAAACTAATACATATGTTTACAATCATGCATTTTCACTGTGTAGAAAATCACCAAAGTGGCCTTGACACAATCAAATTCTATGGAACAATCAACATTTGTTGCCTTGGCAACTCACTGTACTCAAAATTACATACAACATCATTGCTAACAATGCAGCGTTTTGGTATCAGGCCTTGGGTTTTGAGACGTACATGTTAAAAAAGTGAAAGTTCATGGCAGACTGATGGAGAGACAAACATGCCATTAAACAAACTGATATTAACCTCCTACTTCAACTGAGTCCTACATGACGTGGTTTGTTTTAATGCTTTGCCATTAATTGGGCAAGAGTCATTGCAATCACCTGGCCATGAGGCATGAACCCTTAATCAAAAATAGATCAATACATCCATGTGATCTTACAAGGATAATTCTAAACACCATTAATATCATGATACTGAACAGTTATCAATCTCAGAATTTACAACAAATTTCTTGGTTGGAAGTCATACAAGTATTACAACCTACCCAAACCTTAAAGGGACACGGTTCTGTGTGTTCATGCATGAAATAATTTCCGAGTGTGACGGCACATGCCTTATTCAATTCTCAAACCAAAACAATGGAGCTCCGCACACTGAAGCCGACAACTCAAACACTGCGCAGAGTAAACTGGCTTCAGTAATGTTTTATATTAGAGGCCAATTGAAGAGAAAGCTTGTGTGTCTTTCTTACGGGATGAGTTACCAATACTTAATTGCCAGCTTGATTAGAAGCCAGTGTTTATCAAAATCTTGTATACAATATATATATGCCTCGGTCATATGAAGCCAATCACCCTACCCAGAGATCCTTGTGGCCAGTCAAGTACCTACGTCACATCGTCACATCTTTCACAGTCCATCATATGTTTTTATCTGTTTCATTTTGGACAAACCTACACATTTAGATAAATATACCTGTCATTGAGAACAAATCCTAAAAAATGTAAAACATGAAAAACTATTTCCATTTATGTATTTATCCTCCACATGCTGTCATTGAAGCCTAGGCGATAGAGAGCCACAGAAAGGCTTGCATTAGGCCCGTCTGTTTTTATTTCAGAATTACAAAGAAGAGAAAAAGTCTGATAAGCCTTCACCTGCATTGTAGTCACTGGAGCAGAACATTTTGTAGCGAAATAAGGCGAGAGCTAGCAGATGCGTAAGCTCGAAGATTATCAGCTATTGTTTACAAACAAAGCTTCCCAAAAGTCAAGGACTTGTCCCTTCAAAGAGTAACAATACTCCAACTTATCAGACGTCTCGCTGGCTCCATGTTCATTAGCCTGCATACATGTGAGAGTCAACCCAGTCAGGATTATATCAACTGATTGTTACACTAACAGTGTTAAAAATTACGGAAGTGCCGGGATCCTTGAGGTTATCTGTAATAGCATGATAATCTTAGGATCCCTATATCTTTAATTAATAAATTTATAGGACATAATGAGGCTCTTGACAGTTTTAGTGAGTGAGTATGGTGATATGGCGCTTATAACAATATTCCAGCTAGATTCTATATCATAACAGGGGAGACCAGAAATTCTGACAATTGTACCCTGGCACCATCCTGAGATAATTGATTGTAAAACTATTTTAGATATTAGATGCCTTAGCTACCATCATACTCAACACAAAAAATGGCATAGCAAGATGTGAAACACATAAAACACACGCTGTCACATGAGCATGATAAGGTAGACAGGGCCTTGTTACTCATACCTCAATAGCTTGACTATGTTGATTGACATGATGTGTACATGGCACGGATCAGCTATCACTGCTCTTCAAGACACACACCCAACTATCAAACGATGAATCTTATGTATTCACAAATCTAGAGTTTCCGTTTCCTAGCGTTCATCAGGGACGAACTTTATTGAGCTTTCCATCAGGAAATGTTTGTTTTTGTCAAGGCTCGAGTGTCGAACATGTGAAACGAGGAAATGTTTCTCGGGCTAATATGTAGTGTATCCCTTGCGATGGCCCTCTAGTGGGCTTAATGTAAGAATATGCATACAAACAAATGCAGTTATTACCACAATTTCCCCCAAATTCCAACAGCTTTGTTGCTCACCCAGGATCCCTGATGAAAGGTTCAGTCAATTTGAAAGGTCAAGGTCAATGCGTCTAACGATTAACACAAGTAATAGGAGATTGGATTTTTCGAAGTAATTACTTTACGAAGTAAGCAGTTAAAAAATATAATAATTGGTTCGGTACTTTTAAATAAATATTTCAAAATTAGCCATTTTATGCATTTTGTATCAATAGTGCTTGTATTAGAACAACATTGATTTACAACTAAAGTCATCCTTTGCATAATTGCACCATTTATTTTAACAACTTGGGTTAACATAAAATTATAGCCCCACTATGCATATTATCAATTCTTGTTAGATTTTATTGCATTAAAAGTGTAGGTACGTCCAGATCAATTCACTGATAAACATTGGTGGTTTGTTGCTGGCAGCTACTATGTCTCACCCGGAAGTGTTATGAACGCATGTGCAAGTGAATACGGAAGTAAACATGATCTTGTTGCTCAACAAATAGAAAGTAGTGTATGAGAAGGTTTTGGACATCAGGGATCACTATGTCTACCAGCAATAGACTGGCAAAATTTAAGCAAGACTGTATTGAAGTTATTTCTATGTGCGAAAATTATAAGTGGTCATTTACAGGTAGGTTGTGTGTAATAATTGGAGCCTTTTAAACAAGCCGGTGAAACAAGCGAGTACAACGCCCATGCAGGCCTTGCTGTCATACTGACAATGCGTTGACAGTAACAGTCAACTCATTTATCTGCTTGCAAACTAGCGTTGACACAGACCATAAAGTTAATACCTACTTCGTTTTATAGTTGAACAAATACAAGTACATCCTGGTTAGACCAGGCATGACGTATTGCCACTATTGGGAAAACCATATTTTCCGTATTTAGATATTATCTTGGTCATCACATTAATGATTTTTGTCACGTTTTTGATAAGCTAATTTTATTATCGAAAAAGCAATGAAATCACAATAACAGGTTTGGGCTGTTTATTCTTAATATGAAGTTTATGAAACACTAAATGTCATTCAAAATGCAACGTAAATCAGGACAACTTAATGACAAACCAAATTTGACTTCTTTTTCAAGTTCTATGAGTATGATCTAGTTCGATGTGCTAACTTACCCAAAAATTATGAACACAGTGAAAGACTGTTGCTGTTTTACAGTGGATCCCAAAATTATTACAAATAACATGACCCTTTGATTTTATTTAAGTTTTGAAAATACATTCTTTTATGTCATTATCAGCTTTTAATGTCGTTAGGACATGTTTCATAATGGTCAGTCAATGTCCAAAAAATGAGCCTACAAATATGAAACCATGGCTCAAAGCACAAATTAGATTTACAGCTTGTTTATTTGTTCTAGGCTTGAAACTAAACTTTAGGGTGTTAGTGCTGCAACACTACATTAACCTAGACTCTGTGGTAACGCTTCACAAGGTGATAATAAAACAAAATATTTATGAATATTGATTTGATAAAAAATAACAATGTAATCTGCCATTGAACATGCTGAGATAATAACTTGATCAGTGATTTATCTAGACCTCTTCAGAGGCCAATATTTCAACCCAAGTCTGCAGCAAAATGTCAATAAAAATTCCCAAATTGGAATTACAAATTTCCCAGTTCATGTTAATATTGCAATAACTATTATCATCATAATGCTATGAATGTGTAGAGTTGACCTGTATTTCACTGATAATAGGACCAATAGAATAGACATTGTCGTATTGAAAGCAATGTTATTAAACCACCTGAATTTAAGAAAAAAAGTATGCTAGAAAGATCCCAATTTTACACAAATAACAATTTTTCTAATTTGCCTGCCAAGGGCACTAAGTTTGGAATCCTGATAGTGGATATACATATCTATATACATCTCTCTGTCGCTCTCTGTGTCTCTCTCTCTCTCTATCTCTCTATCTCTCTCTCTTTTAACATGCTTATATTGGATCATGTAGCAAAATAAATAAATTGCAAGCGATTCCATAGCATGTCACTGGCTATCCTAGCTATTTCTTTATAAAACAAATCTTTTTATGCCATGCCCACTAGCAGACTACCTTTTCCTGATTGATGGGCTGATAATAGAATGGGTGGGGCATGTGTCACATTATGGTGCTGAACAATTTCTTAGTGTTCAGTGAATTTCTTTCTTCATTCAAACAGTCAACATGGCAAGATTTAACTACCGTATTCGACGTAATAAGCGCCCCACTCTAATAAGCGCCCACAGCGATATTTGCTAATCTATTGGCTAGTGAACAATCCCAATTGGCGCCCCTTCCGATTGATCAATGTACACAAGACTTATTTTTTCGCGTATAATACGCACTCGTGTGCTATATGCACCCTTAATTATGGGCAACTAAATTCTGGAAAAATATATCTGTCGTACATGAACATTTCAGGCTGTCAGCATAAACCACAAAATTTATTTTTCAACTCTGTTTTTTTTTCACCAAAGTAATATTCTAATAAGAGCCCCCTATTTCTAATTTTGAGAGCGCCCTGAGCACTTATTACGTCGAATACAGTATTTTGATTTAAATTTACCCTAGGAAAAAAATATAGAAAAGGTGAAATACTCTATATTCAGACCAGTTATCATGATCCTTGATCCTGTTACTGATACAAAATAATAAGTTCAGAACATGCTGAACTTTCACACAAGTTTCTAACATTTCATATTTATATGACGATGAAATAACAAACTGCCAGTAAATGGTCTTGAATAACTATGGTCATTTCTTCGTTTTCTTTTCATATCTATATATATATGTATATATACATCAGATACATAGCATGTTTAAAGCCGTCTGATAAACATCTACTTGACATCAGCCACCTGCTGTAGTATGTTCATCACCATGATCAGAACTGCTTATAAGAGTCCCACTGGTTTCTTATCATACAGCAAGCTTCCAAGCCCACTATATATCAAATTATCATATGAGGTGTTTTGTTACTACAATATTTTCAAAAATAATGTTGGTCATGTATAATATGCAACCTGATTTAGAACTATTAAAGTCTAATGAATTATGATTCAAACGCAGTTAATATCTGTTGTCAACCTTCCATGTTGATGAAGCTGATTAAAACCTGTTATACGGATCATACTTCTTTATCAGGTGAACTGCATACATGTCCTGTGTGTGACTCACTGGTTGTAGACAGCATCAACATGAAGTAGAGGCAGTGTCAAATTGTAACCTGGTTCATACAGGAGGATTTACTCAGAACATGTTACCATTTCTGTCAGCTGAATTGATTAAGTCACCAGATGGCATGCAAAACCTTTAACCACCTTACACAGAGAAAGAGAAGAATATACCTGAAAAGTTTGATTGGCCTGTATAAAATCTTCATGAACCTTTTAGTGCTTGCTCTCTTTGGCATATTTAGCCGTGACTCAGATGCACATCATTGACCCAAGGTTTATTTTTATATAAGGAACATGAAACCATAATCTGGCTGCTGTGTTCATCCTTTCTGAAAATGTTTCCTGTTCATATTTCCCTCAAAGTTGTCATACTTCTTATTCAACATGGACATTTTGATTTGTGTTGGTCTGTGACAGTAGTTACTTTTCAAGGTCATCATTACCTGACCGTGCATGCTGTTAGAAATGTGGTGTCACTAAAGTGGTAAACGCCTGAGACCTGCATCACTTCAGGCTTTCCTCCTCAATCAAGATGACACACTGTGATATAACTGGAATACTGTTCAAATCAGCATTAAACGCAATCTCATTAAAATCCGATCTTAGTTCTCTCTACTGCTAAACAAAGATCGGAGGACATCCCATTATGGGTCATGTCAGGAGGACCTTTAAACCAACCAATCAGAGCTTTACTTCAGATCAAGAAAGTGACAGTCAGAATGTGTTTTCTAATCATGCAACATCGAAAAAATGAACATGGGAAATTCTGAACAACAGTTATGGGCTTTTCGATTAAATCCATACAATCTAGGCCATTTATTAGCCATTCCAGTATGTTCTTTTGTTCAGTTTTCAAATTTTTTTATCGAGAATTTGTCAAAATATGTTTCGAAGTGTAGTCACCGGTTTGAAGCTAGTGCCGTAAAGCACGAGAAAGCTGCCTTCTGATTGGCAAATGTTGACTTCTTGTCAGTCATTCCACTGGAAGGTCAAAATTCACAAAATGTCTGTCTGACTTGACCCGTAATGGGATGTCCTGAGATCCTTTTTTAGCGAGAACTAAGATCTGATTTTAATGTGAGATTGCATTGTACCCAACTCACTCACTCATTCCCTGTTCAAAATGTGAAATTTCTTTATGGTTTATTTGGAAATACAAGTCCTGGAGAGTCAAGGTAGAGCTGTCAGTTAGAAGTAAATTACCCTCATCAAATAAATGTTTTATTGATAAACATGTTGAAGTCTTGTCAGTACATAAGGCTATTTAAGAAGTGACTTCAGTACTTTCTTGTGTTTATGGAGGTAAAACAGGTGTCCGTACTGAATAAATCCAGATTTATGCAAAGTAGCCCCTTTGATCTCACACCAAACACTATAACTTATAAGTTTAGTGAATGAGAGTATTCAGGAGTTACATCTTTGCATTTTTATTTGCCTTTTTTTTTATTTGAACTTTAGTGCAGCAGTCTGAGTATGTGCTTTCAGCAGCATGAGGAATAATAGCCTGCCTAAATAGTTCATTTCATCGAGGCCCATGAAGATCCGGGGTAGAATAGGTCTTCAGCAACCCATGTTTGCCGTAAATAGCGACTATGCTTGTTGTAAGAGGCGACTAAAGGGATTGGGTGTTCAGGCCCGCTCACTTGGTTGATGCATGTCATCGTATCCTAATTGCGTGGATCGAAGATCATTACGTCAATCACTGGAAACTTGTAATCACAGAAGGTCTGCTTTTCTGTTAATGGTTGGTCAGAAATGGAATCATTAACTGATTGATCGTGTTGAGGGAGTATGTTCTGGTTGGGCTGTTTGCAAAAGGGGGAGAAGACCTCTGTAAAAAAAATGATTGTACTGATGCTGTAGCACTAACAATATTTTCCAAGTTATTTACATCATTGGAAGTATTTTATGAAATGATAAGCATGGAAGTATTGATGATTTTTTGTAAAATCATTTCAGGATTTTCTCAGAGTGACAACACATTAACATTTGCTTGGGACAAGGTACAGAACTGCAACTTCTCGCTGTGTGTGTCTGAAGAGGACTACCCAGGTACGATCCACAAGGACACACTCGCTTGTATCAAATAATTTCTGTGCTTAGATTTTTTTTTTTTTTTTTAATATATGATTTTTGGTAAAAAAATTCTGGTCGGTAGGTCAAAGAAATAATCATTCCAATTTCAAATATATATTTTTTATTTCCTATTGTGTTGCGTCTTTAATAGTTGTTAAAAGTTTTTATTGTTTCAAGATACATTTTCAACAGGTTTTAATTATAGTCTATTATATTATTTTAAATCATTTATGTATATTGATCATGTTGATAGTGACAGTAAATGTGATTTTTTTCATAAAGAATTTGATTATTTCTGGTTGGCAGATTTAAAAACAACACTACTTTCATTTAGTTTTTTCACTTTTTAATATTTTTGGAGCCTAATGGTTAAAGTCTCCACCCAAACACTAAAAACAGCGCTGAGATTCGGTTTTGAACTGAATTGTTATTCAAATATATGTGGTTGAAAGAAACAAATGTGAAAGTACAATTAATGACACCGAGAGTTGTGCCTGTAGATTTAGGAAATGACAATTTATGAAATTTGTATTTTTTCAGAGAACACCTTACTTACCCAAGTTCTTGAAGGAGAAGAATCAACTAGTCTACATAACAAGCCTATCCAGTTTATCTTAGTAAAACTCAGGGATGGTAGGTTGTTGATCATGTGATGAAGTCATAAATATCCCCAAGGTTTATGTCCGACCAAAACATGCAGGAATATGTGTTAGACATTTATGTGTAAATGTCACTGACGCATGTAGATGTTTTAAGTGAAACTCTTTCAGGAGATTTCCTATACATATCCTTGATATAGTGTATTTAGCTCAAGCCTTAACATGATGAGATTTAGGACTCTTCGGGCTTTCTGGTGGTCCAGAGGACTAACTTGTCTGAGTAGGGTGTGTTGGTCATCTAGTGAAATAACTTGTTTCCATAGGGTGTATTGGTGGTCCAATGAACTAACTTGTTACAAGGGTGTATTGGTGTATTGGTGGTACAATGAACTAACTTGTTACAAGGGTGTATTGGTGTATTGGTGGTACAATGAACTAACTTGTTACAAGGGTGTATTGGTGGTCCAGTGAACTAACTTGTTACAAGGGTGTATTGGTGGTCCAGTGAACTAGCTTGTTACAAGGTTGTATTGGTGGTCCAGTGAACTAACTTGTTACAAGGTTGTATTGGTGGTCCAATGAACTAACTTGTTTCAAGGGTGTATTGGTGGTCCAATGAACTAGCTTGTTACAAGGTTGTATTGGTGGTCCAATGAACTAACTTGTTTCAAGGGTGTATTGGTGGTCCAATGAACTAACTTGTTTCAAGGGTGTATTGGTGGTCCAATGAACTAGCTTGTTTCAAGGGTGTACTGGTGGTCCAATGAACAAGCTTGTTTCACGGGTGTATTGGTGGTCCAATGAACTAACTTGTTTCAAGGGTGTATTGGTGGTCCAATGAACTAACTTGTTTCAAGGGTGTATTGGTGGTCCAATGAACTAGCTTGTTTCAAGAGTGTATTGGTGGTCCAATGAACTAGCTTGTTTCAAGGGTGTATTTGTGGTCCAATGAACTAGCTTGTTTCCAGGGTGTATTGGTGGTCCAATGAACTAGCTTGTTTCAAGGGTGTATTTGTGGTCCAATGAAATAGCTTGTTTCAAGGGTGTATTGGTTTATAAATCTGGGCCTATGTTTCTGTACCAGTTATGTTATTCGTTATGTTGACCCATGAGAATATGTTCAGTATGGCCAGTCCTTCATCAGGTGAATGCTTTGTAAATGCATAGAGTACTATATGTGATGATGTTTTCATTCCAACAAACTATTGTGATATTATACTGTAACAATGATGTGTGTCAACTGTTAATAATATTATTGTTTAGTGTAGAATACCGTGGCCATGTTTAGAGACAGGTCAGACAGATAAATTAAATATGTTCATGATGTAATTATATTAAAAGGTACCCTTATTAAATAAATGAATAAATATTAGCAATATTATCTATTGATTGTAAGCTAAAGACAGTTTGAAATGTTCAACTAATGTTTTTAAAACTTTATGAATATTTTACTGTTGAAAAGGTGTGCGGCAAGTAAGAATAAGATATTTTACAGATACATGTATAGAGTTATTCTAAAAAGGTAGAGGGCGGTCGGGTAGCCTAGTGGTTAAGACGTTCGCTCATCACGTCGAAGACCCGGATTCGATTTCCGACATGGGTACAATGTGTAAAGCCCATTTCTGATGTACCCTGCCGTGATACTGCTGGAATATTGCTAAAAGCAGCGTAAAACCATACTCACTCACGAAATAGGTAGTACTGAAACTCCTCCTGTGTTTCGTGATGTGAACTGTTAAACAATATTTTAGAAGAGAAGACAAAGAAGAAATGCCCTAGTAACCATGGTAACTTCTGAGAAACTGCTTTGGGATGAGGCATCCTCATAAGAGAGCAATGAAATATCTCATCCGTCCATCCAGTGCTACCTTTTCCATTCTCTGAAACTTCAATGCATTCCTGGCAGCCATATTGAAAATGTCGTTCTTGCCCATTACGCAGCAATTTCTGTATGTATCATTACGAAATTTGACATGACATACATATACGGTATTTTGTCAAAATTATTTACGAAACTTTCACTGTAATAGTTACACTTTCTCATGGAAACCAAGCTAGAAATGATTGTTTCAACATTTGCCTTCATGCACACTGGCAGACTTGCTTCGACGATACAAGCCTACACTGGATGACATCAAGAAGGCCAAGCTTGATGCCCAGCCAGTTGAAGCCTCCTCCTTAAAACGACTGGTGAGCGTAGAGTCGACAGGAAGCTCGGTGTACGCCGACTGTATGTCTGCGGACTCGGACGAGGATGATGACATGGAAGGGTATTACAATGACTACTACCACCAGTATCAGCAGCAGGAAGAGGTAGGCACATTTACAGGGAATCACATCCTTGTCTGAAATTGTCTATTTCTGTGATGAAAGGGATGAAACAAATCTTTTGCAGTAAGTTCTCTGTTGAAGAAATGAATAACACAAGTTTGTGATGATAGTCATCCACTGGGTAATAAAATTTATTATGTATTGAGCTTTTTTTTCAGATTTTTGCTCACTAGGAGCAGGGCAGGTCTACTTGAACTTGGAGTATGGCCTGTTGCCCTTTATATCTCAAACCATTAACTTTGTTTCTTCTCCGAACCAGTTGACAGTGTTTGAAGGAATAAATTAATGGAGATGTCTAGCACCCTATTCATGCTAACTGGGCTCAGCTTTGTTTGTCGCATTAATTAGAAAAATAGTAAATCTTTTGTAAAAACTATAGGTCTAGAGAACTTGAAAACAATGACAGGAATGATAAAGCCTTTCTTCAACAAATCCCGGTGTTTGGGGAGAAACTTGGTCCAGATGAGATGGACCATGCCCCAGCATCATCTTTAGCAAAACTTATCATGTCTTTGTTGCAGCTAGAGAATGAAAACTCCGATAAGATGAATGACTTGCTGACAAATGATATGGAACAAGTTAAACTACTGTACGGAGAGAGGTCACTATCATATAGGTGAGTTATACTGCTGTACGGAGAGAGGTCACTATCATATAGGTGAGTTATACTGCTGTACAGAGAGAGGTCACTATCATATAGGTGAGTTATACTGCTGTACAGAGAGAGGTCACTATCATATAGGTGAGTTATACTGCTGTACGGAGAGAGGTCACTATCATATAGGTGAGTTATACTGCTGTACAGAGAGAGGTCACTATCATATAGGTGAGTTATACTGCTGTACAGAGAGAGGTCACTATCATATAGGTGAGCTACACTGCTGTACGGAGAGAGGTCACTATCATATAGGTGAGTTATACTGCTGTACGGAGAGAGGTCACTATCATATAGGTGAGTTATACTGCTGTACAGAGAGAGGTCACTATCATATAGGTGAGTTATACTGCTGTACGGAGAGAGGTCACTATCATATAGGTGAGCTACACTGCTGTACGGAGAGAGGTCACTATCATATAGGTGAGTTATACTGCTGTACAGAGAGAGGTCACTATCATATAGGTGAGTTATACTGCTGTACGGAGAGAGGTCACTATCATATAGGTGAGTTATACTGCTGTACGGAGAGAGGTCACTATCATATAGGTGAGTTATACTGCTGTACAGAGAGAGGTCACTATCATATAGGTGAGTTTTACTGCAGTACGGAGAGAGGTCACTATCATATAGGTGAGCTACACTGCTGTACGGAGAGAGGTCACTATCATATAGGTGAGTTATACTGCTGTACGGAGAGAGGTCACTATCATATAGGTGAGTTATACTGCTGTACGGAGAGAGGTCACTACCATATAGGTGAGTTTTACTGCTGTACGGAGAGAGGTCACTATCATATAGGTGAGTTATACTGCTGTACGGACAGAGGTCACTATCATATAGGTGAGTTTTACTGCTGTATGGAGAGAGGTCACTATCATTTAGGTGAGTTTTACTGCTGTATGGAGAGAGGTCACTATCATATAGGTGAGTTATATTGCTGTACGGAGAGAGGTCACTATCATATAGGTGAGTTATACTGCTGTATGGAGAGAGGTCACTTTCATATAGGTGAGTTATATTGCTGTACGGAGAGAGGTCACTATCATATAGGTGAGTTATACTGCTGTACAGAGAGAGGTCACTATCATATAGGTGAGTTATACTGCTGTACGGAGAGAGGTCACTATCATATAGGTGAGTTATACTGCTGTACAGAGAGAGGTCACTATCATATAGGTGAGTTATACTGCTGTACGGAGAGAGGTCACTATCATATAGGTGAGCTACACTGCTGTACGGAGAGAGGTCACTATCATATAGGTGAGTTATACTGCTGTACGGAGAGAGGTCACTATCATATAGGTGAGTTATACTGCTGTACAGAGAGAGGTCACTATCATATAGGTGAGTTATACTGCTGTACGGAGAGAGGTCACTATCATATAGGTGAGCTACACTGCTGTACGGAGAGAGGTCACTATCATATAGGTGAGTTATACTGCTGTACAGAGAGAGGTCACTATCATATAGGTGAGTTATACTGCTGTACGGAGAGAGGTCACTATCATATAGGTGAGTTATACTGCTGTACGGAGAGAGGTCACTATCATATAGGTGAGTTATACTGCTGTACAGAGAGAGGTCACTATCATATAGGTGAGTTTTACTGCAGTACGGAGAGAGGTCACTATCATATAGGTGAGCTACACTGCTGTACGGAGAGAGGTCACTATCATATAGGTGAGTTATACTGCTGTACGGAGAGAGGTCACTATCATATAGGTGAGTTATACTGCTGTACGGAGAGAGGTCACTACCATATAGGTGAGTTTTACTGCTGTACGGAGAGAGGTCACTATCATATAGGTGAGTTATACTGCTGTACGGACAGAGGTCACTATCATATAGGTGAGTTTTACTGCTGTATGGAGAGAGGTCACTATCATTTAGGTGAGTTTTACTGCTGTATGGAGAGAGGTCACTATCATATAGGTGAGTTATATTGCTGTACGGAGAGAGGTCACTATCATATAGGTGAGTTATACTGCTGTATGGAGAGAGGTCACTTTCATATAGGTGAGTTATATTGCTGTACGGAGAGAGGTCACTACCATATAGGTGAGTTATATTGCTGTACGGAGAGAGGTCACTACCATATAGGTGAGTTATATTGCTGTACAGAGAGAAGTCGCTATCATATAGGTGAGTTATATTGCTGTACGGAGAGAGTTCACTATCATATAGGTGAGTTATATTGCTGTATGGAGAGAGGTCACTATCATATAGGTGAGTTATATTGCTGAATACCAAACCCTCCTTGTAATAACCCTAAAATTACAGATGTAGGGTTTTCCTAGATTATGAAATCTTAGCAGAAAGCTCCAGGAACCCCTTAAATTCTAAAGGGGTTTACATTTGATATTGTAATTGTATAGTTGACCTGGATTCCTTTACATTATGGGAATTTGATTGAAGATTTCTTTGTTTCAGGTTATTAGGAAGTATCTACGAAGTTGATGTTGAACTTAGCATTCCACTGTCATTTCTAAATGTAAGTTACTGTATATTAATCTTACACTGGACATTAGTACTCCCATCTTCCTGAGGCAAGGGAGTTAACTGACTATAAAAGTCCAGTTTCCACCCTTGCCGAACTAAGCTGGAATTTCTGGGTTCGATCGTAGCGGCACCAGTGGCTGTTACGAGTCCCTTCTATGTCCCTCCTATTGATCAATCAGATTCCACCTCTCATATCACTTGCATTTGCTTTAAAGAAATTAAGACAATCTGGTTTCATAATCCCAATCTATGTGGTAATAGAATGGGTCTTTCTTCGTGACGCGCATCGAAACTAGACTTTTATAGGTAGTCCAGTCTGACTTACTTGATAGATCACTGTTACACTGCTGACAAAACCACATTTACTCACTCACTCCATGTTATATCTGAACAAGAGGCATCTTCCCCAAATATTGAAGTTCACATTTAAGATGAGGGACATGAGGGAAGACATTTGCCCATGTTAACAAAGGTGTCCGCTTCCTGTTAATAGTCGCCTTTAGTCCTGAAAACATTTTGTGAATTTTAATAGTTTGTCTGTTATCAGCTGAATGATTAGACATTTCCAATTATTTCCCATTTTGTGATTGAAAACATTGAGATCGGATTTACGTTTCCAGGAAGAAGTAGCTGAGGCCTGGAAGCTCAATCGGAAGGAGCCCCTCATCGTCCGTATTCACCTGTCCTCTCTCCATTATCTCGATGTTAAAGGTATGTTAGCTCATTAGAAGGTAATCACTCACTTTCCGTATTCACTGGTCCTCTCTCCATTATTTCGATGTTAAAGGTATGTTTGCTCATTAGAAGGTAAGCACTCACTTTCTGTATTCACCTGTCCTCACTTCATTATCTCGATGTTAAAGGTATGTTAGCTCATTAGAAGGTAAGCACTCACTTTCCGTATTCACCTGTCCTCACTTCATTATCTCGATGTTAAAGGTATGTTAGCTCATTAGAAGATAAGCACTCACTTTCCGTATTCACCTGTCCTCACTTCATTATCTCGATGTTAAAGGTATGTTAGCTCATTAGAAGGTAATCACTCACTTTCCATATTCACTGGCCCTCTCTCCACTATTTCAATGTTAAAGGTATGTTAGCTCATTAGAAGGTAACCACTCACTTTCCGTATTCACTGGTCCTCACTTCATTATCTCCATGTTAAAGGTATGTTAGCTCATTAGAAGGTAACCACTCACTTCCCATATTCACCTGTCCTCACTTCATTATCTCGATGTTAAAGGTATGTTAGCTCATTAGAAGGTAACCACTCACTTCCCATATTCACCTGTCCTCACTTCATTATCTCGATGTTAAAGGTATGTTAGCTCATTAGAAGGTAAGCACTCACTTTCCGTATTCACCTGTCCTCACTTCATTATCTCGATGTTAAAGGTATGTTAGCTCATTAGAAGGTAAGCACTCACTTTCCGTATTCACCTGTCCTCTCTCCATTATTTCAGTGTTAAAGGTATGTTAGCTCATTAGAAGGTAAGCACTCACTTTCCGTATTCACTGGTCCTCACTTCATTATCTCCATGTTAAAGGTATGTTAGCTCATTAGAAGGTAACCACTCACTTTCCGTATTCACCTGTCCTCACTTTATTATCTCGATGTTAAAGGTATGTTAGCTCATTAGAAGGTAATCACTCACTTCCCATATTCACCTGTCCTCACTTCATTATCCCACCCTCAGTTCTGACAGTTTGGACAAATTGGCTGTCTCATGTGATATAGCCCGCTCATTGTTTCGCTAAAGGACTTGACCTGTAAGCATGGTAAGTTATACTGTTGTGACATGTACATTTTTTGTCATAAATATCTTTTACAGATCCACCCAAAGTTGAAGTATTCCAGCCTTCCAAGAAGGACAAGTTTGGTGTTGGAAGTCAGTTAAGAAAGTAAGATATCAGATTAAGATTCAGTTTGTTTGTTTGACTGTAAATGATTATTGATAAAGAATAATTTGATTATATTGATGATTAGGAACAGTGCTTAGTTAGCAAATAGTTTACAAATCATAGTTATCTAGGCACTAGTTACATTAATTATGGGCATTCTGGTTTCGATTAGGAATGAGTGAAATCACTGGGTCAGGCTCTGTGGCTTGGTTCATTGGGCCTTTTATTTTGTATCAGTTGGTTTTCAAAATGTTTGGCCTAAAATGTAATGTAGGTGTTACAAATGTTGTTGTTTTAAGACTTCCAGATTAGTACGACCGCCTCCGTGGTCTACTGGTAGAGCGTCCGCCCGGAGAGCGGAAGGTCCGGGGTTTGATCCCCGGCCGCGTCATACCAAAAGACGTTGAAAGATGGTACTTATTGTTACCCTGTCTGGCGCTCGGCATTAAGGGGCTAAAACAAGGACTGGTCGGCTCGGAGTCAGTATACTGTGTCCGAGTGGGGTATTCATGTTAAACTGCGGCATGGTATCTCAGTGGGCTAGCACTATAAATCGGCATCAGTCCAGACTAGTACAAGCAGACACACACACACACACACGTGCATGCACGTCGCTATATAAGTGCAATAATCTTGGACGCAACGTTAAACCCCATTTCACCTCACCTCCAGATAAGTACTGCTACTGATGAACGAAAGATAAAATCATAGGTGACACCGTCCCAGGAGTATGATTGTGAAACGATTCTGAATGATAATTGATTATTTTGTTTTGTTAGCATGAAGATTATTTTACATTTTTTTCACTATTTCTTGGGGACAGCAGTGATAGGTCTAGTGTATTTTTTCCATTTCATCCAATTGTAAAACAAAGTCAGACAATATTTTTTTGTAAAATGTCTTTTGTTTTTCCTTATTTCACATATTTGTTGTTGATTGGTCCTGTAAATCAACAAAAACAATAAAGGGCCTTGTGTATGATTGGGTATGATGTGAACTGTGATGTGAACTGTGATGTGAACTGTGATGTGAACTTTAACTGAACTCTAAGTGGTGAATATGTTAAAACAATGGATTTAAGGGATGGATGAATTAAAATGTTGAATGAAATAAAGTAAAAGAGGGTATCAAGCATCTTGAGTCATTTCTTTTGTCTATAATAAGACAAGTCCATTTTCATGATAGGGGTTAATTACCTGATTAACATGTGCAACCAGGTATGACATTGTTGTTTTAAGGTGTCTCACAACTGGGCTGTCTTACTAATGGGAGGGCCCATTTCTGGTGTTATTGCTGGAATATTGCTAAAAGCGGAGTAAAACCATACTCACTCACTACTAATGGGAGGAGACCTATGATTGTACCCCAATGACACTGGATGTTTATTATGCTATCAACCACTGATCTGACTGATCAATGCTTGATTGTTTGTGGGGTGGCATGATACTTCTGGAACATTGCTGAGTGGCGTAAACTGACTAGCAATGCAAACATTCTTTTTCTGCTTGTAGAATATTGGAGGTATTCTTGTCAGACCAATGGAAAACTCTCAGCAATGCCTCCCTGAAGACGGCGACAGCCCCAAAGTCATTCAGCGTTCCATCATCCTTGTCGTCCATGACATTACCGGCTGAATCAAAGTAGGATATTCCAACTTTCTTGTGGCAGGATATATATCATGTATATATAATGCATTTTGTCTTTTCCTGTTGAGGTGACTGATTTAGAGCACATTGCCACTATAAACAACATTTTGGGGGGATGGAAAGCCAAAAGTGATGCAGGTCTAAGATTTAGGCATCAGGGGATGCCTACACAACCAAGGGAAGTAACTCAGGGGAAGTTCCCTAGACAACGAGCCCATCCATTGCCTGGGAGACATGGCTGTAGATGAGAACAGAGACACCTGTACCATAACACTACTGGAATGAGTATTTATGACGTGTTGGCTGTGAAGTCAATTAGAACAAAATGGCATTGTTGTCACAGGCTTGTGCGAAGCCCTGGGATTGTATCCCGATGTAGGTACAATGTGTGAAGCCCATTTTTGGTGTCCCCCCTCTGCGATACTTCTTGAATTGTACTAAAAGTGGCGTAAAACCATTCTTTCTCATTGGAAATGTAGAGGAAACTATTCCTATATCAAATACACACAGTTAAGATCAGTGTTGTGGGCACAGGTGGCCCAGTCGTTTAAGGCGCCGCAATTCGCAGTGCAGATTTGCGTCCCCTGGGCACGCCAGAAACCTATGATTGTGGGTTCAAATCCCGGTTCGGCCCAATTATGTTTCTAGGTATGTCAGCGCCATACCCGTGCTCGTGGGTTTCACCGAAGTGGTAAACGTCTGAGACCTGATCACTTCGGGCTTTCCTCCCACATTAAGCTGACATGCCGCAATATAACTGGAATACTGTTAAAAGCGGCTTTAAATACAACTCACTCACTCACTCACTAAGATCAGTGTTACGGAACTGTCCGCCTGGTCCAGCCTGCTATTCATCTTGCAATGTTTGGGAATGTTTCAGGGATGACAAGGACCCGGACCCGTTCAGGGTGGAGGACGATGCTATAGCACAGGTGGTGGAGATGGGCTTCTCCCCGGAGGTTGCTAGGAACGCCTTGATCATCACACGAGGCAATGTGCAGGAGGCCCTCAACTTAGTACTGACTAACCCAGAAAGGTAAGCAGCCATTTTCTTCAATAATTGGTATGTGACAGTCACAACTGCAGTCATCAGTTTCTTACACATTCTAAAATTGCATCATCTTAGCATCAAATCGATGCATATTTTGTCTATTCAGATGATCGCAGTGGTCGCGAATGGGTTCTCACCCACAGGTGTGTAAGAAATCATCTGAGCTTGTTACCTATTATGTTTTTGTTGATGTTAGATTTGTTTGAAATCCCTCTTCAAACTGATCCCTTGCATGTAGTTGGTTCAAAGTCCATTATTGTTGATAATAGAGAGTAACATTATTCAGTCACTAGTCGTGTCACAGAATAGATACAGATGGTGGAGAAGGGATTTAGTTACATCACCATATGTTATTCAAATTTTGTGTTGGTAATTCTATTTTGTATTTGTTTTGCACAGTTGTACAGATTTTGACATCCTCTCTCAAAATCTGGAGAAGAAAGTAAACAAATCTCATGCGCCTCCCCACCGACAGCATTCCCATCCACCCGTGCCTTGTAACATGAAGAAACATGTGAAACGGAAATCAGGTTACAGTCGACAGAAGAGCATTGCAACATCGTCTACGTCACCTAATCTGTGTATGCCGCCCATGGAGGATCTGTCTCTCCTGCCGTCCTCCACACTTAGTGGGAAGAATGCTAAACAAGTGCCAGGTCTACACGATGGCTTCCTTGTTCAGGTGGGTTGCACTTGGGTCAAGAACTAAGACATACTGATTGTGTGCACAGAGCTCCAGATAAGCTGTGTATCTGCGTAAAATACGCATAAGAAATGCAGAAGTACGCAGTAAAATAAAATCCAAGCGTAACAAATATGCAATGAACATTACAGATACGCTACAAAAATAAAACTTGTGCGTATCATCAAAATATTGTGAAGTAACCCTGCGTATTCGATTAGATAAACAGCAACTTATTTTGAAATTATAAACGGGCATTCCATCAACCTTGCCAAACTCCACGATGACAGTTAAATCATGATCATTTGCCATCACACTTTCTTTAGGAAGTATCGTATTTTTTAATCCTATAAAGCTCTCGAACCCACACGACACCAGTTTGCAGGGACTACATGAATAGTGTTTTTAAATATTTAACTTAAATACCCACATGTGTAAAAACTAGTGGGTAACAGAAATTTGAATACCCAGATAGAATTACTGATACCCAATGATTTTAAAATGCATGGGTAAAATGCCCACAACACCAAAAGCTTATCTGGAGCTCTGTGTGCAGTTATGTATCCTCTATATGTCCTTTTAGCTATAATATACATTATTAGATTTTCATCCCTGTCACCTCACTACAGAACACCCTGCCTGATATTTTCTTAACATTCCCTAATACCTGCAGAAGAAGTTGGCTGTGTATTTTCACTTCTTGTTTTCTTGATAAAATACTGCAGATATGTCGTCAAATGACAGCCAAACATTTACAGTGTATATCAACATTTAGTGTTCAGCAATTTGTTGAAGAAGGTAAATTGATTAAATGCAATGCCTGAGCCTTTGGGGTCATGCGAGGCAGCGCGTTTTCCAGTAACCTATCCCCACAAAGACCTTGCTTTGAAACAAGGCACCGCAATTCGGTGTGCAGAGTTGCATAAGCCATTCCTTGGGCACCTAAGAAACCTATGATGGTGGGTTCTAATCCTGGTTTGGCCCGATTATGTTTCTAGGTTTGTCAGCACCGTACCTGTGCTTGTGGGTTTCACCGAAGTGGTAAATGTGTCAAAGTCACTCACTAGCTCCTCACAGTGTTTGAAATAAAACATATTGCCAGGTTGCCATCATTATTGTTTAGAAGTTGTGGGCCCGGACTAAATTCTTCAGGTCCTCATGTCAAAAATTGCAGCTTATTGTGACAAATAAATTGACAGGTAAGTTTACTGCTGGCCATCAGGACCCATACAAATTTGAAACTTCAGTCCCGACACGAGATATACATCGGACCCCGCAGGCACATGTTTTGAACACTGACTCCTTACTGATTTGTGTGACCCAGATTGTTTTACAGCCCACCGTGATGTAGCTGGACTATTGCTGAGTGCAGCATTAATCAGGAGTCACTCTCACTCTGGAGGATTGATTCTGTTTTGTGATCCCTGTACATCTGGTTACTGTGGAATGATTGCTTATTACTTTCCTGGTCTAGTGTTTTGCTTTGCTATATCAGTATCCATGTATACTGGTGTTTTTTGCCGCTTTTAGCAATATTCCAGCAATATCACAGCGGTGGACACCAGAAATGGGTTGAACCTGGGTCTTCAGTGTGACAGGAGAACACTTTAGCCACTAGGCCACCCTACTACCCTTCCATCTATGATGTTTGAAACATCATTTTGTTGATATTTATGTTGCAGGTGTTCCGGTATGTCCGACAGAGGATCCCAACCCTCAATGAATACTGTGTAGTCTGTGATGAACCTCATGTCTTTCAAAACGGAGCCATGCTTAAGGTGATTGTTTCTCTGTCTTTCGATGCCTGCAAGACTCATCAGGGGTCAGAGCTGCATCATATCAGGAGGAAAGTCATTGTCAATATGATCATGATACTCTTAGTATGACACCATGACGGATAACAGTACTTATTACTTGCCCGTTGAAGATACCACTGTTTAAAAACAATAAGATGGTATTTCACATTGTTTAATACCAAAGCACATGCTGATGTACTGCCAGAACTAGTTTCACTAACAAATATTGCCAACTCTCAACACTGCTGGGCTTATTCAGTGACATTGCATGAAGAGATGATAGATCACTGAGAGGAGCTTATGCATGCTCGATAACCACAAAAGCCCTGTCACAGGGCATTGTTTCACGGTTTATCTTGCAACTAAAGTTCACAAATTATGTCATTGGGTGTTGTGACATGTTTGTAAACGTTTTAGAGCTAAATTCTAAAGGTATGCCGTTGTATGGTATTAAATTAATAGGTGTCAACTTTTAATATGTTTTAAGTTGTATTATTCTGTTAAACACAAATGGATTATACTGTGGATCACGTCGATGTGTGCCACGTCGATGTGTGCCTATTTACACGTGACAGTGAGATATTGTATTCATACACTTGACCTAGTTTATGACGGTAATTTCCAGAGTTTGATCATGTGAGTTTTTAAAAAGTTATAGGTGGCAAGTAATAAGTAAATACTAAACACGTCACGTGGATAGTTCTGGTGTCTGACAAGCAAAAGCAAGTCAGATACCAGAACTATTCACAAGTTAAATAAAATTGGTATTACATGGGAGCGAGTTTAGTGTTCTATATTTGTTAGTATGAAATTCTACCAAGTTTTTTATATACAGGGGTGTTGGGTTACTATTTAATTATGATGGTAAGGATTTATGCTAATTGTCTTTGAACTACTAAGCATGATGATAACTGTTACCAATTTTATATTTGAAATGTTAAACTTAATTTGCTTTAACTAGCATACTGCACACTTCCCTCTTGACAGAGTATGGTCTTTAAGTGGTATTTTAGAAGCTGGAGTTTCAGTGAAGACTTGTGCTGTGTGGATTTCAACTATATATATTTTTTCGTTGTGATGTTTCTGTACAGATACTAGTACTTGATGAACAACATGTCGCATTGAAAACATAAAGAAGTGGAAATATATAGGTGATGTCTTCACTTGACAGAGTATGTAATATTTGTTTCCAGCCTGCTGTTTGTTCGCGAGAGCTGTGTGTATTTGCCTTCCAAACACTGGGTGTCATGGTCGATGCTGCTGATGACATAGCAACAGGAGCCGAGGTAAGGGAGATAACTGTGATAATTCCTTCTTGAAATATAGCCAGCGTGACCCCTATCCTACCTTGATCATGTATGGTTGGAATGTTTATTCTTTGTTTATTTTTAGAGATAAATTTTGAGGTGGTTCATCGTTAATTAAACATAGCTAAATGTTTAACAGTGTTTAAACAATGATGATCACCATCAAAATTTAAGAACAGAATTGGCTTATCGCTATTTTACAATGACTTAAATGCGTTTTTTAAAACAGACTCTTTTCCTTGCACATATTCAGTGCAGTAATGCGGTCAGAAGTCTTTATCGCTCATTAACCACTTCAAATTTAGTAAGAGAAGCCAATCAAATTTTATTATCCTTTAATGTCATGGTAGAATATTTGATCATGCATAGAGTCTTGTGAGGTGATGAGATAGGAAAGAACACCATGTATCTATGAAGATTTTAGCCTGCACTATGTCAGAGGTAATATATCAGTTAACCAGGATTGATGTTTTTTAAAAACCGACAAACTTGACAAGCTATTTGTACTTTAAATTATGTTTCTTCCTAATCGGAAATAACGTCACTTGGGTGCATGGTTGTGGTGAGACCCTGGTGAGAACACTTGTGAAGCCAAGGCTATTCGTAACACACTCTCAGCTGTTGTGTGTTGCTGACTGCGGTAGATATTGAGTATGTGTGGGGTATATGTACAGGTTTTGGACAGAGGTGGGCAGTTGAAAGATTCTGGTTATTAGAAATGAATTATTTTTTTTCAGCATACTAACATGTTTCTATAAATGTATTTTTGGAAGGATCCGAGATCATTATTGTTACTTAGGATTGATAGCACTTGACAGCACAGAATTATTTGTTTCAAATTTCAGACCTAAAATATGTAAATGCATTTGTTTACATAGATGAGATGCTTATCATTAAGCAATCATGTAAACTCTCATGGTGGTTCTGCAGATTAGGTGCAAGTGACTGAGTGACAAAGTGTATGTTGCAGTCACCAATAGTCCTATGTTACAGCGGCATGTATATACCGTATTCGATGTAATAAGTGCCCAGGGTGCTCTCAAAACTAGAAATAGGGGGCTCTTATATGAATATTATTTTGGTGAAAAAAAACAGAGTTGAAGGATAAATTTCGTGGTTTATGCTGACAGCCTGAAATGTTTATATTCGACAGATATATTTTTCCAGAATTTAATTGCCAATAATAAAGGTTGCATATAACACACGAGTGCGTATTATATGCGAATAGGGGTAGGAAGGGGTGTTAATTGGGATTGTTCACTAGCCAATATATTAGCAAATCTCGCCATGGGCGCTTATTAGAGAGGGGCGCTTATTACGTCGAATACGGTAACCACATTGGTCCCTGCCACCTTGATCAGTGATTGGTGTTGGGGTATGATGGCACACAGTCATGTCACACATTGTAACTAGCTTTCTTCAAAGTCAGATAAGATATAAGGTTACTGCCTACCTGATATCCTTGGGCTGCCATGTTGATGTGATTGGTGAGATGTGATTTTATCCTACTTTTGTTGGGACATTTCTGAAGTATGCTGGTCAAATTTATAGATAATGATATAATATAATCCTGGTCACATGTCAGTGAACTTTGGATATTACCATATGATTGATGTTCCCTCCAGCTGAGGTCTCCAGCTGCTGCAGCACTGGAGGCAGTGGTTAGACTTATAGTATCTGTATTTTCACACAGTCAGATAGCTGTTAGGTGAATAGGATCTCTGTTACTTCATCCCATACATGCTGGGAAATGTCCAGGAATGACAGCTTGATTGTGCTTAATCTCTGCCGTATTTGATTCTTTATGTATAAAAAAAGCACACTACTTGGTTGCCTCCCACTGAGTATGCAATGTTTGTGCTTGTGTTGAAGGAATTAGTCTGGATGTACTTTATCATTTGAAATATTAATAGCATAGCATCATGTTACTGTCATGAATGAGCTGACTTCTTGGAATTTGTAGTTCCTGATTCTGTTAGCATGACCACATGACAGTGATTTTTGAATGCTGATGGATTTGAAGACATATAGATCTGTCTTGCATGGACAATACAATTTGTTAATAATTAAATATTCAAACTTCATCAGACCAGTAATGCATACAAACATATTCCAAGTTTTCTTTGTATGAGAGTGAAATGTTCTATATTTTGGATTGTTTTCACTTGTTTCCCCGTTCTCCCCCAGGTGGTTGTGTTGCTGATAGCTATGACAAGAGCAGCCTGTAACTCTGCCAGAAAAGCTACGATCTTCGACCCTTTCCCCACTGTAGTGGATCCAACCAACCCCCAAGAACTTGTGCTGTCACCAAAGGTAGCAACAAACACCAATATTTCCTTTGTCTACGTCATCTATCGCCACATCATCTATTGCCACATCACCTATTGTTATATCACCTATTGTTACATCAGCTATTGCTACATGACCTATTGCTACATGACCTATTACTACATAACCTATTGCTACATGACCTATTGCTACACCACCTATTGCTACATGACCTATTACTATATCAACGAATGCTACATCACCTATTGCTACACCATCTATTGCTACATGACCTATTGCTACATGACCTATTACTACATGACCTATTGCTACAACACCTATTGCTACACCACCTATTGCTACACCACCTATTGCTACATTACCTATTGCTACATCACCTATTGCTACCCCACCTATTGCTACATCACCTATTGTTACATCACCTATTGTTACACCACCTATTGCCACATTACCTATTGCTACATCACCTATTGCTACATCACTTATTGCTACACCACCTATTGCTACATCACCTATTGCTACATCACCTACTACTACATGACCTATTTAGAGATTACCTATTGCTAAATCACCTATTGTTACATCACCTATTGTTACTCCACCTATTGCTACATTACCTATTGCTACATCACCTATTGCTACATCACCTATTGCTACATCATCTATTGTTACATTACCTATTGCTACATCACCTACTACAAAATCACCTATTGCTACATCACCTATTGTTACACCATCTATTGTTACACCACTTTTTGCTACACCATCTATTGCTACATCATCTATTGCTACCCCACCTATTGCTACATCACCTATTGTTACATCACCTATTGTTACACCACCTATTGCCACATTACCTATTGCTACACCACCTATTGCTACACCACCTATTGCTACATGACCTATTGCTACATGACCTATTACTACATGACCTATTGCTACAACACCTATTGCTACACCACCTATTGCCACACCACCTATTGCTACATTACCTATTGCTACATCACCTGTTGCTACCCCACCTATTGCTACATCACCTATTGTTACATCACCTATTGTTACACCACCTATTGCCACATTACCCATTGCTACATCACCTATTGCTACACCACCTATTGCTACATCACCTATTGCTACATCACCTATTGCTACATCACCTACTACTACATGACCTATTTAGACATTACCTATTGCTAAATCACCTATTGTTACATCACCTATTGTTACACCACCTATTGCTACATTACCTATTGCTACATCACCTATTGCTACATCATCTATTGCTACATCACCTATTGTTACACCACCTATTGCCACATTACCTATTGCTACATCACCTATTGCTACATCACCTATTGTTACACCATCTATTGTTACATCACCTATTGTTACACCACCTATTGCTACATCACCTACTACAAAATCACCTATTGCTACATCACCTATTGTTACATCACCTATTGTTACACCACCTATTGCCACATTACCTATTGCTACATCACCTATTGCTACATCACCTATTGTTACACCATCTATTGTTACATCACCTATTGTTACACCACCTATTGCTACATCACCTACTACAAAATCACCTATTGCTACATCACCTATTGTTACATCACCTATTGTTACACCACCTATTGCCACATTACCTATTGCTACATCACTTATTGCTACACCACCTATTGCTACATCACCTATTGCTACATCACCTATTGCTACATCACCTACTACTACATGACCTATTTAGAGATTACCTATTGCTAAATCACCTATTGTTACATCACCTATTGTTACTCCACCTATTGCTACATCACCTATTGCTACATCACCTATTGCTACATCATCTATTGCTACATCACCTATTGCTACATCACCTACTACAAAATCACCTATTGTTACATCACCTATTGCTACATCACCTACTACAAAATCACCTATTGCTACATCACCTATTGTTACACCATCTATTGCTACATCACCTATTGCTACATCACCTATTGCTACATCATCTATTGCTACATCACCTATTGTTACATCACCTATTGCTACACCATCTATTGCTACATCACCTATTGCCACATTACCTATTGCTACATCACCTATTGCTACATCACCTATTGTTACACCATCTATTGTTACATCACCTATTGTTACACCACCTATTGCCACATTACCTATTGCTACATCACCTATTGCTACATCACCTATTGCTACATCACCTACTACTACATGACCTATTTAGAGATTACCTATTGCTAAATCACCTATTGTTACATCACCTATTGTTACACCACCTATTGCTACATTACCTATTGCTACATCACCTATTGCTACATCACCTATTGCTACATCATCTATTGCTACATCAAATACTACAAAATCACCTATTGTTACATCACCTATTGCTACATCACCTACTACAAAATCACCTATTGCTACATCACCTATTGCTACATCACCTATTGTTACACCATCTATTGCTACACCATCTATTGCTACCCCACCTATTACTACACCATCTATTGCTACATCACTTATTGCTACATCACCTATTGCTACATCACCTATTGCTACATGACCTATTACTACATCACCTATTGTTACACCACCTATTGCTACATCACCTATTGCTACACCATCTGTAGCTATGTCACCTATTGCTACATCACCTATTTGTCGTTACCTATTGACAATCGACCACTTGTCCAGATTGTTACATCACCTATTGTTACACCATCTATTGCTACCCCACCTATTGCTACACCACCTATTGCTACATCACCTATTGTTACACCATCTATTGCTACCCCACCTATTGTTACATCACCTAATGTTACACCATCTATTGCTACACCATCTATTGCTACATCACCTATTGCTACCCCACCTATTGCTACATCACCTAAAGCTACATGACCTATTGTTACACCATCTATTGCTACACCATCTATTGCTACATCACCTATTGCTACCCCACCTATTGCTACATCACCTATTGTTACATCACCTATTGTTACACCACCTATTGCCACATTACCTATTGCTACATCACCTATTGTTACATCACCTAAAGCTACATGACCTATTGCCACATTACCTATTGCTACACTATCTGTAGCTATGCCACCTATTGCTACATGACCTATTGCTACATGACCTATTACTACATCACCTATTGCTACATGACCTATTACTACATCACCTATTGCTACATCATCTATTTCGACATTACCTATTGCTACACCATCTGTAGCTATGCCACCTATTGCTACATGACCTATTGCTACATGACCTATTGCTACATCACCTATTGCTCTACCACCTATTACTACACCACCTATTACTACACCATCTATTGCTACATCACTTATTGCTACATCACCTATTGCTACATCACCTATTGCTACATGACCTATTACTACATCACCTATTGTTACACCACCTATTGCTACATCACCTATTGCTACACCATCTGTAGCTATGTCACCTATTGCTACATCACCTATTTGTCGTTACCTATTGACAATCGACCACTTGTCCAGACTGCCCAGTACTGATGACTTATTGATCCTCTGCTTCAGAACAAGGATTATGCAAAGGTGATAAGGATCATCCAGGCTTTCCCCACTATCCAGGAGATGATGAGACTTGGTAGCACCACTCTCAAGAAGGAAATGGATGTCAGGAATGCTAATGCATATCCGCTGCTTCAGTGGTGGGTAGTCTTGTTAATAACTAGTCTTCATTTCCATGTTAGGAAATAGTATATGGACTTATCTCCTGTTTGTGGCTTGGTCATTCTGCTACTGATTGCATGCAATTTGTAATAGATGAGTTCTGATGGAATCTGTCATATATTGTATGAAGTCTAATCCTGTGTATTAGACTCGTAAAGAATGACTGATGCTAACTACCCAACGTTCCACCTCCCACACCCCGATGCTGTGGTGTTGTTTCAGAGTCAACTCTCATCTCATTGTCACACACAGAGTAGGGGTGGTGGGGGAACCAAGTGGTTGAAGTGCCAAAGGCCCAGGTTCAATTCCCCACATGTGAAGCCCATTTTGGTGTCCTCACTATTATATTACAGTAAACTACATTTATAACGAGCACTCTTATAACGAACTGATGAATACAACAAACTGTTTTGGGGTCCCGTCCATTTGTTGTTTATATATATGCTGTATATATGGATATAACGGACCACGGTTACAACGAACTAAAATTAATGGTTCCCGTGAGTTCTTTATAACCGTAGTTTACTGTACTGTATTATTTCTGATAAACACATAAAACATTTCTCACACATTACTTGCTGGTGTTTTGTTTCAGGATTATTGCAAGCAACCGTTCCCACATAGTGAAGCTGCCACCTGACAGAGTGAGTAGCTGCTGTTAACAAGAGTAGCCTCCCTTTGATTGTGTTTGCGTGTCTGTGGTGGTATACAGGAATATGACTGTTCGTGAAAATAGATTTAGACAACCATAAATCTTCTTCCTGTATCTACTGACAGTATTTTAAAGGCTTACTGAATATATTTGGAAATTTAAAGCAAGCTGTTTACAGCAGATGAGGGTGGTAATAGGTCAGTAGTCAGTTTGTTGTTTAATGCTGCACTACAGGGATTGATGTCATGAGCATCAATCTATGCAACTGGGATATGATGACATGCATCAACCAAGTCAGTGAGCCTAACCAACTTATCCCGTTACGTCAAGCATGGGCTGCTGAAAACCTATTCTACCCCGGATCGTCACGGGTCTAGTATTCAGTACAAGTGGGGACCTTTAGTCAGTAGTCTTTTTTTTATGCTTAGTCAGAAAAAGAAACGCGTGCAAATAGTGGAAAATCTATCAAGTCACAGAATTCCCTTCATATTTTAAACATTTTGAACATGTCATCTTCGGCCATTGCTCATCTATTCTGCATGTATGCCCCAATAAAATCTTGTGTTAGAATTTGCCTTAAGCAACCCATGCTTGTAGTAAGATGCGAATAACAAGAACATTTGGCCATGCTCGTTTGGCAATGCTCACTGTCTTGGTTATTTGAAGATTGTTGTCATATAGCTTGTTTATTGTTGAGTGGTAATGTTACACAACAAACAATCAAGAAACTAATGGTATGTATCATTATGAAAGTATATATGCAGCAAGTGTGTGGTATGCAGAATAAGATATATTATGTTCATGGCATGTGTCGTTGTGTGTATCCTTGTCGTGTAGACCCTGATCGCTGCCAGAAACTGAGTGACCTTGTCCTGTAGACACTGATCGCTGCCAGAAACTGAGTGACCTTGTTTGTTACAGCAACTGAGCTTCATGCACACGCCCCATCAGTTCCTGTTGATGAGCAGTCCGCCAGCCAAGGAAGCCAAGTTCAGAGAGGAGAAAGTCAAATATGGCAGCACTTTCGCTTTCCAGTGAGTATGTAGATAGAGGACCCCCCTAGTTTAAGAGTATAAGAGCTAAAGAGCTGCTTATGTAAGTCATACTCCCATGTCAAGGAGCATGTTTCATGCCATATATAGTTTCCAGTGTTTAATGACGCATTTGACAGTGCCTTTTACAATATTTGAAACACCTGTAGGTTCACTTGGTGTAAGTGGGTTATCAGCTTCAGATTGATGGAAATGTTTTGCATGACCTGGTTTTTCGTGGTAATAGTATCGATATAGGCATACGAAATATGAGACCAGGGAACCCATGTTGATTAGAAGAGGAAGGTCATTTGTTTCTTCAGGGCTGAATGACCTGAGCAGCCCCTGACAAGTTGAAACACTAAGGATTAGTTCCAGCTTCTGAGTGCATAATGGAACATTATTATTGAAACTTTCTACCATATTTCCTCTACCAGACGCTGGACCTCCAATACAACCCAGCCTCATACACACTGTCCAGAAATTTCAAAGCTGGTCCTCTGTAGAAGCTGGATCTCTAATTCTGTGATATGTTGGTGATTAATAATAAATGTTTCCTGCAGATGTACCCTATGTGTGAGTGTAGAACTTGGGATTTGGAAAGGTATTGAGTTGCCACTATGCAAATAAACAGAATAGACGCCGGGCCTCTAATACACACTGGCCTCCAATAGACGCCGGGTCAACGGCTTGTGCGAAATTAATAGTTGCCTGGTCCTCTAATAGAGGAAATGTGTTAAAGTTAATTATTCTCTACAAAATCGTAATGCCATATTTGTGTTGTTTGTAATAACCCTTCACAAAACATGACGTCTTGAAAATTAAATTACCCAAACATTGTTACACATGAAGTTGTTACATCTGCTCCAGAAAGCAGGTTCATTCAGTAGAGCTCCGCTTGCCCATGCCCCAAATAGAGATTGTCAATAGTGTGACTGCCTGTGTATTCATTACTGTAGGATAAAAATTAGAATATTTTCTACTCAGCCACAGTAAATGGGTTGCTTATTCATGCATTAAATATGCATCCTTACATGTGTATTTTGAATCTCATATCTGATGGTTGGTATATAGGGATATATATGGGTATTTCAATAGGCATGAGATTTGTTCCTGTGACGTCATCTTTGTGGGCATTATCGTTAAGAATTGGTGCTGCTTGTCGGAGGTTACATATTGGAGTGGGTGGACAAGCTTGGTGACTTTCTTATTGTGTACATGTCATTTTACCCGAACAATGTGTTGGGGCGGTGGGGTAGCCTAGTGGTTAAAGTGTTTGCGCATCACATCGTAGACCCGGGTTGGATTCTCTGCATGGGTACAATGCGTGAAGCCACTGTCATGATTTTGCTGGAATATTGCTAAAAGTGGCAAATAACCATACTCACTCACTCACCTAACAATGTGGATCATTTCTCATAGTATCAATCACTGGATTGTTTGGTCCAATAATTGACAGGTTGCCATCATATCTGACCAAACTCTCTTCATCTTTCCCTGTGTCACACCTGGCTTCCTTAGCACATTTGCATATCCTACATGATCAAGTTCCTTTTGTTATTCAGACTTTTCCATATGTGTTATTTCTGTTGACCTTGTGTTGCAGTGGGTCGAGTATAGAGAACTGGCACTCCATCATCAGGGAGGGACTCATTGTGGCATCAGGGACCACCAAGCAGGTAACATCTCAACCATCACAGCTCTTGGATATCGGAATAAATAACTACTATATAATTTATTGCTTACTTTATGCCATTAATTGTCAATATTTCACAGGTATGTAAGCACCTCGTTCCTCCATCACTTGTGAATACACAACCCAACCTGCCTGTTAGGCACTAGATGTTTACAACCACATTGACATCTCATCCTACCGGGTACCCATTCACTGCTGGGTGAACAGAGGCACAATTCGAACAAAGTCACTTGCCAAAGGAGACACCACATGTGTTATATGTGCTTCAGTGTGGGGCAGGTCTGAAGCCCTAGAAACTTAGAGCCAAGCTACCAAACACGGTCACCCATTGAAGGACATTCCGTGACCGACGTTGCTTAACTTCACCTGATTTGTGACCTGTGCACAAGACCACATGCAACTACACGTGGCTCAGTACTCGGTTAGGGGGCACGGGTGGCCCAGTCATCTAAGGCGCCGCGATTGGCTGTGCAGAGTTGCGTCCCTTGGGTACGCCAGAAACCTATGATTGTTGGTTCGAATTCTGGTTAGCCCCGATTATGTTTCTAGGTTTGTTAGCACCATACCCGTGCTCGTGAGTTTCATCGAAGTGGTAAACGTCTGAGACCTGCATCACTTCGGGCTTTCCTCCCACTTTAAGCTGACACGCCGCGATATAACTGGAATACTGTTAAAAGCGGCGTTAAACCCAACTCACTCTCTCACTCAGTACTCGGTTAACATTGCACAAGGGTATGTGTTGCCTGACATCGTGTACAAGATGTGCCATAGACTTCTGTTATCTGCTCTACACTTGTTTTGTTGTCAGGCAATGATAGGGGTCATACAAAGGTCATGCACATAGTAGGGCTCATTTGACTTTCAAGTGTTATTCACGGCCCTATTTCATTGGCTGATTGGACTGGTCATATATCACCACCACACTGTATATCGGCCTGATATATTCGCAGGTGATGAAGGAACGTAGTGTATGCAACCTTGTGATGATAGGATCATACAACACAGCATTTGTGTTGAGAAAAACTGAATATAACAAACAATAGGATCTTTTTTGTTCTATATCTCCTCATAAAAAGGTTGGTAGTTTGACACAGAGGACATAACTAACTGACCTGAGCTCTGTTCCATAAAGAGATCTTAGCGCTACAATTGTCGTAAGTCGATGTTAAATGTTCGGCGTTACGATCATGTTAGCGCTAAGATCGCTTAGTGGAATGGGGCCCTGGACCTTGTTGAAGGTGATATCAGTGTTATGACTTTATATTTCATTATAGACTGTACTCTAACATAGACTAACGACAGTAGAAACATCATGATCACTTGTAGCCAAGGGTCTCATTTAGGGGTGTCACGATAAATCGAAATATCGATATATATATATTGCTATTGGTATGTACTTAAAGTCAATAAATAGATTGTTAAATGTGTTTCCGATCAATAGTATCGATTTCAGTTAGGAATATTGATAGTTTCTATTGTAATTACCATATCAATAAAATACATGCAATGCTGTTCAAATTTGTTTTTCTTTTGATCATGAGTGGTAGTAAGTTTCTTTTTCTTAAATTATTAGGGTAAATAAAAAAGAAATCAGTCATATCTCAAACTTTCCTTTTTATTTTTGTTATGGATTTCAGATTCAAGGGAAACTTCAGTTGCAAGGTTTAATTCAACTCTAAAATCCATCTAAAATGACTGCAATATCAATAGTTATCACAATAGTTTCTTATAATATCAATAGTTATCACAATAGTTTCTTACTTACAATATCAATAGTTATCGCAATTGTTTCTTACAATATCAATAGTTATCGCAATAGTGATTTCCAGACCAATAGTCACCCCTAGTCTCATTCAAATGATCGTATTGCTAAGACTATCATAAGTCTGGGTAAAGCAGCGACAGTCACCAGACTAAGTTACCTGCATGGAACTGGCCTGTGGCTGTGATTGGGCTGCAAGGTGGTTGTGTAAAGCTGACTGAGTGCATCCTCCATGTTCCAGATGAACGGGGCAGCATACGGCAAGGGCATCTACCTCAGCCCCTCCTCCAGCGTGTCCTTCGGCTACTCTCGTATGGGATACGGATACTACAACTCCAAAAGTAAACCTGCTGAACAAGAACAGGTATGTTGTGATTACACTCATTTTGCCATCATTTGGTTGGTGTTATGCTGACAGTCCGGTGGTGATTGTGAAACTGCCTGTGAAGTTTCTGAGTTAGCCTAGGTCCCCAGCAGCCTATACTAATCTCCTGTTGGAAATTCTGAGTCAGACAAAGTCCCCTCAAACCAATGTCAGTCGTCGCATGGAGAATCTGGGTTAGCCTAGGTCTGCAGTAACCGATACTAACCTCCCATTGGAGATTCTGAGTCATCCAGGGTCCCCTGAAATTAGTGTCTGTCTCCCTGTGGAGTTTACAGGTTAGACTAGGTCCCCTGAAATCAATGTCTGTCTCCCAGTGGAGTTTCCAGGTTAGACTAGGTCCCCTGAAATTAATGTCTGTCTCCCTGTGGAGTTTCCAGGTTAGGCTAGGTCCCCTGAAATCAATGTCTGTCTCCCTGTGGAGTTTCCAGGTTAGACTAGGTCCCCTGAAATCAATGTCTGTCTCCCTGTGGAGTTTCCAGGTTAGGCTAGGTCCCCTGAAATCAATGTCTGTCACCCTGTGGAGTTTCCAGGTTAGACTAGGTCCTCTGAAATCAATGTCTGTCTCCCTGTGGAGTTTCCAGGTTAGACTAGGTCCCCTGAAATCAATGTCTGTCTCCCTGTGGAGTTTCCAGGATAGACTAGGTTCCCTGAAATCAATGTCTGTCTCGCCATGGAGTTTACAGGTTAGACTAGGTCCCCTGAAATCAATGTCTGTCTCCCTGTGGAGTTTCCAGGTTAGGCTAGGTCCCCTGAAATCACTGTCTGTCTCCCTGTGGAGTTTCCAGGTTAGACTAGGTCCCCTGAAATCAATGTCTGTCTCCCTGTGGAGTTTCCAGGTTAGACTAGGTCCCCTGGAATCAATGTCTGTCTCCCCATGGAGTTTACAAGTTAGACTAGGTTCCCTGAAATCAATGTCTGTCTCCCTGTGGAGTTTCCAGGTTAGACTAGGTCCCCTGAAATCAATGTCTGTCTCCCCATGGAGTTTACAAGTTAGACTAGGTTCCCTGAAATCAATGTCTGTCTCCCTGTGGAGTTTCCAGGTTAGACTAGGTCCCCTGAAATTAATGTCTGTCTCCCTGTGGAGTTACAGGTTAGACTAGGTGCCCTGAAATTAATGTCTGTCTCCCTGTGGAGTTGCCAGGTTAGACTAGGTCCCCTGAAATTAATGTCTGTCTCCCTGTGCAGTTACCAGGTTAGACTAGGTCCCCTGAAATTAATGTCTGTTTCCCTGTGGAGTTTCCAGGTTAGACTAGGTCCCCTGAAATCAATGTCTGTCTCCCTGTGGAGTTTCCAGGTTAGACTAGGTCCCCTGAAATCAATGTCTGTCTCCCTGTGGAGTTTCCAGGTTAGGCTAGGTCCCCTGAAATCAATGTCTGTCTCCCTGTGGAGTTTCCAGGTTAGACTAGGTCCCCTGAAATTAATGTCTGTCTCCCTGTGGAGTTTCCAGGTTAGGCTAGGTCCCCTGAAATCAATGTCTGTCTCCCTGTGGAGTTTCCAGGTTAGACTAGGTCCCCTGAAATCAATGTCTGTCTCCCTGTGGAGTTTCCAGGTTAGGCTAGGTCCCCTGAAATCAATGTCTGTCTCCCAGTGGAGTTTCCAGGTTAGACTAGGTCCCCTGAAATTAATGTCTGTCTCCCTGTGGAGTTTCCAGGTTAGGCTAGGTCCCCTGAAATCAATGTCTGTCTCCCTGTGGAGTTTCCAGGTGAGACTAGGTCCCCTGAAATCAATGTCTGTCTCCCTGTGGAGTTTCCAGGTTAGGCTAGGTCCCCTGAAATCAATGTCTGTCTCCCTGTGGAGTTTCCAGGTTAGACTAGGTCCCCTGAAATCAATGTCTGTCTCCCTGTGGAGTTTCCAGGATAGACTAGGTTCCCTGAAATCAATGTCTGTCTCCCCATGGAGTTTACAAGTTAGACTAGGTTCCCTGAAATCTATGTCTGTCTCCCTATGGAGTTTCCAGGTTAGACTAGGTCCCCTGGAATCAATGTCTGTCTCCCCATGGAGTTTACAAGTTAGACTAGGTTCCCTGAAATCAATGTCTGTCTCCCTGTGGAGTTACCTGGTTAGACTAGGTCCCCTTGAATCAATGTCTGTCTCCCCATGGAGTTTACAGGTTAGACTAGGTCCCCTGAAATCAATGTCTGTCTCCCTGTGGAGTTTCCAGGTTAGACTAGGTCCCCTGAAATCACTGTCTGTCTCCCTGTGGAGTTTCCAGGTTAGGCTAGGTCCCCTGAAATCAATGTCTGTCTCCCTGTGGAGTTTCCAGGTTAGACTAGGTCCCCTGGAATCAATGTCTGTCTCCCCATGGAGTTTACAAGTTAGACTAGGTTCCCTGAAATCAATGTCTGTCTCCCTGTGGAGTTTCCAGGTTAGACTAGGTCCCCTGGAATCAATGTCTGTCTCCCCATGGAGTTTACAAGTTAGACTAGGTTCCCTGAAATCAATGTCTGTCTCCCTGTGGAGTTTCCAGGTTAGACTAGGTCCCCTGAAATTAATGTCTGTCTCCCCATGGAGTTTACAAGTTAGACTAGGTTCCCTGAAATTAATGTCTGTCCCCTGTGGAGTTTTCAGGTTAGACTAGGTCCCCTGGAATCAATGTCTGTCTCCCTGTGGAGTTTCCAGGTTAGACTAGGTCCCCTGAAATTAATGTCTGTCTCCCCATGGAGTTTCCAGGTTAGACTAGGTCCCCTGAAATTAATGTCTGTCTCCCTGTGGAGTTTCCAGGTTAGACTAGGTCCCCTGAAATTAATGTCTGTCCCCTGTGGAGTTTCCAGGTTAGACTAGGTCCCCTGAAATTAATGTCTGTCTCCCTGTGGAGTTTCCAGGTTAGACTAGGTCCCCTGAAATCAATGTCTGTCTCCCTGTGGAGTTTCCAGGTTAGACTAGGTCCCCTGAAATTAATGTCTGTCTCCCTGTGGAGTTTCCAGGTTAGACTAGGTCCCCTGAAATTAATGTCTGTCTCCCTGTGGAGTTTCCAGGTTAGACTAGGTCCCCTGAAATCAATGTCTGTCTCCCTGTGGAGTTTCCAGGTTAGACTAGGTCCCCTGAAATTAATGTCTGTCCCCTGTGGAGTTTCCAGGTTAGACTGGTTGAAAATGTATGATTGCCCACCTTGGAAGTTCCCTGGTACTAACATTTAGAAGAACCTTCTGTTACTGTACCGTGCCGCCATTAGAGGTTTATAATATAGGATAGCGCCCTCCTCAAAGGTGAAATGAATTTCAAAGCTCAAGGCATCACGATGTGCTTTATAAGCCAAGGCATCACAATGTGCTTTATAAGCCAAGGCATCACAATGTGCTTTATAAGCCAAGGCATCACAATACGCTTTATAAGCCAAGGCATCACGATGCGCTTTATTAGCCATCACGATGTGCTTTATAAGCCAAGGCATTACAATGTGCTTTATAAGCCAAGGCATCACAATGTGCTTTATAAGCCAAGGCATCATGATGTGCTTTATAAGCCAAGGCATCATGATGCGCTTTATAAGCCAAGGGTTGCTCACCTCTCATCCAAACTAAAACCATCCAACCTTGGCACATGGCATGTGTGGGATCGTTACAAAGAAAAACAACCTTCTGAAACAATGGACATAACGCACCCTAGTGGTATTAATGTAAGATAACACCTCGGGTCAGGCCGTCATCTTGTACACAATTGATGAGGCCTGTGGGGAATTGGTTGTTGGCAAGATGTGCTTGTTGCATGACGTCAACCGAGAACTGAGAACATTCTGCATCTGTTCAGACACAGGGACACTTGAGTCACTGCTGCATTTATCACCGCCACATGACCAATGAAAGGACACACTTACATGTCACATCAGTAGTGGGGTACAGTGACAGGCAAAACATGATAAGCTCCATCTTTGGTCATAGTGCGTGGGTACTTTGATTGCTTTCAAACAACTTTTATGATAGTTCAATGTCTTATTTAGAATCATTACTATGTAGATTCAGTTACAGATGTAATAGATACATAATGACATTTTGACTCGCAATGTTGGTAATAGTTTGTTTGTTGTTTAACGCCACACTCAGCAATATTCCATCTGTATGACGGCAGTGTGGAAATAATTGAGTCTGGATGAGATAATCCAGTGATTGACATCATGAGCATTGATCCACACAATTGGGATAAGGTGACTTGCATCAACTAAGTCAGACCTAATTAATTCCAGTCTGACAAGGTCATGGAAAACTGCTTTGGTTACCTCTCCTACTGAATGTTATCATTTATCTTTCTTTGTCTTGTCCCCACGCAATGTCTCTCGGAGTGTCTGATCTGTCTAGCTCGGAGTTCATTGATTTGTGGTTGGAGAGAGATAATTGACAGCCTAAGACATCTGGCTTCTTGTTTGTTCCCCCCAAATACAGATATAATCAATGTACATGAGAGAGGTGCATATTTGGTTTTATTAGTGACAGTGTGATTTATATATTCGATTCACTATTAAATAAGCTGTTAAAAATGCCATATTTTATATTATGAAGTTGTAATGCATTCATATATTCATCAAACTATCTTTTTGTTGGTTGCATAAACCAAGCATTAGAACCAACAGTGACAATATTACAGAGTGACATCCTCCAGGGGACAGGGCTACTTATCCCAAGTAATGTTTCTTTTCCAGAGCATAACTTGGAAACCGTTTAATATTTTATTATGCAACTTTGCATATGCATTAAACACACGCAGAACTGGGGCTAGTTGATGTTTTGGTATTTTTTACAAAAAATATTTCTTTGTGTTTCCTTGGCGACAAACTGAACCTAGACTCAAATATGTGTGGCATTTGTTTCCGGGGCATAACTTGGAAACCTTGTAATTTAAAATTATGAAACTTTGCAAATGTATCAAATACAAGCAGAACTGGTGACTTTTGATGTTTGGATATTTCTGTAAATAATATAATTGTGTTTCCTTGTTTTACTTTGTGCATAGTGGCTTCATTAGTGATGTATTTTCTCCGAAACTAC